AGATTTTTACTTGCACTCAACAAACACAAGAACGATAATACACCCAAGGACGGTCCGACTTACAATGTAACTGAAAGAAGAAGAAGAAGCCCTCTTTGCTAAGATCAAGGATAACATCCTGACTAAGTACCAAAGTAGTTAAGAATTATGAGGCTTCCGACACTGTCATATCTCTGTCATAACTTTTTAGTTGATGGGCAGTGTTATGACATGTCATTCATTGAGTAGACTATGGATGGCAAAAAAGGACAAAAAAATCCTCGTTATGATCTTTCAGTTTCTAGACATTCACTTAAAGGGATAGTTCAGTTCTGTTGCAGAGGACGCTACACAAAATAATTTTTTGTGAGATAATGAAAAACTGAGTGTCAAATTTGAAAGAACATATGCAATTTAAATGCCAAAATCATCTTTGTTTGATCAAAATTGGTTCAGAGACGACTGAAATATCCATAAATATAACAATTTCTAATACTTGTGTACCACCACAAATATTAGATAATTTTAAAAAAACGTTGAAAAAACATATAGTACCTTTTACGTCGTATTTCAGCCAATGCCAATGCTGACTTTTTTGTTGGCATTTTCGTGTTGGTTATATTACGCACAACCAGCCGGCCAATGTATTATTGTTATTTTTAATTAAATAATTTATTAACGGTCACCGCATTTTTTTGAAAGTGGAGCTGAATTGGTATGAACGTGTTGGCTAAATTTCACACATTTTGGAGTCTAAAATTACCTACATAGCAATTTTACGGTAGGTTCTAAAAGGGCACTAGAAATGTCATAGATACTGTAAGAATAAGAGCAATAACCATGCACTGTGAAGGCATTTGCAGTCTGAAAACAGCACTCAACTACTGTATCCCTTTAAACAGAGTTTTTGTATTTTATATTTGAAAATCTTATGAAAATGTGTCATTTTTATATTGTAAGGGCAGGCTTTTTTCAACTTAAAGGTACTATGTCCCTTTTGCAGCCAACCTTAAATTCTGTAGAACTTTTCAGGAATTATGAATATGTCATGTATGTCCTATCTGTGAAATTTAAATGTTAGCAGTGTTCTAATGTTCAAATTATGCAAGGAAACCTGTTTACTTGCTAGACTTCACTGTCAGACACTATTGAGTGACTGACTGGCTTTTTGTATATTTTGATAATAACATACATCAAATAAGCTGTAAAGGGTACATGAGCATTTGTCTACATTAATAACCCACTTATTGTGATGGCCCAAATTAAATTCTCGCTACCCCAAATAGCGATTCTGCCGAGATCCGGGGAAAATCCTGAAAACGCGCATTGCATTATGGGATAGCTTTTCGACATTAAAAAGTAGAAGGATTTTCCGAGACCGCTGAATTGCACCGCCGTGCGCCATCTTGGATAGAACGAGCGTTGTGAAAGCGAACTGCGACTACGTGCTATGTGTATGCTCAACTTTCGTCTGCAAAATGCCATATTGTGCAGCTTTCAACTGCACCAATCGCCTTAAAAGAGGCTCTGGAATTACCTTTCATAGTTAAGTGATCACTTCATTAAAAACATGGCAAAATAAAAGTTTTGCATGATAATCCGAACGCAGAAAGCCACAGACTAAAGCGTGTATTTGTACATCGGTCCCATCTATTCATTTCCATGTTTGTGAACTGTTTTTGCTCGAGTTCAATGACATCGGCTATGAACTATCAAAAATATTGAATTCCACAGAGCTGCAAAGTATTACAAACCGATAATATCGAATACATGATATCCAGAGAATACTGTAGGCCTACTGTTTTGTGTTTTTTTTTTTTGGGGGGGGGGAATCATTGGGGCATAAGCAGGTCACTTTCTTTGTTTGACTTGGTGAAACTTGGTTCAAGTTACTTTGAAGATTAACTTGAACTTATGAACATGTTGCATCGTGGCGCTGGTATTAATAGTGACACAATTTCCCGTGAGTCGTCAGACTTTCAAGCATTATTGTAAGAAATTTACTGGAATTTACTCAAAATTTACACCTTAATTTTGGACATTTAAATTGTTGTAAAACACAAGAAATTTTACTCATCAAAGTTGGTCATTGTGAAAGTTACGACCTGTCAGTCATGGCAGTTAAAGAAGCTACCTGCATGAACCTTCCTACGTCCTCTAAAACTTACTCCTCAGATGAATATGTGTAGATTATGTAGTGATTTCATATGGCCTAGTAAAGCACAGCACTTGAAATACAAATCAAGACAAAAAAAAAACACCAGGCAATATTTTGCGAAGCTCCCATTATTCTGGTACATGTATATCTTTAAAGACATAATTATACATTTTGAAATATTTGGGAATTTCTGCTGTAAAAGGGTAAAAAATTGGTCAATCTTATTTATGTGTATTTTTTTAAATAATATTTCACCATTCATGAAATAAATATACTAATTCAAACAGACTATTTCATCTTCTCCTTCCCACTGAAATGACAGAATGTGCACTACAGGGATAATATAGTATACGATATTTATTACAATGTTTGCCCTATTGGTCTATTTTGTGTTTTATACATCTAGGCTTACCCAGAGAGAAAGGAATTGTGTGATTCTATTATTGACACTAGCCTGTCTTCTGTCTGACAGGTTTAGGTATAGTTTGAATCTGATTGCATAAATTAGATTTGAGATTAGAATTTGCGAAAGAGGCATCAAAGAAATAAAAAAACAACTGGATTATTGTCAACGTGTTTCAGGGAAAGGGATTTTCTTTAAATTTTGTATTTTTAACTTGACTCTGATCACTTATGGTTCCCAAAGCTATTTACAAATTATTGTGCGTATGTTTCTTGATAATGGATAATGTATTCGGTGATCATGGCATAGTGCCACATACATGTTTGTACAAACAAATTGTTTCGTCAAATTAGATAAGGAAGTCACTCATTATGTTGTATGAAAATCTGTATACAGAGGTTTACGGTGTATGCAAACGATCCCTGTTTTGTTATAAAATATTGTCCAATGATTTTATTGTTCAATGTGTAGTGTCATCTATTCTACACTATTGAATTCAAACTGTAGTTGCAATGGTTGTATCCATGTTTACCAACTGAAAGAGCTTGAGCTAAATGAAAGTTGCAACTTTCATCTAGAGTAAAAATCTGTTTTAAAAGTTTTCACTGAAATCAGATGAATCCATACATTGCTTCATGAACAAACCAAAAAGAGGGAAATACTGATTCATATGTATTATATCTTGTTGATGTCTAGTTTTTTAATGAAGTATGTTCAAGTTTTGAGTGCTAAAAGGGAGAAAATCTTGCCTTTTGTACATTGTAGTCAGTCAAATGCAAATGTACATGTGATTAATTCTCTGTGTGTTAAAATGAATAAGAAATGTGCCGGTATAAACATAATGTGCCATGATTGCTTGCTTGAGGAACGTTTTTTCCACACCATTGAGGATTTTTTTCTTCATATCCACCATTGCAATAGTTCATGGATGTTTTGATATGTACTGTATACATTCATGTAATACATAGCGCAATGCCAAGGTTAAAAAAAAAACTTAATAAAGATGAAAGTATTCACAATTATGTGGAAAGACATGTGAATAGTTGCCACAATGTGTCATTACTTAACACTTCTTAGACAAATCTTTAATATGCCTATATGGGATGAAAATAATATCTGGCAGCTAAATGGTAGCCTCCCAAGGGAAAGAAAAGAAATAATATTAATATTCAGTGGGCCTACTTCTGCAGTGCCAAGAATCAAAGGGATAGAGAAAGAGAGAGGGGAGAGAGACAAAAAGAGAGAGGGGAGAGTGAAAGAAAAAGGGGGAGAGAAAAAGAGAAGGGGATAGAGAGAAAGAGAGAAAGAAAGGGAGAGTGAAAGAAAAAGAGAGGGAGAGAGAGAAGGGGATAGAGAGAAAGAGAGAGGAGTAGAGAAAGGGGTAGAGAGAAAGAAGGGGAGAGGGGGAGTGTGAAAGAAAAGAAAGGGAGGGAGAGAAGGGGATAGAGAGAGGGGGAGTGGGAAGAGAAACACAAAGACTGAGAATTTACGAGTGTGTGTAAAGAGAAAGTGGGAGTGATTTATATAGATAGAGCCTAAATAATTTGATATATTCTTTCTATCACAGAAAGAGACAAAACTAGCCTAATACCACAAATGATATTTAACAAATAGTCTAGCTCTTTTAGTCTTTATGCAAAAAAACCCCTAAAATTTCAACTCCCCTACTGTCCAAGCTGCCGCTCTTATTCCAATATTCAAGTCATCAAACATCTGTATGGGACTTGGAAAAGGGCATAAACAATATATGTAAAGATATTTTTCACCAAAACTAACAATAAAACCCTGGTTTCTGGACGTCCCTTCCTCCAATTGCAATAGGAGCTTGTACACAATACGTACGCAAAATGGCGGCGGGCGCACTCGAGCGGTGCCATTGCGCTGCGTGAAACGTGAACGGACACAATCCTTCTACTTGGTTTGAGTTCGTTGATATTACTAGGCGCGATAGCGCAAACGTAAAACGCCGTCGCCACACAACGTGTATGCACCGAATATGTCGTCTGCTCGGTCTTGTTTTTTTTTCGCAAATATTTCAACGTTTATTTGAACATTTCATTCGTTGTTTTTTGCGTCTTTTGACATCAGTGACGATGGTTTTCTTTTGTGAGGCTGCACAGTGCTGGGCTCATGATTCCAAGCGTAAGAACCCTGAAAAATGGGGGTGGATGAAGGCCGTGACTTGGGTGAAATTTCCCACCGAAGCTGGAACACGAGCGACATGGCTGCGCTTGATTCGCCGCAAGGACAAAGTGAATTTGACCAAAAAATCGCGGCTTTGTTCGAGACATTTCGATAAGGAGCAGATTGATCCAGATGGTTATGCCAAAGGCTATCCCAAATACTTTTTCTGGAATAATTTTGGTCTCATTGGAGAAGAACGTCCCACCACAGCTATTGACAAGATGGACGGAAAGTTCGTGATCACAACCCTCTCTTTCACGGTAGAGTTTTTATAACGGCCTTTTGTGCTAAAGTCACTAATTCTGCCCGAAGCTTTCCATTGCATGGTATTCCTTAGACCGAATTTTCCGTCTCTTTCGTTCGTTAGCCTCTTATTGGGGTAGGGTCGGCTCTCTCTTTAGAGACGGAAGCCGTTTATACACATGTCCTTGCTAACGCCACGGCCAGTTCTGGTCGTAGCGTTTTGCCCCCCAAATCCCCCAAAATGTCATTTTACCTCGAGCATGTTATATTGTAAATTAGGCCTAGAGGCTATAATAAATCAGTTCCACTTACCAACTTGACTGAAATAATCAGTTTAATAGTCCCTTTTTAGGAAATTATGGGTCAAAATCGGAATCCATGTTGAAAAAGATTTTCAAAATGGATTTCGATTTTGACCCATAATTTCCTAAAAAGGGACTATTAAACTGATTATTTCAGTCAAGTTGGTAAGTGGAACTGATTTATTATAGCCTAGGCCTAATTTACAATATAACATGCTCGAGGTAAAATGACATTTTGGGGGATTTTGGGGGCAAAACGCTACGACCAGAACTGGCCGTGGCGTTAGCAAGGACATGTGTATAAACGGCTTCCGTCTCTAAAGAGAGAGCCGACCCTACCCCAATAAGAGGCTAACGAACGAAAGAGACGGAAAATTCGGTCTAGGTATTCCTCTGTCCGTTAAGATTTTTTTAAGTTCCGAAACTGTTTTTTTATCCATTTTGTGGTCGACGAGAAATACATGAACTGAGTGTTGTCTCTACACTGTTTACTGTATCGTCTGCTCGTGATTGTGACGCTGGTCGCTACATGCACAATTTTAAGACAATTATTTTTTTTTACTTTTAGATTAACAGAAAAAAAAAATGAATAAAAATAAAATCTTTCCTGTAGGGTCTAAACTATTTTTTGCTTTTTATTGTATATTCAAATTGAATAAAAACAAACAAAATTTAATGCATATATTATAATCTGTACAAATTACACTGATTGGCATCGATTTTAGCGTGCGTGAAAACTCTGCACAGCGAACACAGGCGCTAGCGCCAGCGGGATGGGACTCTATACCGGAAGTTGTAGTGACGACCCGAGAGAGTGAAAATTACCTCGTCTCGCGAATTTCGAGATTTTCGTACCTATTTAGGGTAGCGAGAATTGATTGAATCTTTGCGCAGCATAAAATGTATGACCATTCGGTACAATGGTCTGATAATCAAGACTATTACTTATTGGCTCTATAGCTCCTAAGTCGATTTGACAACTAATAGTCATTATTTTCCCACTTAAAGACATTTTCAAGCCTCACCTTTTTTAGGGAAGTTCTAAATTAGTATTATCTTTCAAATGCTGTTAAAATTTAACCTTTTCATTTTTTGGGGCCTGCAAATGGGACATACGCATTTATTTCCTCACTGTAAAATCCTTGAAGGGATGGGTATGTGCCAAAGCAGACAAGTTGTAGTAAGAAGTGTGATCTCTAGTTTCAAGACCCATATTAATTTCGAGATAAAATGAATAGTTTAAAACATGTGTTTTAACGTTTGGAATGTTGAAGTTTGGTCATTTTAATATTGTGCTAAAGCCTAAAACATCGGACAAAACTTTCATAATATTGTATTTTTACTAAGATTAATATAAGGGTGTATTTGTATAAACTATCAAATGAAAAATATCCGGGGGGGGGGGGGGGGGGAGGAGGGGTACCTATCAGCAAGATTTTGATGCCCCTACAAAGATCAATAATTATCCGCAAGACTTGTTGCCCGTACTAAGTTCTAAAAAAATTAATATTGGCAAGACATTGTTGCCCGTACATACATCTAAAAACAATAATTATCGGCAAGACTTTGTTGCCCCTACAGAGATCTAAAAACAATAATTATCGACAAAGACTTTGTTGCCCGTACAGAGATAAAAAAACAATAATTATTTGCAAGACTTCGTTGCCCGTACAGAGATGATTTATGGGTAAAAAAATAATGACTTTATTTGCATAAATTACCATAAAAATGCAAATGAGTAAATTTTTCAAAAAATTGAAATTATCATATTATTCTATACACTTCACTTAACATTCTTGCAAATTTTCGCGGCGATCGGCCCTTTTGCGGGCGAGATCTTAAAGGTAATACACAGTTTTGGGAAATTTTGAAATTGGGTGGATAGTGAATCTTTACGATTTTGATATATTTGGATGCCCCTGTGAATGTATTATAAGCACTAGAAAATTTAGCCAATAAAAAACTTATGTTTTCAAGAAAAATTGAATATAAAAATTTACCAGTGCTCCCGGTAAATTTTGATGAATTTCAAATAGCGCCTACGGCCGTGCTAAGGTAGCTGCGACCATGAAAATCTCAGAAAATGTAGTTGTGATATATAATTTCCAAACGAGAATAGCTAATCGGTCGATTTTTGTCAAGAAACATTGTTTTATAGCTTAATTAATATATTGACATTGAGAGGGAGCTATACAACATGCAGAGTTTACTATTTACAATTTCATAATTTTAGATTCGATTTCAACCGCGACAACTATCTCTGAATATTGTAAGATCGCATATGCTTCCAATATGTTCATTTGAACCAAATTCATGACCCAATACCAAAACTTTGTATTACCTTTAAGGGGGGCCATAATGCCCCCCCCCCCCCCCCCCCCCCCCGGCCGTACTAAGACCTCAAATAGCCCAGCCTTTTTAGGGTTAAGCACCAGGGGAGGGGGCCCGTCTTCAAATAAAGGTATAATTAACGTGTTTTACCTGTTTTTTCCTCCAGGGGAAGGGGCCCGTGCCCTATAGCCCCCTCCCTGGATCCGCCACTGGTTCTCATTGTCATTGATAGAATTTAAATACAGACCATCTCATACTTGTTCACAATTATCATTGGCTCGTTACAGGCACCTGTACCAATGACGCGGATTGTCAGAACGCAGAGATTTGTAAATCGGGTACGTGCACCTGTCCAGCTGGTTCAACCTGTGACGGAGGTAAGATTTCTTCAAACCTCCTACCTTTCAACTCAGGCTTCGCATCTCTATTCGATCACCAATGAAAAGTCACAATGTTAATTTTAGTTCAATGACCTTTATTAGTTGATTCAAAGAGAGGAACTGAGGAACAATCTTTGCTCTAAGAATCATTCCATCTTCCAAAATAACAAAAGTGTGAATCAAGCTACAGAGTCGATCAAAAATGAGAATGTTGAAAACTCTAAGTCTCCAATAACACTGAATTGGGGGCTCTATATCAGTCGCAAATGCATGGTTGGGAGGGTGTTTTGGGGGCTAAACCCCCCTCACCTTTTTTTTTTTGCGCAAGGGCTGGGGATGAAAGCTCTTAATACCAATCATGTGAAAGAATATGTTTTGACTAATACGTGATGATACAAATTTTGCTGGGAAACCGCCTACTAATAGATATATTTGGTATATCTATACGGACTGGATAGATATAGGGTAGTCCCATATACCGTATTTGCTGGCACAGCGCCGCATAGGCCACACCCCCAGCTTAGGCATTTCATAGAGTGGAAGAAAGAAAAAAAATGACCAAAGAAAATAATCATAATTTTCTTGTAGAACACTATTTTTCCTACAAACTGATACCAAATTCACAGGAAGTTCACCTCAAAAATGATCGTAATTTAGCAAATCTTCATCAATTTTTGAGCTAGTACCGTATCGCAGGCAGATTTGGTATCCCCTACATTTACCCCGACCTACTGCGGCCTTTACGCCGTCAAATACGGTACATCTTTCTGTGTACAGTGCTTGTTAAGCTACGGTCACAAAGGTCTGTACGAATCTCCCTGTTTTTCCATTGTCTTCCCGAATTTCCAATGTCTGAAAATCGTTCGTACGGCGTTCGTAGCAGCTCGTAATGGCATTTCTGAACGAGGCTTAATTTTACAAAGACTGGGCCAGATTTCTTATCATTTTGATGATTCCAGAACCTTGCAGTACACACAAATACTTATATGCTAGATGATAAACCTTTATAGATCGATTCCACAACGTTTCTTTCACAATGCAGTTGCATGACTAGAACTGGTCTATACCTTTAAAAGAATATCTGACTTTTAAAAAAAATGGCCCCTTTTCTTCTTTCAGAGTCCATTAGCAGTAATAACAGGAAAACCAAAAACTGTTAATCAGTTGTCCACAAAAAGTCGTAGATGGCGGTTACCAGTATTTGCCATGCTACACCCCCCTTTAATTTATTCTAATTTTACCCGGGCATGATCTACGTAGTACGTACTCACCTGGCAAAACAAGTGCAATGCACACCCTGACCGGTCTTCTTGTGGATCACAACCCACAGGTTCCATGGAGTATCCCTGATCCTCTGGGAAGGTCTACACTTTGCTTTTAACAAGCAACATTCTGAATCTGAGTCGATTTCATGAATGCTAACCTCCCCAGCCATCCTGATGCAAAATAGGAATATGACATTCTATCTTTGTAATCTGACTCCAGTCTGGCTCGTAAATCAACATTGTCGATACTTTGGAGGTATTTGGCATGTCAAAGGCCATTTTTCGCCACTCCAGTTTTGTAATGAGTTGGGATCGGGCAAATTACAAGTATTTGTTTTCAAGAGGTCAGCGTATTCTGTCGTCTTCTCCACCGCAGCTTCGGTCTGAGTGGTGACTACAGGAGCAAGGTTTGGTGACACTTTGGCTGCATAGAATAATGTTGAGAGCCCTTCTTTCCAACATGAAACTGGCAGGTTTCTCTCTCTGACAAAGTTCTTAAATTGTTGCATATTCCAAAGTCTAATATCATCAATACACGTCTGATTTGTCATCCATATTTTAACAAGTTCAGCGCAAAAAAAAATGTAAAAAAAAACATAATTGAACTCGAACAGAAATACAGAAACCGTCAAACAAAGAGATATCCAATTATCCATAGAGTTTATACGCATTTTATACAATCGCTTAGGTAAGAACTTCCCCGCACACATCGCGACCAGAGACCTTGAACAGCTGACCCCCCGACACAATGACGTCTTTCAGTAACTGTAAAACCCCTTGTTGCGCACACAACTAGTGCACATATCGAAGCGTATATGAGTGATGTGTGTAATGTACTGCCAGTTGTTGGGTTGTAAAAATGGCTCTGGGAAAATACTAGAGAAGTACTTTCCCTTGATTCCTAACAAGGAAAAACACCCAGAGTTGGCAATGGGGTGCGGTGATTGAAGTTGAAAAGATCTCTAAATACAGCAACAAACACAGCTGTCATGATGTGATTTGAAGTGACCATTTCATAGAGGAAGACTTAGAAGAGGACATGCATGCCAGACTTACAGGTGCGAAGCCGAGGAAGTTGTTGAAAACTTGTGTGGTACCATCAATTTTTCACCACAGACGTGCCGTTTCGACACGTGAAGCGATCGCGTCCGCCGCGTCATATTCCTTGAAAGATTTCTTTCAAATTTTGTATTTTGTTATAATCTATAACAAGCCTATAGATTTTGGTGATGCTGCCTCCAGTGTTCCCTCTTTTATACAGTACTCTTTTATACACTGAGAATTATCGATGCTTTATCATAACTTAATCACAATTATAACTAGATTTGTAATACTTGTTTGGAACAAGTATAGGTGGGCTGATCCAACAAAAAATTGAGACAAAATAAAGGGTACATTTGAGTAGCTTTTTGTCTCAGCTACAACATACTCGAAGTTCAGCGTAAATGAAGCTAAAACGACGTAGATATTGCTCGCGAAAGACGGGAATGTAGAATCGAGTTTTGAGAAAAAATCATGTCCCATAGAGAATACACGCAAAATGTGAAAATTGACATGCCTCCTTTAATCACAAAAATACGCCATGATGCTTTTGTCAAAATTAACAATTGTTACGACTTCATTTGTAGAAAATTGTCTCAGCTAGAACATTTCAAAATTTAGAAGAAAATCAATCACTATTTACAGAGATACAATCAATTTTCCATAAATATGCTGACGTCATAATATGCAAATTGAAATTTTGAGTTCGGAGGCCATTATAATGACGTCATGAGTTAATTGAAGGTCAAATGTGACATGAAACAATATCTCCGAATCATACTCTATCAAAATATGAAAACAAATTGGGGTCACCTTGCATCCTAAAGAGCTACAATGGATTTTGTATAGGCATGTTTTTGCCCATATATGCTATGTATTACAAGAGCTCGCGCGCACCGAGATTTATGTTAAACGGTCGATCATTCCGTTATTAATAGTCATAAAGAGACAAACATGGTATCAATTTGTTTGTAAATATGTGGAATATTATAAAAGAAAAAAAATGGCGATTCTATGTTATGTAATAGTTTTACGCGCGAAAACGCGCGCGCATGGGCGTGTGCGCGATTTTTTATAAAATGCTTAGAATGGCCTAAAACGTATGCAAAATGATTTTGAGACGATTTTGAGCATTTCAAAATTTTGCGCGCGCATTGACGCGCGGACGTACGCGCACGCGCGCATTATTTGAGCTGAAATTAACCGGACGGATATTGACCTTAATCATGATAAATATGAATGAGAATTACCTTTTGGTTATGAAGATATGATCATGAGTTGATTTTCGTAAAATTTTACAAAATGGCGCCTAGATGACGTCATCAGTCAAGTTCAAGGTTGAAAACATTTCTGTGCTTTGTTCATATGTCTTTACATATATGTGCTTAATTTCAAGGATTTTGATTGAGCCATTTTCGTGTTATCTTGTTCACAAAAAAGTGGTTAGAAATAAGAAAAATATTTAATAATAAATAAATAAAGGCAATTCTAACGAAATTATAAGGTGGTCTGTACGATATACAGCCCACCTGATAAATAATTGACACATATTTGTAAAGCTTAGATCCTCTTCTTTCATTTGATGCAACTCATATGATGTATATTTCATGCATGAGTGATTAAAAAATATTTGAAGAGAGGGTACCAAAAAGTCATTTGGCAGGCATTATTTAAATTTCAAAGAGAAAATCACCTTTCTAGAAATTTCATTTTCTGCCGTTTCATGTGACACCTCAATCAGGAAAAAATGAGCCAGGAATAACTTTATTGAATAAACAAATTCTTTTTTCACTGGCTGCCTGCCGTAGCAACAAACAAAGTTGACAAAAGACTTGGTAACTCAGATTCGTTGACAATCAACCACGCATCAAGTCTTTTGTTTTCTTTGTGCATGGCTGATTGTCAGCGAAACGGAGTTAAGTCTTTTGTCAACTCGGACAATAGTCCGAGCCACTAGAGGCGATCTCAACGTCATCCTTTTGTTTCAGGGGAGAGGGGCTCTTTGTACCTCCTTCAAACATAAGGATGACACTAAATCGCTGCCACTGCCGGGGGATACATTAGCATTGCACGGCAATACAGATTGCGATATTTTTAGCTATTATTGAAGTATTTGGCAAAAAGCGAATCTAATAACTGTAGGTAATCCCTGGATCTCTCCTTCCAGTATAACTGATCAGGGGTGTGCAGGTGGACCACTATATGTACACCAATGTTTCCTCCTATGAGAAAGCTCATGGTCACAATAAAAAATTTAAAGGAATTAACTAACCCTGTAAGTTGGGGCTCTGATCGGATCGGAAGATCGGAGCGACACCCTCGCACCTTTGATCGGTATCGGATCGGAAGAGCGACAAAAAAAATCGGCCAATTTTTTTTTTTTTTTTTTTTTTTTATAATCCAAGTTGGCGGCCCGCATGTTTTGCCTCTGCTCTTAGACCAATATTATTAATTTCAAAGTCATGAAAAGGCACTAAATATCAACAAACATGGTCTACAACAACTCCAAATGACAAAATAATCCCAGCAATGAACTTTTTTGGAGCATTTGTTAGCCAAAAACTTGAAAATTTTCGTCATTAAAAAAAAAAAAAACCTACATTATAATCCAAGATGGCGGCCCGCATGTTTTGCCTCTGCTCTTAGACCAATATTATTAATTTCAAAGTCATGAAAAGGCACTAAATATCAACAATCATTGTCTACAACAACTCCAAATGACAAAATAATCCCAGCCACGAACTTTTTTTGAGCATTTGACAGCCAAAAACTTGAAAATTTTCGTCATAAAAAAAAAAAAAAAAAAAAAAAAAAATTGCCGATTTTTTTCCGATCATTTTAATTGATCGGCGATCGGAAATTTTTCCCCGATCACCCCTGATCGGATCGATATCGGCGGCCGATCCGATGATCGTTTACAGGGTCTGGTCTTGCTGACGATACATACACGTAACCACAGTAGTTACTCTTTATTCTTCAAAACTGACATACAAAGAATGAGAAAGCTCACAAGTTATTATCCATCTTAACTAGAGCTCCATCATCTCATTAAATCATGGAGCAAAAATCACCAGAGCATGTACGACCTAGTTTAAATGTGACTTGATTTATTAACTTATTTTGTCTGTTTTTTGTTTACCCATGACTTGGAAAGACGAAAAAGATGAGTGATGACGGAAAAGGAACAGAGAGCTCCCAGAACAATTCATCTAAAGAGGAAGATTCATCTCGGGATAGTGGCTCACAGGAAGATGACCAGCCACGACCGAAAAAGGTATTATTAAAACTAAAAGCCTATTGAGGCCAGACAAGATGTTAGTCCCAAAATTTGGAAGTAGAATTTAGGTCATCAACTTGTTATAACCTGGGACCCTTTTCACAAAGCCTTTTTTCAATGACAAATGACAATATTCAGTGTCAAATATGTTGATAACCAATCAGAAGCCAGGATTTCAGTAGCTTATACAAAAACTGTCATTTGTCACTGATGACAAGTTTTGTAAAACGCCCCTCTGGTGTTGAGATCCTATACGATCTGCATGTATGATTTGCATATAAATAAAAAATAAGGGACAATTTTTTATTTCTTGTACCCACCATCTCAACTCTTGGGAGTTGATAGCAAAATCACTTTCTAAAAAATTTACCAAAATCAAGAGGACTGAGATATTTCTTTGTAGTTCATTATTTCATGTGTCACACGCTGTAAGTGCACCTTATACTTTCAGATTCAAATTCCAGTTATTTATTGCACCTCTCTTGAAAATACATCATTTGAAGAATAACAATATAAGCAAAACATTGAAGATGAAATTATATGTATTAAAGAAAAAAATTGAAATTGTGTATTTGATGTCTGATAGCAAATGTTCCTTTGTATTTTTTCTCAATATTTCCAGCGATCTTTGAAGAGATGTGAAGAATGTGTAGCGTGCCAAAGGCAAAATGATTGTGGGAGGTGTGACTATTGCTTGGTAAGACTGAGAAATTAACTTTGTAAATAGTGAGTAATGTGCGATGCAATATTCATTTTACTTTGAAGGAGCCGTATATAGTCTTTGAGAAATCTTAAACTATATAGACTCCTAGTTTGTGGAACTGTTCCAATGAATTCATGTTGCAACACAAATACTGTTTCTTCATTATTTTAACATAAAGGTTACCATACTGGTAAGCATAAAATGTCTCTTTTGGGAAGATTCCTAATGTACTTCTTATGTTCTGAAATTTTTAGAAAGAAAAACTGTTTTTATCACTCCCCACCCCACTCCTCTCCTATCCCAAACAAAGCACTTAGTTTGAAAGAGTACATCTTTGTTTTGGAATTGTGTAATTGGTGTAGGTTATAGCCTTGCTATTGCGATATCTCAAGAATTACAAGAGATAGACTTTTGTTTTCATTGTGATATGGCAAATAATTCCATCCATTTCTTATTCATGTCGGAGGCATAAAAGGAGACACAGTCGCATTTGTCTTTTTGTAAAGGAACAGTTTAGTGGCTAATTAAAGGATAATACTAGTAACACTGTCGTGTTCACTATGAAGGAATCAGTGAACCTTTTATGATTTTATGATTTTTATTTCCACAGGACAAGCCACGTTTTGGAGGACAAAGTATACACCGTCAGAAATGCCGCTATAAACAGTGTTTGCGAAATGGTGTAAGTAAAATCACAGAGCTAAATCACAGATCCAGCCCATTATTTTTTCAAATTGTGATTTAAAGTCCATCTTAAAGTGAAATTAAACAACATCGGTTAAATGACAGATTAAAGCTCTGTGATCGTTGTCAAAAACATTACTCTTTCAAAACTCTTTGTGCATTGGTTGTTCTGTTTTTGTCTCGCCTGCATAGCAAAAGCAAGACATAGGCGCCGCTTTTCCAGTGACTGCGGCGCCGTTGTCAACATTAAAAACTTGACCTAAGGTTATGTTTTTTGAATTTTTAATTAAATTTTGAAAATATAAGTTCTTATTCAATGAAACTTATAACATAAGGGTTGTCAAGTATCACCAACCATGTGAAAACTTAGACTTTATTGTGGCATCAACATCAAGATTTTGAACTGCTAGCATAATTTCAAAGTGTTGGTTCAAATTCCATGAAACTTGTACCCAAGGATAATCAAGTATCACAAATCATATGGCACTAATTCCAGGTCACAAATACAAGGTCAAAGGTCATTTTTAGGTCAGTAGACTTGGATTATGTTTTCACAACTTAATATGAGAATTAATAAATCATTTTGGGGGGGTATTTGTTTATATATCATTTCAGTTATCAATCTTGATTAAAATTATAGTAAATAATTATTCTGATGATTCTTAGTCAATATTCATTTCAAAATAATGATTATATTCAGAGAATTTCATTTTGAGGGGCTGCTTAGAGGCCACCCTGCCTATAAATAATGTCCCAACCTCATTTTCCATTATATCAAATTACGTAATGCAGGCGAGAGCGTTTCCCTTGTTTATTTTTGATATTTCATGTAAGTATTTTCATCATGTTGTGTATGCATTTGATATTGTACTTTGTTTTTTTAAACATTTTTGCATGGAAGTTATGCAGGGTGTCCCTGGAAAAAAAAGGAAACCCAATTTTATCAGAAAAATTAATCAATGATCCAAACATATTTTTAAAATAATGTACACATCATTAGAAAGATTGTTTTCTCTTCTCTAATATGATATCATTCGTGATTTATTTATCCTATTTTTAATATCACGACAGAAAAGAGTTGGAAAAAAACTTTCCAATGACAATGTATGCTTAAACAAGAATATAATCTGGAATTATTGAGTAATTTACCAATATGGGTAGTGCTAATTGTTATAATGTCATGGGTGATGCCAATTTTGATGGTATGAAAGTTATATATTGGAAATGTCCTCATGTCATCCATACTATTAGGAAGAAGTTTTGTAAAGTAAAATCTCAGTCCAATTCTACTATATTTATGACATGACATTAATTTTATTATTGCTTATTCAAATATGTGCAATATCCATACTGACCTATATGTCAGGAACACCTCATTTTTATATGAAAAGAAAGAAAAAGGGCATTATTTTCTATATCAAAATTGTATTACTTGTTGATATGATGTGAAAGGAACAAAATATGTTGCATTCAAAATTATTAAGAAAAATAATCAACAGATTTCAGACTAGTTCTCCACATCAACGTTTATATGTATGTGTCAGAGTCAGTGAATGGTGACAAAAAATTCATCCAAATTCACCATATTTAGTTTATTTGAAATCTAATGTGTGTACTGGGAATACCTGTGCGTGTTTAATTTGCCTTCAAAATGTTATTCAACTACAGTTGACGTCATATGCAGTACCGAAAGAATCTGTGTTGGACAAACCAGTTCCTGTCACTGTCAGTAGTTCAACTTCTTCTAGTTTCCAGACGCTTCCTTCAACTTCAACAAAAGTTATTCAACAAGTAAGAATTAAGATCTAACATATAATCATGATCAGAGATTTGGTTTAAATTGAAATTTCAATGTAAATAAATCAAAATACTAGCTACCAAGGATATGCCAAACAAGTCATATACTGATGTTGCTAATTTTTGTAATGATGATGAATATGAAGTATTGTATTACCCATTATAACCTCATCAGTATCGATACAGATTTTCCTGAGGGCCCTGCAAATATTATTACCCCACCGTTGCCAGTTACCCATTTAATGCACCTGGGGTGATAGGCACGATTTAGGTAAAACACTTTGTCCAAACCCATTACCAGAATTGAGAGCCTTCACTATTAGAGATATTGTTAAGCACATTCTCCTTTGTGCCCTCGCTTGAACGCCATCTCGGACAGTCAGAATCACTTTTGTGAATAGATGACAAGTTTGTTTGGTTGATTGTTATAGTTTTAGAGATGGTTTAATCATTCAGAAGAGCTCTAAAACGTAAATTGCATTCAAAGCACAGCAGTGATTTAACCCAAGTACATGTACTATTAATGACCTGAGTGCTGACATGCATACATGTTCCTTGTTGATAATGCTTGGCACCTTCCTTTCTTTATCAAATTGTGTGAGATATGAAAAACAAAGCTTGTAACTATTTAATTTGCTGTGAAATGTTGCCAGAAGTAATATTTTGTGTGTGTTTGCAAGTATGATCTGTCCCAGCAAATAATTGCATTGAAGGGCTGGTCAGACTTGAATGATGCAAATATTCTCCAGAGCAATAAATCGCTACCAGATGTAATTGAGAGCAATTCTATCATGTCACTTGGGTCACTCAGCAAGCAGTTTTCTTAGAACAGACCTCAACGATATCGTCAAATTATTATTATTATTATTATTGAAGTATTTGGCATCACCTGTACCTGGGAGGCAAAAAGCAAATCTAATTACTGTAATCCTTGGGTCTCTCCTTCCAGTATAACTGATTAGGGGAGGGGGGGTGCAGGTCGACAGCTACACTGAGGTTTCCTCCTATGAGAAAGCTCATTGTGGTTTGACCGGGCCATTATCAGCAAGTAAAAAATTGGGTAAAACTCATTAATAACGCTGATTTAGATTTCATTTTTCAAAACAATTCGGTTCAATTCAGATTTTAAAAAAATTACCAAAATCAAGAGGACTGAGATATTTCTTTATGTAAGAAAAAAATTGAAATCGTGTAGTTGATGTCTGCTAAGCAAATATTTATTTTTTTTTTTTAAATATTTCCAGCGATCTTCGAGGAAATGTGAACAAGACAAATGTGAAGCGTGCCGAAGGAAAACTGATTGTAGGAAGTGTGATTTTTGCTTGGTAAGACTGAGAAATTAACATTGTAAATAGTGAGTATAGTGGTATTGTGATGCAATATTATTGATTTTACTTTGAAGGAGCCGTATATTGTTGTAGCGAAATCTTAAATTATACTGACTCCTAGCTTTTGGAACTGTTCCAATTAATTCATGTTACAACCTGATTACTATTTCATTATTTTAACATAAAGGTTACTTACCGGTAAGCATAAAATGTTTCTTTTGGGAAGATTCCTAATGTACTTCTTATCACCCCCCACCCCACTCCATTCCTACCCCAAATAAAGCACTTACGGTAAAGGCAATACAAAGTTGTGGTGTGGGGTCATGAATTTGGTTCCAATGAGCATATTGGGAGCATATGCGATGTTACATTATTCAATGATCATTGTCACATTTGAAATCAAGTCTAAAGTGATGATATTGTGAATAATAAACTCTGTATGTTGTATAGCCCCCTCTCAAGACTGATTAACCTTAGCTTTAAAACAATGTTTCTTGTATACAATCGACCGATTTTCTAATCCTTTTTGGAAATTATATATCAGAACTGCATATTCTGAATTTTTCATGGTCCCAGCTACATGTACCATGGAATGACCTTAGGCGCTATTTGAAATATTTGAAATTTACTGGGAGCACCAGTAAATTTTTGATTATTCAATTCCTTGAAAGCAGAAGCGTTTTACGAGCTAAATTTTCTAGTGCTTATAATACATGTACACAGGCATCCAAATATATCAAAATTGTAAAGAATTACTATCCATCCAATTTTCAAAACTTGCCCAAAACTTTGCAGTACCTTTAAGCTTGAAAGAGTACATCTTTATTTTGGAATTTTAGAATTGTTTGTATTTATAATGAGACTACAATTGAATCTGTTGATCGTATGTACTGTTTTTACCATTTGTATGGTTATAACTTGATTGGTAATTTTTATTTTGGTTGGTCATTTACACATGTACATATATCTTTATACAAATGAAAGTTATTTTTGGGGTTTATTTTTTTCAAATTGTTACAAATACGCACCTCCCCCTTCCTTGAAGTGCATTCCATAAGCTGCTTTTTCAAGTATTTTTACTTATTCATTTCAACCTCTGAAATAATAATAATAATAGAGAATATTTATGAAGCGCATAATAAATTGTAAATTTCTCTATGCACTTTACATAACTAATTTGAATATATAAACAACATTAATACAACAATAAATAACAAAATAGATAAGCAAATGACAAAAAATATTTATGAGAAAGTAAACCAATTAATGCACCTATAATTACACCTACAAAATTATTTGACATTACATATAATTCAACAGCTATTATAACAAATTCCAGCTATTAGCCTTGTTATTGCAAAATCTCTAGAACCACTAGAGATATGAGGCTCAAACTTGATGATAGTACTGTATGCATCACCATATGAAGACAATCTGATTAAATTTTGGAGTAACTAGGTTAAAGGTCACAGAGGTCAACATATACATTTCCAGTTATGTTGGTAGTATGTATCACTATAGGAAGACAATCCAAATAAATTTTGGAGTAACTAGGAAAGGTCACAGAGGTCAATTTCTGAAATTGCAGGTTTTAGCCTTGCTATTGCAATATCTCAAGAACTTCAAGAGATAGGCTTTTGTATTCATTGTGATATGTCAAATAATTGCATCCATTTCCTATACTTAATTTAGGGCGAAGGCATATAGGAGATGTAATAGAACAGTTTGGGGGCTAATTAAAGAATAAAACTAGTAATACACTGTCTGCTTTGAAGGAATCAGTTTACATTTTATGATTTTTCTTTCCGCAGGACAAGCCACAATATGGTGGACCTAATAAAAAACGTCAGAAATGCCGCAAAAGACAGTGTTTGCGAATGAGAGATGGTGTAAGTAAAAGGAGATAATCACAAACCAATTATTTTTTCAAATTGTGATTTAAAGATAAAGATGAGTTCTGGTCATGCGATTGCATTGTGAAAGAAAATGTGTGGAATGGATCAGAGAAAAATGATAATGTAGCATGAGAGTATGGTGTGTACTGCAAGGGTCTGGAGTCATCAAAATCATCATAAATTTGGCCCAGTCTTGGTAAAGTAACAAGCACTGTACACAGAAAGATGTATATGGGACTACACAAGTGGTGTTGGGCCTACTTACCTTGATTTCCTTATCTTTCTATGCTCATTACTCAGCCAGTATACATTTTCTACCAAACTTGTTTGGCAAATGACATTTATTTGTAATGTTTGAACATTCAGTGTAAGTTTCATTTGATTATGTGAGAATTCATTTTCCCTTTTTTACCAGAACTCAAGTTTATCTTTAAAGTCCATCTTCAAGTGAAGTTAAGAAATTAAACCATATCAATTAAATGACAGATTAAATCTCTGTGTTGGTTTTAAAAGATATACAAAAAATTCTAAACGCTTTGTGCGTTGGTTGTCCATTTTTTATTATTGATATTTCAATGTAAGTATTTTCATCATGTTATGTATACATTTGATATTGTACTTTGTATGTTGAACAGGAAGAAGTTTTGTAAAGTAAGATCTAATGACAGTATTCAGTAGACTATATTACCTTTTTAACGTTTCATTGCTTGCAATGCAATATTTTGGCTATCTTTAAAATATGCAGGACCGATTGTATTTGAATGAAAATTGGCAGAAGAAAATGAAGGAAAGGGAATCCAAGAGACGTACATTCAACAAATTGGTAAGTCAAGGTTTACAACAGCAGTACACCTTCACATACTTTTCTTCTTAAATTGTCAATGAATAATCAGTAACTGGCTGGCCAGACCTTGCCCATAATGATTACTGCAATGATAATTGTTGTCATGTCTCTTCCTTTATGTAGAATGAATTAGCATTTATTGAAGGTCAGGCTGCAATGATTAATACAAACAAGTCTTCCTTGGTGATTTTAATGTCTTTTTTTGTTAAAGCAAGCCTCAATGATTCTATATGTGAGCCAATAAATGCACTCTTTCAATGACATAAGAGGCAGAAGAGGGAAGGAGGCAATGTCCACAGACCCAATAATTGTTTGTCGTTGCGAAAACACCATTACTATCAAACTCAGGACATGTATGTATCTTGCAGAGCCAATGAACTGAATAGATTTTAGGGTCATGAGGTCAAAGATTAAAGGGTCATACATGTATATAAAACTAGATGGAATTCGACTGCGCGCAGTCGAAAATGATGCCTCCGTCAAAGAGCAATTTTGCAAACCAAAACAGAAGAAATTTTTCGAATTCAAGTTCAATTGTAATCCATTAACAGGTTCTCAGAATATCGTGATTACAAGCAATTTCTCATATACATATATGACCCTTTGATCTTCGACCTCATGACCCTAAAATCTACTCAGTTCTTTGGCTCTGCAAGATGTCCTGAGTTAAATAGTAATCCATCTGTCAGTTCTAATGAGAATGCGTTCACAAGCTATTTTTGCATACATAATGAGCACATGACCTTTGACCTTATGAACCAAGAATCTACTCAGTTCATTGGCTCTGCAAGTAACATACATGACCTAAGTTTGGCAGCGATCCATCAATCGGTTCTTGAGATAACGCGATCACAAGCTGTTTTTGCATACATAATGTGTGCTGTGGCCTTTGACCTTTGACCTCGTGACCCCAAAATCTAATCAGTTCATCGGCTCTGCAAGTAACATACATGACTTAAGTTTGGCAGCAATCCATCAATTAGTTCTTGAGATAACACGATCACGAGCTGTTTTTGCATACATAATGAGCCCTGTGACCTTTGACCTTTAACCTCGTGACCCCAAAATCTAATCAGTTCATTGGCTCTGCAAGATACATAAATGACCAAAGTTTGGCAGGAATCCATCAATTGGTTCTTCAGATAACACGATCATGAGCTGTTTTTGCATACATAATGAGCCCTGTGACCTTTGACCTTTGACCTTGTGACCTCAAAATCTTATCAGTTCATCGGCTCTGCAAGATACATACATGACCAAAGTTTGGCAGGAATCGATCAATCGGTTCTTCAGATAACGCGATAACGAGAACGGGACGTACGTACGTACGTACAGACGGACGGACGGACAACCCGAAAACATAATGCCTCCGGCTACTTCGTAACGGAGGCATAAAAATAGCTTATGATAACGATTTCTGTTAATGGATTACAATCAAACTTGAATGTTAAAAATTGCTTCCGTTTTGGTTTGTAAAATGACTGCATAGTCGAAGGTCAATCTAATTTTAACTTTGTCAAGTTTTCACTAGTTTTTATGCCTCCGTTACGAAGTAGCCGGAGGCATTATGTTTTCGGGTTGTCCGTCCGTACGTACATACGTACGTACGTCTGTACGTACGTACGTCCCGTTCTTGTGATCGCGTTATCTGAAGAACCGATCGATGGATTCCTGCCAAACTTTGGTCATGTATGTATCTTGCAGAGCCGATGAACTGATTAGATTTTGGGGTCACGAGGTCAAAGGTCAAAGGTCACAGGGCTCATTAGGTATACAAAAACAGCTCGTGATCGCGTTATCTGAAGAACCGATTGATGGATTCCTGCCAAACTTTGGTCATGTATGTATCTTGCAGAGCCAATGAACTGATTAGATTTTAGGGTCATGAGGTTAAAGGTCAAAGGTCACAGGGCTCATTATGTATGCATAAACAGCTTGTGATCGCGTTATCTCAAGAACCGATTGATGGATTCCTGCCAAACTTTGGTCATGTATGTTACTTGCAGAGCCGATGAACTGATTAGATTTAGTGGTCATGAGGTCAAAGGTCAAAGGCCACAGCACACATTATGTATGCAATAACAGCTTGTGATCGCGTTATCTCAAGAACCGATTGATGGATTCCTGCCGAAATTAGGTCATGTATGTTACTTGCAGAGCCAATGAACTGAGTAGATTCTTGGTTCATAAGGTCAAAGGTCAAAGATCATGGGCTCATTATGTAGGCAAAAATAGCTTGTGAACGCATTCTCATTAGAACTGACAGATGGATTACTATTTAACTCAGGACATCTTGCAGAGCCAATGAACTGAGTAGATTTTAGGGTCATGAGGTCAAAGATGAAAGAGTCATATACATGTATATGAGAAATTGCTTGTAATCACGATATTCTGAGAACCTGTCAATGGATTACAATTGAACTTGAATCCGAAAAATTTCTTCTGTTTTGGTTTGTAAAATTGCTCTATGACGGAGGCATCATTTTCGACTGCGCGCAGTCGAATTCAATCTAGTCAATAAATGTTATCATCACTCAAAGGCTTTTGGTGGAATATTTGTGTTTTTGGGTCAAACGGCTATATGGGATTATTTACTGTTCATTTTTATTTTCTTCATCAACAGAGGCAGAGTGTGACTGAACATGACTATGCCTTGACCCCGGTTTGTCCTTCATCAAAGGAACTGGAGACAGAAGAAGAAATAGGACAGGGAATCAAGAAACTGATGGAGGTACTCCACGAAGAAGATAAAGAGAAACAGACAGAAAATGAGGTAGGATTTTGTCGTATATTCTAGGAAATTTAAGATTTAGAAGAGACACTTTTTCAAACATCATAGGTATATTGGGTTATACTTTATGAATCAATATATTGGATATTGCAACAAGATTATGTAGAATTTAAAACTACCATTAAATGTAAGAGAGTACCAACTTCTATAGGAGCATTCTTTATAGATGCTGAGGTTCACCAAACCAAGGCTAAAACGTGTAATTTCAGAAATTGAATGTGACCTATTACCGCAAACTCTGTCAAATATCTTCCTTTAGTGATATCATCAAGTTTGAGCCTCATATCTCTAGTGGTTCTCGAGATATCGCGATAGCAAGGCTAATATCTAGAACTTCAAAAAAAGGTACTTCTATGACCTTCGACCTAATAACCAAAAATCTGATCAGATTATCTTTCTACGGTAATTATATAATATTGGATGGCTTTAAGTGTGATACAAGAATATTTTGCAATATTGAATGAGTTTGAGACGAGTCCAATATTGTCATAGCAAACTAGAGCAATACATTCTTGTATCACACGAAAAACAAAGCCATATAATATTATTATTCTCTATATCAGGCTGACTAGCAAAATAACACAATTTGACTTACCTTGGTAAATTTGAATTTTTTTGGGTGTGTGTGTTTGATATCGATAGTTGAAGTTCCTGGATCCAGATAATGTGCTAAAGATATTGAATACACTTATTTATTGTACCACTTGGAAGCCTTATATAGACAATAATACATATTACTAGTATCTTTTGTTTTGTTGATAGGATATGGAGCATTCAGAGAGTACTTCTGCGAGAAACGAATTCATCATGGATGCAGAATCGTGGACAGTAATGTCTGCATCTTCAGGCTCAGAGGTAAAAATGAAAGTTATGATTATTATCGAGTGTTATGTTGCTCAATCAAGATATTGATTATGTATTTTATCAAATTGATATTGATATAGATTAAATTGTTATGTCACTACTGGACAGGACTAGAATAGTTTTTGTTAAAATTGCATAATACTTAGACAAAATTGGGGTTAGGATTATGATTAGGGTTTGGGAATCCAAATGACACATATATTGTAATCTTTGCTTCATTACAAGGGGGTGTTCCCAGATGCCATTTCGCATTATACATTTCTTTCTTGTATTTCAGCTTGGACTGAATGGATATTTCTGTTCCTTTCTCTTTTGCAGGATGATTATCATTATAATGGCAATGTTGATGATGGTGATAGATCCTCATTGTACCTCTCCTCCTCATCTTCTTCCTCCTCCTCCTCCTCCTCTTCATCATCATCATCTTCACCACCTATATCCCCTGTGCAATCACCACGACGAGAGACTCGGTCGCCTTCACCATCCGGCTATGCCGTTTTGCCAGAAAGACGTGCCAAGGTTACTACTCTGGTTAATATGATGGATAAGATGAGCAAGGGCAAGGAAGAGAGCGAGTCTGAAGAGAGCGAGTCATCTGAAGATGATGGAAATACCCCTTTTGTCTTTTGTCTGTGCAAGAGTACTGACTATTCTCAGTTTATCATGTAAGTTTTCATGGCTTTTAGGTCAAGTCTGGTGTTTGATGTATTTTAATATCATGTGTAAAGCGCCATGAGCGTCAGAACCTGACGGATACCGGCGCTATATAAATAACCATATTATTATTTATATGTTACAGAGTATGATGAAATTATGAAAATGATTAATGTCAATATTGTCACTCTCCCTGATAGTTTGGCTAATCCAAACTATGGTAGGGCTATGCAAATGATCTTGGATAGTTATCTAGTTTGTAACTTGGCGAGAAAATACCACAGGTTTTGGGTTGCAATTGAGTGTAGGTTAGGTTTAAGGTTAGGTTCTATTGTTCAATTTAGGAATTTGGTAGGTGTTGGGATAAACTGGAGCTTTTTCATTGATCCCTTTGATGCCCAATGTGTATTATCTGTACATTTCTCAATAATAGTGATGACTACAATATACTCTACCCAGTCCAGCTGATTACAGCTTTTACATTTTTCCCTCTCCTAGATCATGTGACTATTGTGCCAAAATGTATCATGGGAAATGTGTAGGTGTGGAGCCACTTGCAGCCAAGTTCATTCTAAAGTATGCCTGCCCACCCTGCAGAGGTTTGTATTCACTCCATACGTAGATCTATAGCAATGTTTGAATTGATCCAGGTCATGAACATGAACTTGGGTTAGTCTGTGCAATGTGTCCTGTATGACATATTCTATCAATAAATCTAAAATCTCTGACCATACAATAATGGTGCTTTCTGGTATCACCACCATTAGTCAGAGACTTAAATCAAGAAACTTTTCATTCATGGATGAAATATATGGATAAATATCATATCTTGTACGAGACATATGGAATTGCACATGATCAGAAAAGGTTGATCATCTAGCATATAAGTATTGGTGTGTACTGCAAGGTTCTGGAATCATCAAAATGATAAGTAATTTGGCCCAGTCTTCGGAAAGTTACAAGCACTGTACACAAAAAGATGTATATGGGACTACGCACACATGCATGACACATGCATATTATCTATTTGGTTCCAAGAGATAAACTAATTTACCAAATATATCAATTAGTAGTAGGCGGTTTCCCCTGCAAAATTGTTATCATTATGTATGAGTCAAAACAATTTCTTTCACATGAGTGGTAATAAGAGCTTCCATTTCATTTTTTGAGAGGGGGGCGTTTCCAAAACTGGTCTTTACCTTTAATACAAGTCTTTGTTATTCCTCTAAACACACCCTAGGCTCACTAATTTTTACAGAACTAAACAGGAACTGTATTGATTTCTTTCTACTATGCACTACGCACAATGAAAAATCACATGAAAAGACTGCCCAAGTGAGACGCAAAAAAGAGGTCTCTCTAGGCAGGTGATCCTCATGTACGGGTTTCATTTACTACCTCCACAAGGGTAACACAAATGGTGGTCTTTCTATACTGGTGGTTGCTGGAGCAGATTTTACTGTACCAAATTCAAATTGATTTCAATGTTAGCTTCAGAAATAGAAACTCTTTTACATAATATCTCATTTATCTGCCATTATGGTCACTACAGGGTTTTCCTCCTGCCTGAGTGGACAGCAAGAGTTAGTTGATCAAAATTTCATTCTTTTTTGTTTTTTTAGAAAAAAACCCAACTCTTACGGTTTTCTATAAAGAGAAACTTACAAATCCAGGCACTGAATCTATGTTGGGAAACATAAGCAAGGAATCTGAAGAGGCAGAAGAGGGACCAAACATCGAGAAACATCAAAAGGAAAGGAAGCCAAGAAGGAGGAGGGTAAAAATATGAACATTGATTTGTCTCTTATTGTTTTGTAGAAATAGTAAACAAATATACCATGCACTGAGAGGCTCTAGTTGAAATTATGGATCGAGGTGGCAGGAATAGCACTATTTCTTGAGGAAGAAAAGAAAATACGGCTATTTCTGACGCCGAGGAATCCATAATATCACTAGGGGCTTGAAATAGAGCATGATATATTTTTCAAACTGACCTTCATAAAAATAATGATAATAATGATGTTTACTGTCACTGAAGTAGTGTAGAGTGCAGTGAGAGCAGCGCAGACGCACGACCGCGACCGATAGTACATTGATCTTGATCGATCGCATATATATATATATATATATGATGTCATCCATGGTATAGTGCCATGGTATAGTGCACTATACTGTGGATGACGTCACAGTTCCATCATAGCAATGTTATGTTTGGTCACATGATGCTATGTTGACCAATCACTGAGCAGGATTTCATTGATAAAAAATATAATAGAAAATGTTTATAATGCTAAATATATTACTCATTGCGGATGTAGTATCAAAAATGATATCGCTAGTGATATTCGTTTGTCTCGCAATGTGGTCAATAAGGAATCTAAAAGATCACGACGTTTCGTGCGCTATCTGCAACACTTCGTCAGGTGATAAAAACTAATGTAAGCAAGGGTCTTTTATACTTCAAGGGAGGACCGGCGGAGCGGTCTATAATTCGATCCAGTTTGACTGAATATACGATTCCCAATTTGAGTGGTTTTGCAGAGTTCATAGCAGAGCAAACCATCGGTACTCAAGAACGCATGGTTTAGTTTGACGTAGTTTCACTCTTCACCAATGTACCGATTGAGGGTGTATGCAATGCTACATTGCAACGCTTACAATCAGACAGCAATTTGTCTACCCGTACCGCACTCTCACCGGAACAACTCACTCAACTCCTCGAGTTTGTTCTACGATCCACATATTTTCTGTATAAAGGTTCATACTATGAACAGACAGAAGGGGCAGCCATGGGCAGTCCAGTCTCAGCTGTCATGGCCAACCTATACATGGAGGGTTTCGAAGAAGAAACATTGGACACATGTCCCCTCTCCTGCATTGCCTCGTGTTTGGAAGAGATACGTAGATGACACCTTCATCTTAGTTCCCATCTCTGAAACAGATAAGCTGCTTAAACACATGAATAGCCTTGAACCAACCATCCAGTTCACATCAGAGATAGAGTGTGAAGGGAAGATTGCATTCTTAGACACTCTAGTTCATAGACACGACAACCATAGGCTCTCCACCTCAGTCTATAGGAAGCCTACCCACACAGAACAGTACATAGCGTTTGACTCTCACCATCCCATATCGGTGAAGAGAGGTCTAGTGAAATGTCTATTTGACAGAGCTTCACGCATTGTGACAAGTCCACAACAGCCATGCAAAGACAGACCCGTGTTCACAGTGCCCTGAGTCTCAACGGTTACCCACGCCGTTTTATACACAATACCAAGAATAGATCGTCGGAACCCAGGGATCAGAAGGTATACAAGACATTTACAGTCTTGCCGTACATTGATGGGGTCTCCCAACAACTCAAGCGCCGCCTAGAGAGCCATGGCATTCGAATGGTTTTCAGATCAGATACCACCCTACGTCAACAACTTACACGCCCCAAGGATCCAATTCCCCCACATAGACGGGACGCAGAGCTGCCAAGTCTCCCGGATCCTGCGGGAGACTCCCGGATTTTGACCCAATATCCCGTTTTCCCGACCCCATGCAAAAATCTCCCGGATTTCCAGATTTTAAGTTGTATTATTTTCATAAACGACTGTTTCACAAGACTAGCATGTTGAGTTCGTACGTACGTATACAAACACACGGCAATTCTGTAATATGAATTTTCCTGTTATCCAGTCGTCGAATATAAATTTACCGTGATATCGTACTTTATTTAACAGCGTAATAAATGAGAGTTACGCCGAACGACTGGCGGGCTAATCTAACAAACCATTGGGAACATGTGATAATGTGAGTGGTGTTTGTGTGATAGCAATTCGCCTGCTTGCTCTGCCGGGCGGCTTCCTCGCCGGCCCCCGTAGCGTCCCGGTACGTTGGTGCCGGTTTCCGATCGGTCGCGTCAGAGCAGCCAGAAGTTGCACTGATACAACAAGCAGACTTTGTCTGCTGCGATCGGCCCAAAAAACTGCACATTTCAACATCAGTTTTTGGATTGATTTGGGGACTTTTGCGATGTGATTTTTAAGTGGATTATCATTTGATACCAACATGGCAGTGTTACTGCAGAGTGGATTTTGAAGCCGACTTTTTTTTCTGATCTCCTTTGCCGTTGGGAACGCATCGATATAACTTGCATCTTCCGAAGGCGTAAGTCAACTTTGTCCAAAACAAGGCTGTATTTTGCTCTCTGTTTGAGTATTAAAATATCATCCAGGACAATGTCGAAGTCGAAATATTATCAGAAATATAAAGATGACTACCACTTGGAATGGCCTTGTGTTGGGAAATCTACGAAAGGCGAATACTACGCATTTTGTACAGTTTGCGGCGCAGATATCTCCATCAAGAGTGGGGGAAGAAATGATGTATTTCGCCACATCACATCTGACAAACACAAGCAAACCGCGAAAGCAAGGGGCAATACAAAAGGAATACAGAGCTTTTTCAGGTTAGTATGAACAGTTCTTAGATTTGTAAAATCGAGAAATAGTCTACCCCTCTATACAGATGCTGATTTGACATACTTCTACTTGTCGGTGAGGAAGTATTATGAATCAGCATGTGACTATGCCTTGAAAACCTGGCCACTAGATGTTAAGTTCCTTAAGGAGGCTGAAGTGATTGATGTCAGTTCCAGAAGAGATGTGTCATTTTCATCTGTGCAATACTTTGTTGAAAAGTACCCTTGCATTTTGAACAGACAATCAGAGAATGGAGACCTGGACAAGCTTGAGCTGGAATTTGCACAATACCAGGTTGAAGACTTTTCAGGGGAACCAGAGATCCTGAACAAAAACTTGAGAATAGACAAGAAATGGTCTGCAATTTCAAAGATGGAGGATGGCAATGGCTCAAAGAAATACACACTTCTGAGCAAAGTGATGAAATCTTTGCTTGTGATACCACATTCCAATGCTTCATGTGAAAGAGTTTTTAGCATTGTTAGGAAGAACAAAACTGATTTCAGGGGATCAATGAATTTGAAAACACTTCAAGCACTCCTAACAGAGAAAATTGCCAACACAGATGTCCCATGCTACCAAAGGGAGTATAGCAAGGACCTCCTTAGCAAACTCAAGCAAGCAACCTACCAGTCACTTCAAGGAAAACCCTCAAGCACACCCCAGTCCTTGCCTTCCACAAGTACATCCCCCATTTCACAATAGAGGTAACAGGAGTTCATAGTCTGAAATATGATGTGAAGTTCATATGTTATCAATTGTATGCAAATAAAATGTGCCATATCAAAGCCTTCCATTTTGAGAAATCATTGAAAAAATGTGTTCTAAAAGGGTTTCAAAGAGGCTTAAAACCAAGAGCTTTTGGGGGCCTGCCCCCTGCCCCCCCCCCCCCCCCCCACCAGGGGCACTAAAAGGCCATTCTTGGTTCCCGCCAACAATGAAGTCGTTCGATGCTGCTCTCTCAGAAATCTCCCTGATTACCCAAATCAAATGTTGGCAGCTCTGGGGACGGCATTGTGTACAACATCCCTTGTAAAGGATGTGATAGATCCTACATCGGTGAAACTGCCCGTCCGATAAAAGAAAGAATCACTGACCATAAGAGGGACGTCAGGCTCCGCCGAACTGACAACTCAGCAGTAGCCGAACATGCTTGGGATAACCAGCATCAACCAGACTGGGACGGGGTTCAGTGCCTTTCCCAGGAACGGCATTGGTATACACGGAGGGTAAAAGAAGCTATCAATATCCGTCTCAATCATAATAATTTCAACAGAGACAACGGGATTGATATCCCCGAATTTTGGATGCAAACGATACGCCGCCATGACACTCACCGTCCTGCCAGTCAACACCGGTCGATTCCATTCAGCAGACGGGCCGACCCAGCGGCCCATTGATTGGTTGAGCACCGTATGCGTCGGCCAATAGGCCTGGTGCATTAGCCGAACCAGCGGCCGAACCAGCAGCCTGGTGATTGGTCGATCACTGTGTGCGTCGACCAATAGGCATTGTGCGTTATTGTTCCAATTATCGATCGAATTATAGACCGCCCCGCCGGTCCTCCCGTAAAGTATAAAAGACCCTTGCTTACATTAGTTTTTATCACCTGACGAAGTGTTGCAGATAGCGCACGAAACGTTGTGATCTTTTAGATTCCTTATTGACCACATTGCGAGACAAATGAATATCAATAGCGATATTATTTTCGAGAATGTATATGTTTGAAAGTCTTATATTGTTTATTTCTGCATACAATTCTATTTTTAGAAAATTCGGAAAGTGATAAATGAATGATTTAAACGAGTGAACAACAATACAAACAAATGAATAATATAATAAATACATAAATGATAAATTTGGAACCAAAGGATTTGTGACATAATAAAACGGTTTCCCAGCCCGGTCCCTGACCATCACGCCGAAACCCGGGTTTGAACGTTTACCTCAATAATGACTCAGGCCTGGTATATTTTTGTTTATACCCTTGTAATATTTATTACATAATTCATGATGAGTATAATGAGATACTTGGACAAAGGACTTGAGAAAATTCAATTTCAATTTATTGTCCAATATTGGAAATTTGTTTTGCTCACATTTTACAAATGACAAAGAATCAAAATAAGTTTACATACACAATATATCATATACCTTGACATAGAAATTCTTCAGAATATTGTTATACAGAAATTTTCTTACGTTATTATAAAACAAAATAAGCAAATTATTTAAAACTTTTTGAGTGAACGGGATTGCCCGGAAAGGTTACAAAAATTAAATTACAGAAATAAAGTTGAACTTAAAAGTCAGGTGATTGATATTGAGCATTTTGATTGTATTTGCGGATCGAGAAAGGAACGAAAGAAAACGTTGAGTGCGACGGTTCATTGAACGAAGTCGTTTACCAGAACGCATAAAAACATATGGAAAGAGTGGATGATTTTTGTTTTTCATAATTTGTTTACCTCTAGAATTATTTTGGAATCATGCTTCATTTAGATTTTGAATTTCACTCGTGATCTTCCCTGCTTGTTTGGTGATTCTCTGGAGCTTGCTAAATTCTTTCTTTCTACACCTTCCATACCAGACAATACAACTAAATAACACAACACTTTCTATAATGGATTTGTAGAACAAAGTAAGAATGGTCCTATCTACATGAAACGATTTAAGTCTTCTTTAAAAATACATCCTTTGTTGAGCCTTTGAAAGAACGGACTTACACTGATCAGCCCATGATAATTTGTTGTCAATAGATACTTGTATGGCTCAACAATTTCTATATTTTCTTCTGTTATGATCTAGGCAATAAAACTGAACGTGTGGAAGTTCTGAAATCAAAAATCATTTCTTTTGTTTTGGAAGCATTAAGTTGAAGAAAATTTTGGTTGCACCACTCTTCAAACTTGTTAACCACGTATCAATAATTGACTTCATCTTTACTTATGAGACCCACTATCGTTGTATCATCGGCATATTCCACAAGCTTAACGCCGTCTTTTGTAGCTAAACAGTCATTCGTATAAATAATTAACAAAGGTGCCAATAGCACACATCCCTGTGGAGACCCAGAATTTACTGTGATCAGATCCGACAACTCATTTTGTACTTTTACCCTTTGTGTACGATTTGACAAGAAATTTTGTATCCACAAAATTAAAGAAGATGTAATGTTCATTTGTTTCAGCTTATGAACCAACATGTGGTTTTGTATCGTGTTAAAAGCGGCAGAAAAATCTGTGAATGAAATCCGTACATACATGTAGAAACCAGCTTTATCAGTGCATTGTGAGACAAAATGTATAAGTGAAAGTATAGCATCGTTTACACATTTCTTTGGTTGGTATGCAAATTGCATACCGGTAACATCAATATCCTTTAACACACTAGGAAATACGAATTGCAGTTCAACCCTTTCAAAACTTTTCATAACCAGTGAAGTGAGGGCTATTGGTCTGAAATCATTTGGCTGGGAAGCTTGAGGTGATTTGGCTGCTGGGATAACAACAGCTGACTTCCAGTAATTGGGCACATAGTTTTGATCGAGAGATTCCTGAAAAAGAGTGTGAAATGGCATTGCTAGTTGCCACGCACAAACTTTTAACAATTTTCCACAAATGTTATAGGGTCCCATTGCTTTTCTAGGATTGGTTCTCTTGAAATATTTCACATCTGTTAGCTCACAACAAGTTGGGGGAGAGTCTTCATTCCTCAACTCTGTACATCGACTAGCTTTCTCATCATTAAAACTTTTAGTATCAAAACGGGCATAGAATCTGTTCAACTCATTTGCAGTGTCATGCAAATTACCTCCTGCAAAATCTGAAAATCTAGAACTTTTAGCCAGATGATCTTTATGTACAAGTTCTTCTAATACATGAATCGATAAGAGACACCATAGAAAACAAGCTGTTTTTATATATATGGTATTTTTATTCAGGTATTCATAGAAGTAAGCTTGACCGTTGTTGTTACATTATTTGTATCAATATTAGTAAATAGAATATGTTTTGCTGTATGCTTATAAGTATGTTATCTCTTCAATTTTAGCGAATGATCATAACCTGTAAAAGATGCGCTGCATGCAGAAGAAAAGAGGATTGTGGACGGTGCATGAAATGCAAGGTAAGACGGTTGAATGTGTGTGTTATGTTATGCTACGGTCACAAAGGTTTGTACGAATCTCCCCGTTTTTCCATTGTCTGAAAATCATTTCGTACGGCGTTCATAGCAGTTCGTAATGTCATTTGTGACCGAGGCTTAAACTAAAACAATTGTTTTATTGTGTGCTCTGCAGTACTCTTAAACCTAGAGTGTTATTTATTTTTTATTTTATTTTTTGGGGGAAGGTACATTGTACCTCTATCTATCATATTTATGTTGCCAAGTTTTCTTTTTGGGCCACTGTTAGTAAGGATAGGCAGAATCTAGGTAGATGATAGTGATATATATTGTGAGCCACAATCCTTTTCAGATTTGAGTTATTTTTGGTTCTCTTTTTTTCCTTCAGGACAAGATAAAGTTTGGAGGACTTGGTAGACAGAAACAAAAATGTAGCCGAAGAGTGTGTGCGGATAGCATAAAGGTACCATTGCAGGTAATTAACAAATAGGAAACATATGAGAAGGTGATATGAGCACGATGCAAAAGAAAAATGGAAATTTCATCATGTATAAAGTGTTTTATATGTTAATTCGTTGCATGTTTAGTATTCAGACGCCATGGATGATTGGAATTATTTCTGTCTCCCTGTACCATAGGAATAATTGATAACCTCACATTAGTAGATCTTGACGGAACTGAGTAGAATATAATCTATGATCGGGAAACACCACGTCCTTTGGATACAGTGTTAAATGGAGAGATACCACCTTTGCACGTTAAGAACAAGTGCACTATTTGTATAAGAGTAAGGGTAAACCCCGGTGTAGTGGTTCGCCTCCACATCCCCATTCAAGTTATCCTGGGAGGAGAGACATGAGGGTTACAGTGATACAGTTCCCTGTAGTCGTAGAAATAAGACTTCAGCATATGTAATACATGTAGGAGGCGAGTCGGCTCGTAAGGAGGCGAGTTGGCTCAGTCGGTAACGCATCCGTCTGTCTAACCAAAGATCCCGGGTTCGACTCCCACCCAGGCGGATGACTGAAGCCTGCGATGTGTGTTAACGTGCCCCTTCCCTTGTTCATAGATGCAGGTTATGTCAAGTGGAAAACACTCCATCCCTCGGATAGGACGTTAAATGGAGGCCCCGTGTCGACAAAAGTCGCTACCTTTGCACGTTAAGAACCCACTGCACTATTCGTATAAGAGTAGGGGCAACCCCGGTGTAGTGGTCCACCTGCACACACCCCCAGTATAGTATGATAATACTCTGTAAAGAGGTCTGTACTCAAAAGGAAGAAGAAGAAGAAGAAGATGTTGTCACAAGGCCTAATGTAGCTGGGGAACGCCTAACCTTAATTGGAATTAGTTTTATATGCAGACATCAACTTCATGTAGACAGTGTGACTTCATGCTTTTGTTACAATTTTCACGATAAGTAAGAATAGAACCAAACGACATTAATTCCAGTGTGTGAAATCCTAGCTTTGTTATGAAAGGGATTTTTTTTTTTTTTTTAATCAGCCATATCTATCAACATGACTATTAACCCAGGTTCGTCCCACAATAAAGAGACTGAAGAAAGAAAAAGATATTTTTCATTTCATTTCATTTCTTTATTGTGTCCATATAGGATAATTGTTTATATGCACATGAACAATCTTGCTTCAACATATGAACATAGGAACAACATATAATTGACATTCATAGGGCCCTGTTTTAGTATACATTTGATATAATATACATGATCATGATATACATTTAAATACTCTTTCTTCTTCGTCTTCTTCTTCTTCTCTCTTTCTTCTTACATACCCTTCATTTTCTATTATTTTTATATGCTCTAATCTGAAGTAGGTATTTTGTGTTAAAAAATATTTCTTGATATGGTATAACAGTAGGGGTACAACAGTAAAGTAAGTATACTGAAACAATATATATATTTGTGTAACATGTTAATGAGGGTATTTTGCATGGTTTTCACATTCTCTTCTGTTTACTGGGTTTCATTAACAACTCTTATGGAAAGTGGAATGAATGAATTAATGCGGCGACTAGTTCTTGCTTTAACAGATCTCAATCTTTGTCCGCTTCTCAGGTGTATGAACTGGTCATCAAGGGGATGGGTTAGATCAGACATAATGGACAGGGCCTTAGATACTACTCTTTCCTTACAGACTTCATCTAGGTCAACAGTATGGTTCATTATTTTGTTGGCTTGTTTTACAACCATTCTCAGCTTTTGTTTGTCACTTTGCCTTGCATTATTAAACCAGATGATGGAATCAAATGTAATAGTACTCTGAATTTTCGACTGGTAAAAGAGAAACAGAATTATATTGTTCACATGAAAGTACTTTAAATTTCTAGGAAAAATACAAACGCTGGTTGCATTTAGTTAGGGTGCGCTTTGACTTGTCTTCCCAAGACAGCTTATTGTCGATTTCTGTACCTAGGTATCTATAACTTTCAACATTCTCAATGGTATCATCATTAAAGAATACAGGTCCATCAATAGGAAAGAGAATCAAGAAACAAATGAAGGGACTCCAGAAAGACAAAAGGAAGAAACAGAAGCAGACAGAAAATGAGGTATGATTCTCACCTTGTCTAGGAAATTTAAGATTTAGAGTGGTTAGATTTTCAATTATTGTATATTGGATTATACTTTATAAAGTCGTATATTGGAAAGCACATTCATAATAATGCGCAACATGACTTTCACGCTATGATGTTTTCAAGGGTCACATGCTAATGTCAAAGGTCATTTGAGATCATATTTTATAGTCTACCTGCAAGACTTTCTTGTCACAAATAACTTTGCAACCCTCAATCCCATTGTAAAGAAATAAGTTTGCAGCCAATAAAGACTGGTTTCCAAAACACAGTCTTTGCCACTGTCACTAAAAAATTTGGTCACAGGTGGTTTAGACAAGCAAATACAACAGTGCGATTTTTGCTTAATAAAATATGATATTTCCCCAAAACAAAAAACAATAATAAAAAAATTAAAATTTACTTGTGTATGTTATGTGTGTGTGCCATTTTCAATGGCAAATTCACATCTCATACCGGCAATTTGGGGATGTTCATTGGTTCATTGAACACACTAGTCATTACGAAATCATGCATATTCAACCAATGGTCCATACAAATACATATACATACCGCTCATTGATTCATTGATCGTTCATTCATGATGGACCCTTGCATATTACTTAACAAAATGTTTGTAAAATGTACTCGTGCATAATTCTTCAAAACGTCGACGAACACAGTCAAACAAAAAGAAAGTACATATCGATCAAAGATAAGATTTTTATTTTGGGGTTGGCAGCTCTGTATATATGCACTGCACACACTTTAAATCAGAATTGGATAATGAATTAGACTTGTCAAGTTCATTATCCTGCTCATTATAAGTTTAGTGCATATCACTATTAAATGCAAGAGCTTCAAAATGTGAATTATTTGTAAGACAGGTCTACAATATGCTGATGAAATAGAGAAATAAGCAACAAACCTGATCAAAACAGCAAGAGACGCACAGTCACTAGATGTCATCTTAAATACGCACAAGCATTCCTTTTTTATTCGAGCGGAGTGACCTACATGAAAAATATTATTTTGTTATTTCTATTTTTTACTAACAGCAGTCATCAAATGACAAATCCAACATTCAAACTTCAGGTCTGGTATTAGAGTATTCTGGAACATAATATAATTTCGTTAGCAGCATTCATTAAACAAATTCATGCATTACTAATGCATTTCATAACAAACAAAAATCATGTTTTAATTTCCTATACTTGTGACAGTGAGCATCAAATCGTGTGGAAAAAGTAAAAAGCAAAAAGGGGAATGTATAGACATTTGCAGTGAAATAGGTTAAGATTGATTTCTCAATCTTTAACAGTGTCTATTTTCAACCAAGGATTTGTTGCTTCCCATAGTTCCCCGACTTGCTATGATTATGCTGACTGGCACATTGTGGGCCTCTGCTGCAATTGGTAGATGGGTGGTTATACAAAGCATAAACATTTGACAAGTAATGAATAATATAGCATAATATAGAATTTTGTAACCATTTTTCCTTTCTGTAAATTTAGGAGATAGGGTAATTGACAAAGTTGCAAGAATCAAATTGACATTTGATTTAACTGAATCCATTTGATCCATGATTACAAATACTTGGGATTCACACTGTCATCTTGCTGGTGATTGGTTTAAAAGCATTCTAATCTTGTGCCAACTTGCTCTCTAAAAATATCATGCCAATCATGTTACATGTATACAAATGCACACAGGAAACTGAAAAGGCAAAACCATTACTCAGCAAATAATTGGGGCTAGATCTATCCAAAACATCTTTTTTCAGGCACAATTAAATAAACAATCCATGCATGAATATTCAAACTTTTTCATGTTTTACTTGATAAACTTAATAGTAGGACCTAAACTCAATATAGAGGAATCCAAGTTAGGCATGTATTGTATTTAGAAATTAATTTTATTTGAAATGCACCAGGATTTTATCCTCTTTATGTTCTTTCTTTTTTCAGGGTTTCAATAGTTTTTTTTCTAATTTCAAGCAAGGGCAATTGTTGTCATAAAAGGTCATGTCTCTCTCAGACCCTACATGAAATAGATAATTCCTGAATTTATGACATCATTTCTGTGCTTTTCCTTATAGAAGAGGAAATACATAGCTCCCTGCCAAACCATATTATATGATACATCCAAGATCCCAAATCCAAAATTGGTAAGTACACATTGGATGGGGAGGGGGGGGGGGGGGCAACCCCCCTTCCTTCTCTTTGCATGCCGCCCTCTTTGCTTAAAGTCTTGCGAGCTTTTGTTTTTGTCTTTCTTTTGATGTATTAAGAGAGGAGAGGGGTAAATAAATATCAATAAGTAGCGAAGGGAACCTCTTTTTTAAAGGCTTTATAGAAGAAAAGAGGTGAAATAGTGATAAATCACTCGTATCATAAGTGTATTGCTGTACTACCGATATCAAACCAGGATTGAAGATTTTCTTCTTTCAAGCTGACTGCTATTTACCATTGAGCTAAATATTATTATTATTGTGTTGTTGTTGTTGTTGTCATTAATATTATTATTAACATCACTGCCACCACCACCCCAGCACCATCATCATTATTATTAATATATTCATTAGATGGTTGAAATTAGTTATCTTCTAGAAGTTGCTTAAGGTATACTTGAATCTGCACCAAGATTGCATTTCAAAATGTTTTTTTAATCGCTGTTTTCTGATCAATCTCTCAGAGGAAATATGTATCTCACGAGCTCCAGTTTCACCATGACTACGCATTGCAGCCAACAAAGACAACATCTTGGGAAAAACCAGAAGGGGAGGACACAGATGTTGAAGAGGAGGCGGAGTCAGCAATGAAAACAAATCAGCCAAAGGTAGGATTTTCTAATTTTTGTTCATTTCATTTTGATGACACATGTAGTCAGAGAAGTCTGAGAACAAGATACTATATATGTATCTATATATTGCAAGACTTCACCAAGGTTTAGTCCGAATTAGTTAAAGGGATTGGGTATCTTTATCTCAGATCTTGAAACAAAATCCTTTATTTAGCTCATGCTGCTTTCCTTTAGGTCAGTCAGAAACCCCATGACTTTTACAAGCCAATCGCCTGTCTAATTATCAAGATATTTATGATTAGAAATCGAAATCAAATTTTGTGTTTTCCTAACGGTTTTTATAACACTACAGTCTATTGGGGAAAATGAGTATGGTAAATCCAGTCACTCAAAGATTTTTACTGTTTTGAGGCACTTCATGATCATATTTGAAGTGCAATTTTTTTAGGGCTTCAATATTACACCATATCACAGACACTGATTACACGTAGGGCCATGCATCTCAGATTTATCATTTTTAAACGATTCCTTTAAAACAAGCACAAACAGCTTTTTAACAACATGTGAACAGATGTAACCTTGGCTAATTCATGCTAGGTGCCTATATACACTTATGCCAGATATTGATGAGCAGAGGAAGAGGGAGAAAGAAAAAAATGTGAAGAATTCTAATGAAATATTCTTAGACTGATTACAGTAGACATTCATCAATCATTATTTTATCTTTAAAATGGAATTGGTATTCTAAGACAACTTTTTATCTCGGAGTTTATCTTTCATTTTTAGCTCAATCTCTTCCTTCTTGCGTGCCCATTACAGTTATTTATGTATTTATTATTGCTCTTCTCTGATCAATCTCTCACGAGCTCCAGCTTTTCCATGAAAACCCATTTCAACCAACAAGGACAACATCTTGGGGAAAAACAGAAGGGAAGGACAAAGATTGTGAAGAAAAGGCAGAGTCAGCAATGAAAAAAAATCGGCCAAAGGTAGGATTTTCCAAGAGAGACGAAAAAATATGAAGACATCTAGTGAAATATTCTTAGACTGATTACAGTAGACATTCATCAATCATTATTTTATCCCAAAATGTAATTTGGTATTCTGAGACTGCTTTTTATCTCAGAGTTTATCTTTCATTTTAGCTCAATCTCTTACTTCTTGCATGCCCATTACAGTTACATGCATGATAAGTGTACGGTAGTAGTTTTAATGCCCATCTTATCTTACAAGAAAGTTGGAATATAATTTAAAATAGGGTAAGCTATCTTATCTCTTGGATGTACTATATGTGCCACATTTTCTGGACAGGTATCCTGCTAATCATGTGATAAAAAATAAAGGAGAAATACTGAGTATTGACTACATTTCTCAAGCAACAATCTCGTAGGAATTCTATTTTAAGACTTTTGCTGATTAAGCTGATTGATAGTTGAGAGCGAGTTCTGTGTGATCCTGTAGACTGGGTATTACGCTAAGCGATGTGAAATTTGTAAAAATAAGCATTTTGCTGGGCAATTCTTTCATTGAAGAGACTTAACGCATTCCACTCTCCTGCCCAAAAAACAGGCAGAGAGCGATTCTATTGGCTGATCATGACGAGAGTGATTATATTGGCCGATCATGACAAAAGTGATTCTATTGGCTGATCATGACGAGAGTGATTCTATTGGCTGATCATGACGAGAGTGATTCTATTGGCTGATCATGACGAGAGTGATTCTATTGGCTGATCATGACGAGAGCGATTTTATTGGCTGATCATGACGAGAGTGGTTCTATTGGCTGATCATGACCAGAGTGATTCTATTGGCTGATCATGACGAGAGTGATTCTATTGGCTGATCATGACGAGAGTGATTCTATTGGCTGATCATGACGAGAGTGATTCTATTGGCTGATCATGACGAGAGTGATTCTATTGGCTGATCATGACGAGAGTGATTCTATTGGCTGATCATGACGAGAGGGATTTTATTGGCTGATCATGACGAGAGTGGTTCTATTGGCTGATCATGACGAGAGTGATTCTATTGGCTGATCATGACGAGAGTGGTTCTATTGGCTGATCATGACGAGAGTGATTCTATTGGCTGATCATGACGAGAGTGACTCTATTGGCTGATCATGACGAGAGTGATTCTATTGGCTGATCATGACGAGAGTGATTCTATTGGCTGATCATGACAAGAGTGATTCTATTAACTGATCATGATGAGAGTGATTCTATTGGCTGATCATGACGAGAGTGATTCTATTGGCTGATCATGATGAGAGTGATTCTATTGGCTGATCATGACGAGAGTGATTCTATTGGCTGATCATGAGAAGAGTGTAATCTAACAACATTTCTTATTGGTTACCGCATCTCAAGAGGGTCTGTAATACTGAGATAAAATCTTGCTACTCGGTATACCAATTTAGGAAAGATTTTAATAGTATTTTATCGTACCGAGATAATATCGCGGAGTTTACCCATATCTAGGATAATATAAATCTCGGAAAACCATCCCTGTTTTTAAATGTTTTCTTCCCCCTCAGAAACTGAACGACAAATTGGTCTTCAACAAAATGACAATGAGCTTGAAAGCAAAGGAGAAGAAAAAGAGGCAAAGTAAACCGGTGAGATATTAAAGTTTTTTTTCAAAGTCTTCTATTCAAACCTGTAGTGTGCTTTCCAATAGATATTTGAATATTTGTTTGAGATGTGGCCCTATGTTATGCAATATTTCTTACAATCACTTTCACCATTATTTCTTTACCAACATGCATTCATTATTATACCAAATAACAAATAACAAAACTTAACATAGAGTAAATTGCATGTTAAAATCGGATTGGCCCACAGAAGTGCTTCTAAACTTTTCTATGCCTTGTGATCGCGTTATCTCAAGAACCGACTGATTCCTACCAAACTTTGGTCATGTATGTAACTTGCAGAGCCAATGAATTGATTAGATTTTGGGGATCAAAGGTCACAGGGCTCATTATGTATGCAAAAATAGCTTGTGATCACGTTATCTCAAGAACTGATTGATGGATTCCTGCCCTACTTAGGACATGTATGTATCTTGCAGAGCCAATGAATTGATTAGATTTTGGGGTTACAAGGTCAAAGGTCACAGGTCACAGGGTTCATAATGTATGCAAAAATAGCTTGGGATCGCGTTATTACAAGAACTGATTGATGGATTCCTGCCAAACTTAGGTCATGTATGTATTTTGCAGAGCCAATTAATTGATTATATTTTGGGGTCACAAGGTCATTAGGCTCATTATATATGCAAAAATAGCTTGTGATCACAATATCATTAGAACCGAAGGATGGATTACCATCAAAATCAAGACATGTATATGTATGTATCTTGCAGAGCCAATGAACTGAGTAGATTTTGGGGACATGAGGTCAAAGATTAAAGGGTCATACTTGTTTATGAGAAATAGCTTGTAATCACAATATTCTGAGAACCTGTTAATGGATTACAATTAAACTTGAATTTGGAAAATTTCTTCTGTTTTGGTTTGTAAAATTGCTCTATGATGGAGGCATCATTTTCTACTGCGCGCAGTCGAAGTTCCTTCTAGTTTAACTGGAGGCCAACTTTGGTTATTAGAAATTTTCTGAGGCCCACCTTATAAAATCTTAATTATACAAAAAAGAAAAAACATATACAAGACATTGATCTACATTTGCCACACTCAACCCAGGTAGATAGATAGATATTTCATAACGTATTATGTGCTATACAAGAACTTAACTATTATCATTATTATTATTATTCATGTTTTCTTCTTAGTACAATTATGTCACATACTCTGAAAAGGATGTCGTATTTATTATAACAAATTCAACATTTCTTCTCCATTAAAAAGTAAATGTTTGAATAGATGTTTTGCTTATCTTGATTATTGTGGAATTCTCTATTACAGTCCAAAGAACATTCTAAATGAATTTGATCATTTTTTTTCTCTCTCTCTCTTCAGCGTAAAACAAAATGTGGTTGGTGTAAACCATGCAGAAAACTGTATGACTGTGAAGAATGTATATATTGCATAGTAAGTCAAAACTTTATCTCTGTCTCCACATTCTCCTTGTTCATTTCTTATTATCTATCTGTAAATTTGCAATACTTGCCCTACTACATGTAAATTATAAGAAGTCCCTAATAGCATAGTGACATGGCTGTGACAAGAAGTTGCATTGTTCATTAATTTGTCCTAGAATGTAAGAGGTGTCGTGGTCAAGTGGATACGTCGCCGGACTGTCGATCACAAGGTCCGCGGTTTAAGTCCCGCCGCGGCACTAACATCCTTTGGCAAGACATTGATCTCGTACATTTGCCACACTCTACCCTGGTGATGTAAATGAGTACCTGGCAGGAATTAATTCCTTGAAATGCTGGAGCGCTGTAATGGCAGCTAGGCTAAAGCCGGGGATATAATAAATGCACCTCGGAATAGAATTTCTAGATAGACGGCGCTATAGAAATGTCTATTATTATTATTAAGAGAATAAACCAACTCTCAACATTTTTCAAAATTGTTAATGTTAAGCAAAGAAGAAAAAAAAAGGTCTGTTTTCAACATGTACTGTGGTGTGAATATATCATTGATTATAGATATTATCATAACCTGTATAATAACAGCAGAGTTCAATGCAATTGATGCCACCTATCTTTCTTTTGATAAACTTTTGGGATGTTTCATTTTAGGAAAGTATCATAGTGTTTCAAGATTTCCTTTTTTAATTGCAAACTATAAAGTAATCAGAACTTAATTAATGTGCCAATCACCTATGAAAATAATTTGTTTACAGCTACTGCTAGTATGTAAAAAAATTACCTAAAAATAGATAAAAATTAGGTTTACTGTTAAAGGCAGCGTTTAACAAAGTTAAATCTGAGATTCATGGCCCTACATTGTATGTGTTATCAGTGTCTGGGACATGGTGTAATATTGAATTATATTGAGCCCTAACAAAATTGTGCTTCAAAATGATCATCAAGTACCTCAAAAAAGTAAAAATCTTTGAGTGATCGGTTTTACCATTCTCATTTTCCCCAATAGACTGTAGTGTTATAAGAACCGTTAGGAAAAAGAAAAATGAAATTTTGATTTCCAATCATAAATATCTTGATAATCAGACAGGCCATCGGCTTGTAAAAGTCATGGGATTCCTGACTGACCTAATTGATTGCAGCATGAGCTAAATCCAGTTTGTATTTGTCGCTTTTGCCTAATCCTTACACCACCGCCTTCATGTAGAATATTGTGATACCGTAATAATACTTTTCATGGTATTCCATAAATTGATGTACTTTTTACAATTATTTATGAAATGAAAATGCATTTGTAGCTGTACAATTAACATTATTTTTTTTCTAAACACACACACACACACACACACACACACACAAATAAATCATTGTAGAAAGATCCTGTTTGTTAATGAAAGTCTTTGATTATTATTAATCACAGGATATGAAAAAATATGGAGGGCCTTCCAAATTGCGTCAAAAGTGTCGTTTTCGGCAGTGTAAACAACAAGTAGTAAGTCTTTTTGAAGAAATATTTTGTTGATATCTGTGTGAAAAAATACTTGTTTTGAACTTGAGAATTGAATTGAATCGAATTAAATTGAATTTATTCACCACTTTCGTGGTAACATAAAACATGAGGTGTGGCATGATTTGAGATGCTTCTATATGCATTTGAAGGGGATTACCTTTAAAATCTAAGATTGGATTAACATTGTCTCTGTCATGAATTGAAAATTATTATAGAAGAAAATGCACACACAAAATTGTGTGCATGATGATAGACAGGAATTTTAACAAAAGCAGTAATAAAAGATATCTCTCCTCCCATATATTTCAGTTACCGGTACTCCTTCCATCTCTCTATCTCCCCCCCCCCCCCCCCCCCCTCTCTCTCTCTCTCTCTCTCTCTCTCTCTCTCTTCATATCTTTCTCCTCTCTCTTCATCTCTTTCTCCCCTATTTCTTTCTCTTTATTCCCTTTTCTCTCCCTCTATCCTTTTTCTTTCGATAGGACTTTGATAGAAAATAAACATTGACATAATTGATTTGTCTGTTTTTTTGCAGTCTCCCACTAAATTCAAAATGAAACCCAAGCATCAAAGTACTTCGAAAATCGATAAGGTAAGATGCATTGGACTATAGCCCTTTTATGCATCCATTACGAAGTAGCCGGAGGCATTATGTTTTTTGGGTTGTCCGTCCGTCCATCCATACGTACGTCTGTACGTCCCGTTCTCATGATCTTTGTATCTTGCAGAGCCAATAAATTGATTAGAGTTTGGGGTCACAATGTCAAAGGTCACAGTGCTCATTATGTATGCAAAAATAGTTTGTGATCGTGTGATCTCAAAAGCGATTGATGGATTCCTGCCAAACTTAGGTCATGTATGTATCTTGCAGAGCCAATTAAAGGTATAGTTGAGTATTGGTAATTTCCAAAGTGCCCCTCCAAAACAAATTTGGTTTATTTCAGTACCATATGAAAGATCATCGAAAAAAACATGGGAGATGATAATAATTCCAAATCAAATGCTCTAATTGTTGTGCAATTTGCTTTCAAAACATTATATAAAAGTGTTTGACGTCCGGACATCACTTTTGACTTTCGACGGTTTATTTTTTGAATTTACGTGTTTAGCTCCCTCTATGTCATTTAACAACCAGCGTATTTACAACGAGTGTTTGAGTTCGTTGGTACGTACAGTACTACAGGTAGCTAGCAGGCGGGTATCCGACCGCGCGCTAGTAATACAGTACAGCTGATCAATTCCAATACGCTGCTTTCACGTAAAGTATAACACACACAGCTCATATCAGATTATCACCGGCGCGCGCCGATCGAACGCTAGACAGCTACAGACAAGCTTTGATTGAAATACGATAACGAGATCGAGATTGGAAAAGGAGCTCGAGGTCACGGACGATGGCCGACTCGGACTCAGCTAGTGCTAACTTAAGCCTAAGGACAAGGCTAAGGCTACGCTAAATCGGAATAAGACTAATACGGTAAGAGGAAGGAGAGAAACAAGCAATGGCAGCTCGACCATCCGGCCCAGAGGAGGCGCGGGAGTGGCTGTGAACAAGGCCAGTAGACTGTAGGGCAACGGCGGAGAAACTTCGCGAGCTGCAGGCGGCCTTCTCGTTGCCGAGTCTAGAGGATGCAATAGACATGCCAGCTCACTGAGAGGTAAGTTGAAATGATATACGCCCCACTGCATTGGGTAGGCCTACCGTTTTAATTTGATCTAGTCTAGAGACTAGATGCATGGAATCGGCAAATTTAAGAAATTACGTTTTGTTATCTCTTGCCTTGGATTTTTAATTCAGATTTCATGAATCATATGATATTGATAGTCTAGCCTAGGTCTACAGTAGACCGAAAGCTTCAGTCTCTATATCGTCGGTTGTTCCACTGAGACTACGTCTGGCTCCACTAGACCTCCGGATGAATTTGGTTCAAATGAAAATATTGGAAGCATATGCGATCCTACAATATTCAGTGAACGTTGTCGCGTTGAAATCGAGTCTAAAGTGATGAAATTGTAAATAATAATCTCTTTATGGGGTATACTATAACTCTCTCTCAAGGTCAATATATTAATTCAGCTATACAACAAGCTACAATTGACCGATTGGCTATTACCTTTTTGAAATTATATATCACAACTACATATTCCGGGATTTTTATGGTAGCAGCTACCGTTGTACGACCGTAGGCGCTATTTTAAATTTATCAAAATTTACCGGGAGCACCGGTAAATTTTTATATTCAATTTTTTTCGAAAGCAGAAGTGTTTTAGGAGCTAAATTTTCTAGTGCTTATAATACTTCCACAGGGGCATCCAAATATATCAAAATTGTAAAGAATCACTATCCACCCAATTTTCAAAATTTCCCAAAACTTTGTAATAGACCCTACCTTTAATGTCCCTCGTTACAACTGCAGTTTTCTTTGTAATGATGACGTGCAGGGCTAGTCAACCGGGTAAACATCCTGCTCTTTTTAAAAGTCGACAAGGTTATACTATAGCTTGCTTGAGATGTGACTGTCTCATCTATATTTATCTCTACCAAAGAGTGTCTCAACTTCACATACATGACAGAGAACCAATGCATCAGTTATTAGTCATGCAAATTCCAAATCTGGCTAGCTGTGATAATTATTAGAGAATGCCATCTTCAAAATAATTTCTTTTGGTGATTTAAAATCTGAATGTTTTTTACTTTGTGAATGACTTTCGTTTCTTCACTTTTTACAGATATGAAGAACAGACAACACAATCCATCCCCAGCGAAGAAATTCCAAGCAGCAGTAGGGGAATTAGCAGGTGAATAGTACAAGTCACCTTTGACCGCAAATTCATGGAGAACTTGGCCTACTCTGCTGATTTGCTCGCTTCAGGTAGGATTCTGTATACATGTACGAAAGGCTCTGTAAATTGAGAGGAATTTAATGAGAATGCGTTCATTACGTACATGTTTGCAAGATTGAGCTCTTTTTCGGTTATGACCTATAAAATTGGGACATATCAGCAGGTCAAGATAATGCATCTTATTTGCTCATGTGTATGACATGGGATTTTCAATATTGATTTTGTGGTATGAAAATAATGAAATGCCCTATCATTTATATCAGTTTTTATTTTGTTTTCATAATTCCTAAGGCACACCAGCATGCTCGAGTGTTTCCACAACCATATACTGATGTATGCTTCCAAGCGGTATTCCTTTGAGTAAGTATTTTTAGTATCATTTTGTATGTTTGAAGTAAGATTGTGGAAAAGTTGAAACATATCATTACAGTACGGTTACAGTTACAATATCATATTTTGAAGCAAATAGCAAAGTTAATGAGAAATTATGAATGACATCTATATAAATGCTGAAATCACTTTTGGATGCATGCAGAGTCTTGAAACAGCAGACTTTGTATCGTACTTGTGTCGGTACCTGATGTTAAGTCAAGTTGGAGTGGTTGTAGCAGGGAAATGTAACTACCTTTAATTAAGAGTCAATAATTTACAACACAAATCGAGAACTGAAGTGAATGGCTCGTATTCACAAAGGAGGTTTGTACAAACCATGGTTTGGCCAAGGTTTACATCTATGGAATGCCATTTGTAAACTGATGGAGAAGGAATGTAAACTCCATACTTGTTAACAATGTTAATTTACAATTTACGGTATGCGAGCAGCATTCCATAGATGTAAACCATCGTCAAACCATGGTTTGTACAAACCTCCTACAAACCTCCTTTGTGACTACGGGCCAATGAGTCTGAGATTTGTCTAAAGCATTTACTATTCATTCATCATGGTAGTGGTAATACCAATTGTTTGTCTTATCCATCCAGCTACCCAGCAAACCGGGCAAGGAATTTGCTTGCGGTCATCGACTACATGGCACACAAGGACAGGCCCGACCAGATTGATGAACAAGGCAATACAAAGTGAGTGGAAATTAGAAAGAAAGAAAAAAAGGTTTTCTTTTCTTTCTTGTTTTTCCTATTTTTATTTGTACATTTTTTTTTAGATGGACAAGGCAATCCAAAGTGGGTGGAGTAAAAAAAAACAACATGATTTTTTGTTTTCCCTGTGTAGTTGGACAGGGCAATCCGAATTGGCAGTTCTTTCCCATGAAATTTATCAATTTTGGGGAAATTATTAAATATCTAATTGTCCTTCCTGGGAACGCCCCTTTTAAATCGCCAAAATATGACGTCATCTAAAGAAGTTGTCCCTGTACACGACGCACATCTAAATTATGTAGATGACGGACTGTAAGCTGATGGTTTGTCAATCATGCTGCTGATTTTGGACCCTAAATGCGGACTTGGATTCAGTGTAATAATATACTTGGTGTGTAATGCAAGGTTCTGGAGTCATCAAAATCATCATAAATTTGGCAGAGTTTTGGTAAAGTAACAATCACTTACACAGAAAGATGTATATGGGACAACACACATGGTGTCGGCCTGTCGGGGCTAGTACTACCCTGATTTCCTTATCTTTCTATGCTCATTACTCAGCCAGTATACATTTTCTTCCAAAATTGTTTGGCACATGACATTTATTTGTAATCTTGAACATTCAGTGTAAGTTTCGTTAGATTCTGTGAGAATTCATTTTCTTTTTTTACCAGAACTCAAGTTTATCTTTAAGAGATATGAATCATTTCCAATTGACAAGAATGAGTGTGCATATAATGCAACTTGTTACCTTTTGCATGTTCTTTTATTTTATGATACAGATATGTTGCAGTATGGTCAAAGCGTGCCAACAACTACGTGGCCCGGAAGGAGAAGGTCCCCAAGACCTACCCCTACATGTATGTACAAGGACTCATCGGTGCGATACTGGAACGCAGAGAACAGGACCAAGGACCACTGTTCTCGAAGGCTGTTCTGCTCCCTGATGACCCTAGACACACAAGGCCCCGGCTTGCACCATTTCCTCCACCACAAGTTGATGTGATCCTAGCCAGGAGACTAGGCCGATTAGAGAAATCCATGTAATCCTCTGTAGTGAACATTTGGGATTGTCTGACTTGAGAACTGCTTTTTTTCGAGCAGAGACTAAGGGATCCAAATGGCGTCCTTCCGTCCATCCTCCGTGACTGTACACAAATTTGAATGAAGTCTAATGTGAAATCTTACCTGCAAAAATCAATTAGGGTTGCTAACTTTCCAACCCTGCATCTGTTTGTAACCATACTTGATTGGTAGATGCCCTTTATTGGCCTCCATGATATTCTGGAGTTGAAGGTCACATAAGTAGGTCAAAGGTCAAATGAGGTTCATTGTTGCATGATTGCATGCGAGACTCTTAATCGCCTCGATTTAATTTGTCCATGTGGCATGTTTTTAGGCTATCTTGAGGATTGGTTGGAACTTAACATTTTGGACTCATTTGGTTGCTAATGATTTTGTGGTCCGGAGGTGAAAGATTGCATGGCTTAGCATTACGAGCATGTATTCTTGATATGTCAGAGACCCTTTGACAAAATACCACCAAACTTGATACTAGAGTGTCCCTGGGGATCATGGGGATGTGGTTATCTGGAGAAAAAAAATCACATAACACATGATATACATGTACCAGAAATAAATTGTTATTGTTGCTAGATTAGCCACCATGCTTGGCACTTGTATATTGTATTACAATAAGAGGTTGGCAAGTTTACAAATGGAAGAAATGTAGGAATATAAAAGACAAATTGTGACATCAGTGTATAAAAGCTCTATGTGATTTATACAATTCATAATTTGTGATAAAATCAGTGCTTGCTCATGTGGAAATGGTGGATATTTCAATTTGTATCTATTTGGCAACCTATATTCCTTGAAGAAGTTACGGTAGTAATTATAAAATTTACAGCCAAGAGGTCAAACCATGAGTCAACAATGTGTTTGGTTTTAGTGACTGTGCATGTAACTGAGGTGACAGTCGATCATGAAAAAGACTATACTTCGGAACCTGTTGAAAATCAACATGGACAGAAGAAAGATTTGTAGAATATCTTATTGTAAATAGTCTTCATTTTTTGTTTAATGCAATCAATGTGACTAAAATAATGCAAGCGAAAAAGAGAAATGATCACAAGACAGCAAAACAGTTGGTTTCATGCATCATTTGAATCAATGAACGTGAATCAGCTCAACGCCAAAGTATTGCGGTTCAAGGTTATACCATCAAGAGATATGCTGCCTGTAACTACTTTGTAGTTTGAAAGGGTGTATAAAGGAATAAGGATACAGTTGGGCAGGCGAGTCTTTCTGTTGGTCTATTGTAAAAAACTGGGTCAAATTTTTTCCAATTTTTTTGCAAATTGTAATAAAACTTGGTATACCGATTGACCCGAGGGTGTGCAAGACACATTTGTTGTGTCTGTCTGTTAAGGTACCTCCATGGTAACCAAGCTTTGCACAAAGAATACAATTTTGTTTTAATAATCTTGTGGAGCATATTCTTTCCAAGTTTTAGCAATTTTATAGTTTTGGTATCTTTGATGAGGCATTATAATAACAGTATAAAACTCAATGCATGTGCAGTGTGTAAAATAAGTATGTGAGCAAACTATTGGAAGTAGTTTGATCGATTCATATGAAACTCAGTACACACAACGCAGAATTGTCTTTTGTGTGCGTATAGGACATGACCAGTTTTGAAATGTCTGTGCTATTTTTTTGAAAAACCTTATGTTGGATGTTAATCACTTGAGGTGATATTCATAGTCGAGCATTAGGGAAGATGAAAGACATATATGTACCTAACTATACTTAATTTTGTGCTGAAACTGATATGATTCAGGATTTGAGATCGATATGGAGTATGTATACATGTATACTCGTACACATTAAGGAAAAGAATCACTCAGACAATTTTTAAAGCATTTATATATAAAGTAAGATGTGAAACTTAAAAGATAAAACCAGTTATGGTCATGCGACTGCATTGTGAAAGGATTGTTGTGGAATCGATCAGAAAAGGTTGATCATCTAGCATATAAGTCTTGGTGTGTACTGCAAGGTTCTAGAATCATCGAAATGATAAAAAAATTGGCCCAGTCTTGGTAAAGTTACAAGCACTGTACACAGAAAGATGTATATGGGACTACGCACAAGTGCGCGACACATGCGTTATATCTATCAAGTCCAAATAGATATAATAATTTACCAAATATATCAATTAGTAGGCAGTTTCTTGGCAAAATTTGTATGATCACGTACTAGTCAAAACATTGTGTGCGGGCAAGCACTGAATCAAATGACCGGGGTAATAGTATATTTGTCAAGCGCGTAGAAACATTACTGTTATAGATACTTTTCTTTGGTAAACTTATCTACACATTGCCTATAGAGTATGTCAAGTTTTTATGAAAGACACAAGATAAGATGTATATAAATAAGCAGTAACTAATAAGTAACAAGACATGGTGGTATACAAATAAAGTATATTGCTCCTTCTTAATGACGACGGTTAAAGTTGTCATAGCGATAGATGCTAAATAAAAATGTGCCTTTTTTAATACACATGATCTGTTTGTATGCAATGGTTGAAATCAACATCACGTTTAAATATTGCCTTCAGTACAGCAATTATAATTTGTATTCATCTCAATAATGTTGTGTAAATTTAACTGTTAGTTATGGCCGAATAAAGCTTTCAATGTACACCATAAAAATATGTTATGTATCTTCATTTTAGCATTTCTATAATTATATTAAAATCTTATGTCTTTACACATTTACAAGTTATCACGTACTGACGTAGGTCATGCAATACACAGGCACTGTAGAACACAACTTATTTACAAGAAGTTACAATCACTTTTTTTTTTTAACTTTACAATTGCATGCAGTACCAAAATAAGAATACTGAAAAACACTGCATTATGGACAAGTATGAATCAAGTAAGATGTTAAATTAATTCACTACTGTTATTCATTATAGTATACTGATACAACAATTTTTAATATTTTTTTTAATTTATTTCTTTTTATTTCTCCACTTTCCCTTTAGCCATGTACCTTCATGTTGTTATATATGTTAAAGGTGTCGCTCTGGACCTATAACATATGATAAGACAAAAAATCCACCAGTTATTTCTGATTTCTATCAAATTTTTAGATTTTGTGTTGTTGTTGTTGTTTGGTATTATCGGCGTTTCATTCTTTTTTAGAATATTTACGCCTTTCACTTTATTTCTTTTTTTTCTTCTATTTTTGGTACTATTTGTCAATTCATATTCATCTCTTTTTTTTGGATAATATAATCTCAGATCTACTGGTCCATGAAAACCCCTCACCGCAATTGGCACCTTCCTGCCAGACCGGCGCGGTACATTGCGCAATCTTCTCGGCCATCATTGGCCTAGGCAACTCTGGTGCCGGTGAGAGGATTCTGGGGTAGATCTTTTGAGTCTCTTGTTTGGGGTTTACCGTCCTCAATCCGTCTTTACTCTTTCTTACCATTTCTCTTCTAGTATTTTTCCATTTTGTAAAACCTTATTTTTCTATCAAAGTGGGTATCAACATCTTAGGGCATTTGGTTGTCGTGCGATATGTGCCAAAAAAAAAATGTGGATTTAGTAATTCCTTTTTGAATGAAACATGGATTTAGCTTCTTTTGGAATTGAATGGATTTAGCTCCTTTTGGAATGAAACTGTAATAATGTTGTTTACTTTCTTTTCGAAAGGTTATATTTATGTGTGATTTCACTATTATTATTTAAAAGGAAAGGTTTGCTGCTAAATTTGAATAAAATTTCAATGACTTTATTGAGAAAATATGATTTATTTTTTATTTTTTAGGTACAATAACATGTTTCATTCCAAAAGGAGCTAAATCCACGAAAATAAAAAATCAAAAAATTTAGTAAACATCAGAAAAGCCGAAGGGAAGATTTTTTCTTATCATTATTGGCAGATAATCAGGTCCATGCAGGGTGACACCTTTAACATATATAACAACATGAAGGTATACATGGCTAAAGGGAAAGTGGAGAAATAAAAAAGGCAATTTACTCAGAAGTACCCAAAGTGGATTTGGCTCCTTTTGGAATGAAACTCTTCACATATTATAAAAGGAAGACAAGTAATATAAAAGGAAAAACGAAGGCCCACGTCATTTACATAGAAGGTAGGTGGACAGATAACCTCGATGTTTTTAATCTAATTTCATCTGGGAGATCATTCCACAGCTTTGTTCCTACAAACGAAATACAAAATTGCCCTTGCGTTGTCTCACATATTGGTTGATAGATAGAGTAAGCCACTTTCTTTACACTGTAGAAGTAATCAACTGGGTCATACGACGTACAATACATACACATACACTACTACTAGGTCGAGCGTACTCGCACTACATACACATACAGTATTCGCATATCGCGCTCAAAAACAATAGCGCTACCAGTACCACAGACCATGCAATTATGTGCAGGCCTCGCATACCATAATGTGTACAATATAAATCAGTCAGCGCGCTATAGACATGGTTCGGATATTACTTGCACGCCCATATCCGATCGTCGTCTTGGCGAAAATTCACGGTGTGCTGCCGCTTGACCGAGAGGTGGCGCTATACAATTACACTGAACACGCCTCGAAAGTAAAATTTTTGATAAATAAAATCATTTGCAGTCGAACAGGTTTTTTGCATATAAATTCACTCTAATGTAATATTTCGGATTTATATCTTCAATGATGCATTCTTAGACATTTATTGTATGTTTGTTATGTTTAGATCATAGTTTCGTTCGCTAATGTGAGTATTGACCAACACTCAACTATTCCTTTAATTGATTAGATTTTGGGGTCAAAGGTCAAAGGTCACGGCTCATTATGTATGCATAAATAGCTCGTGATCATATCAATAGAACCGATGGACAGATTATCATCAAGCGCAGGACATGTATGTTTCTTGCTGAGCCAATGAACTGATTAGAATTTGGGGTAATGAGGTTAAAGGTCAAAGGCCATGGGCTCATTATATTTGCTAGCCTGAAATAGTTCTGAAGTGATTATTATGCAGGACATCAATTTTGTGGCTTAACAAAATATAAGCTAGTATTATAAGTAAAACTGACTAGAAGTTACATTCAGGGAACTATGTTCCATTGCTTAACATGCAGTTGGAAGGACACGTTTTCTTCTTTTCTTTATGTATACTGTGTTCCATTTTTCAAATTTCTATAGATTTTATTTGTCAGATATTACTTACGTATAGTTCTAAACATATAATTTGGATGTGAATCTGGTTAATTGATGTATCTTTATCACTTTTAACAAGCACAATGCAGAGATGTAAGAAAGATGCACTTGTTCAGATCCAAATGATTTAATTTTGCAACCAGTCTGAGGGGTTTGGTTTTGCACATTAAAAAACTGCAATAAGAATCCCCATAATACAATGATTCTTTAGAATAGAGAATCGACACCTTGGTTTCAGGAGTAAAACTTGTACTTTGGCCAGCTCTTTGTATAACTATGTATAAGTCTTATAATGTAAATGTGAATGTTATGAGGGGATGTTTGTTTGAATTGGAATTCAGTCAGGGCCTAACCCAAAGGTAGAACTGATTGATAACTGTTCAATTATAAATCATGTCCTTTCCGTATTTTTGTTGTTTTCTAATAGAGAATCGCTTGGATCTGTGGTGAATGTGTTGCTTGCAGAACAGTCACCAATTGTGGTTGCTGTAAAAATTGCCTGGTAAGAAATCACATATGTACCTTATGGTGATATGCTTTTGATTGCTCAAATAAGTTTTAAAGACATTGTTTACCTATGTTAAATCTGAGATGCACGGCCCTACGTGTTATCAGTGTCTGTGATATGGTGTAATATTGAGCCCTAAAAAATTGTGCTTCAAAATGATCAAGAAGTGCCTCGAAAAGTTTTTTTTTTTTAATTAAAAGCCTCAACTGAACATTTAGCTTTTGACATTGTGTTACTACTGAAGATGAATTTTATATTAAGAGATGCCTGTTGAAAAGTTGTTCCAGTTGTGGAATGATTAAAAGACAGAATAAGATGCATTATGCATGTGAGCAATACGTAAAATATTGACATTAACTGCAGTATTCTAATACTCTTCAAAAACAATTGTGTATTTATCCAATATTTAGGATAAAGTTGAAAATGGAGGTCCTAGCATATTGAGACAGAAATGTATCTTCAAACAGTGTTTGCTTCAAAAATTTGTGAGTATATATTTCGATCACTGTAGACATATTCTGCTTTCTTAGTTATTTACAAGACATCACTATCCCTCTATCCCCCCCCCCCCCCGAAAAAAAAAAAAAAAAAAATAATAAATAAAGAAAAAAGAGAGAAAAGAAATAAAAGAAAGATGCAACAATAAATGGAAACAACAACTGATATTCATTTTTACATGCATGAATATTGCGATCAACCAAAGCAACAAAATGTCTAACGGCAGCAATTTTCTTCAGGGTCGGTAAGAACTACACCCCAATACAAGGCTTACATGTATCAATTAAAAGTTTACCCAACTTTGGTAGCTCCTTATTGAAAGGTCATAACCAAACCTTTTTTTCAACTGCCTATTAGACAATGTAAATAAACAAGCAATTGTTTTGGAATTTGGTAACACACTGTGACACACATAATGGCTTTTTGACCAACATTCATTGCTTCAGCCGAGACTTAGTACATAAGGATTTTGACATTACTTTTTGAAAAGCCTGCTGTTCAGTCATCCTTTGCAGCACAATTATGAAAAATGTATCATTAGACAGGGTATTAGTTCTTCTTAACAAGAAAATATGATTCAAGGTCACGCAGGTTATACATTTTTAGTTACAAGCTACCAAAGTGGGGTAAACTTTGTTTTGATACGCATTGTATACTGCAAACGCATGCTAGAGAACTGATACCGGATAGAAACTAGTGGCAAGCAATTCTATTAGTTTGAATTGCTGTTTCGTGTACCGGTATAAGAACTTTTGAGTTCAATCATGTTTTGAGTTGGTGTTGGCCTCGAGGTAATACAGATGTTGGGTTATGAAGTTAAACAAAATATAAAAAGTATGATTTCAGAAGAAACACAATTTGTTTATACCCCGGTCACACATAGACGCTGCTTAGACTACTATGGAACAGTGGCTGAGAGCGGGTCTAGGTGTTGGTGTTGGTGTAATCGTAGTGGCAGCCAGTCAGCAGTGCTTATGACGTAGAAGCATTGTAGTACAGTCGTGAAGTAGTCTTTAATTTGCCAAATTGCTTGGATTTAGACGGGGATAATGCCCCGATTTGATAAACTTTTTCGGATCGGGATGGTTGGCATGGTCTTCGTAAGGTCGCAGCGATGTGTGACCGGGATATTAGTGTATAATGTCTGCATTTGTCTGTTCAAAGTCTTGTATAGATATGTTGATCAGTAGAATATTCAGATCCTTGTAAAAATCTGAACACACTAGAAACAAAATTCACATCGCTGTTTCTTTGCTTTTTGTTTACTGATGCTATAATGAAGTCAAAATGTTTTGAAGTTTTATTCTAGTGCCTTTTGAATACTTCAATTGATGTTTACATGTTTGTTTATTTGCAGCATTCTCCTAATGAATGTGGGTCATGTGTGGCCTGTAAGAGAACTTTAGACTGTTACAAGTGTAAACCATGCGCGGTGAGTTTGTTAAGATTCATTCCTGGATTCTTGGTATTACAAGAGACTAATGGTCCCATTGGCCTGTATAATACTTTTCATATTTAATATTGTAGTGAATAATGGGGTAATACAAATATATAACAGATGAAATTAACCCCCTACAGCAACCTCTTTGTTTGACTAATGCAAAATGTCGAAGATCCCAGATATATTTTAAACTGGACAATATATGATTGAGTTACCTTTATAAATAGTTTTTCTATCTCACTTAAAGACATGAGATATTTATAAACCATTGATTTATTCTGACATCAACATTGATCCAATTTGAGTAATGTCTGTCCCATTTCTTTTCAGGAGAATCGAAAGGTTCGAAGAAGAAAACAAAAGAAGGTCAAGTGTCAACTGAGGAGATGCAGGAATCGAGTAGTAAGTGATATTGTTGTATTTATCCAATATTTAGGATAAAGTTGAAATTGGGGATCCTAGCATATGGAGACAGAAATGTAATTTGTGAGCATATATTTAGATTAGTGCAGACATATTCTGCTTTCTAAGTTGTTTACAAGCTGTCACTACCCCTGGCCGAGAGCGGGGCCAATCATGGGCCAAACGTGGGCCAAATGTGGGAGGATCTCCATGGGCCTGGTTTGGTCGGGTGGGATCTCCTAGTTCGAAGAGCTACATTCCATCCCCAAGCTTATTTTGAACGTGCACAAAATATGCGTAGTCGGTTCGTGGCCAACAAGAAGTGGGGCAAAGTCTTATTAAGAAAGTACTTGTGGGAATGCCATTATCGTACAAGCAGCGTGGTAGCATCGCGGTAAGAGGTCTGTAAAAATCTAGAAATAAAAACGCAGCACCGTCGGCAACTATTTCGAGCCGCTTTAGGCCGTTCATCTTCAAAGTTGGGAAAGAACTGAAGAAATGCTTGAACACCCCCATTTTATATAAACATCGCCACAAATTTTAATAGAAGCGTACTAGTAGCGTAAAATGGTCAGCACCAGCATAGCGACATAGTCCTACATTCTTCTAGGTCTGTATAACAATGTAGTATGGTCCTGTACGTCGTACAACAACATTAGAAATGACCACTTGGTCGGCATTGGTGTAGGTGTAATCGTAGTGACAGCCAGTCAGCAGCGCTTATGATTTAGAAAGCATCGTTGTACAGTCTTGATGTATGAGTCTTTAATTTGCCAAATTGCTGGATTTAGATGGCGATAATGCCCGATTTTATAAACTTTTTGAGATTGGGGTGGTGGGGTGGTTGGCATGGTCTTCGTAAGGTCGCAGCGATGTGTGACCGGGGTAGTAGTGTATAATGTCTGCCTTTGTCTGTTCAAAGTCTTGTATCTAAACGATCAGGTCAGTATAGATATGTCGTGACCAGTAGAAGATTCAAATCCATGAACACAATAGAAACAAAATTCACATCGCTGTTTGTTTGCTTTTTGTTTACTGATGCTATAATGAAGGTAAAATGTTTTATTCTAGTGCCTTTTGAATACCTCAATTGATGTTTATATGTTTGTTTATTCGCAGCATCCTACTTATGAATGTGGGTCATGTGCTTCCTGTAGGAGAACTTCAAATTGTCACAGGTGTAAAGTCTGCAAGGTGAGCTTGTTAAAATTCATTCCTGGATTCTTGGTATTACAAGAGACTAATGGTGTCATTGGCCTGTATAATACTTTTCATATTTAATATTGTAGTGAATAATAGGGTAACATAAATATATAACAGATGAAATTAACCCCCTACAAAGGAAGGTTTAATAAATATCTACATAATGCTCCCATGCGAACACACAGCAACCTCTTTGCTTGACAAATGTAAAATATTGAAGTTCCGAGATATATATATTTTTTAAACTGGACAATTTACATATGAATTACCTTTATAAATAGTTTTTCTTTGCACGTATAGACATTAGATATTTGTATACCATTGATTTATTATTACATCAACATTGATCAAGTATAAGTAATGTCTGTCCCATTTTTTTTCAGGACAATCAAAAGTTTCTAAAAAGATTGAAGGTCAAGTGTCAAATGAGGAGATGCTTGAATATAGAAGTAAGTGATATTGTTGGCCTATTTTGTGACTTTAGTTTGATACTGATGACATATTATAGTATTAATGACTGCTTTGAGAGAAATAGTTGTTTTTATACGCTCAAGGGAAGGTTAGAATTGTGCTATTGACCGAGGCGTGCCGAGGGCAATAGCCCAATTGTAACCTTCCCGAGAGCGTATAAAAACAACTATTTCTGGAATATTAAAGCAGTCATTAATACTTTTATATGCTGAAAACAAAAGAGTCAACTAATGACACCACCTTGGCCTTTCTCTAGTTTATCTGCACGGTTGTTTTTTATGAGTGTATCTTTGAGAGTAGACTAGATCTAGATTCTAGTCTAAGCAAGATATTTTTACATTTTGGGGGTGGGCCGGCCCTGTGGGGAATATGGAGAAGAACCTGCGCTTTCATATGACACCTCACTTATTGAGTATCACCTTCAGGATCACAACAGATTATAAAGGTTTGAATCTCGAATTGAAAAAAAAAATTGACCTTAACACACAACATGCATCGGGTGCGCGATCAGACACCCTGACAACTGGATCTATTTTCGTATCTTTGAGAGTAGACTAGATCTAGATTCTAGTCTAAGCAAGATATTTTTACAATTTTGTGGGTGGGCTGGCCCTGTGGGGAATATGGAGAAGAACCTGCGCTTTCATATGACACCTCACTTATTGAGTATCACCTTCAGGATCACAACAGATTATAAAGGTTTGAATCTCGAATTGAAAAAAAAACTTGACCTTTTTTGCATGGTCGCGGAATGCACGTAGACTGCATAGGGAATGCATTGCGTACAATCTCTATGGGAATAATTTTAACACACAACATCGGGTGCGCGATCAACACCCTGACAACTAGATCTATTTTCGTCTACATTTAGTCTATGCTTTTTCAGCAACTAAACGAACATGTTTATGGATAATTTCACGTACCCTTTTTGTTGTTCTTGCTGTCAGCGAGTCTTGCATTTGATAAGTTGAAATCTTGGGAGAGATTCTTGAGCCATTTTTGTCTTGTTAGGAATTGTCTTGTCTTGTATGAAAATACAGACCAATTTCTCGCACACGTACGGTATCTTCGATCGCTCAAACCATTTTTTAACATGTAAACCTATGGGGTAACCATGGAGACTGACCTATTTTCCCAATAACCATGGTTATTGGAAAAATAGGTCTGTTTTAACCATGGTTACTGCGAATTTTCGGGAACAGTTAAAGTTTATGAATGCAATTTCGACCAATCAGATTGCTGGATTACTTAAGTGAGGTATATATTTGTTATTATATACCTCACTTAAGAAATCCAGCCATCTGATTGGTCGAAATTGCATTCATAAACTTCAACTATTTCTGTAAAATTCCCAGTAACCATGGTTATTGGGAAAATAGTTCAGTCTCCATGGTTACCCCATAGGTTTACATGTTAAAAAATGGTCTGAGCGATCGAGGATACCGTACGTGTGCGAAGAATTGGTCGGTAATTTCAATACAATTGAATCTCGATCGATCTTACCGACAATTTTATCTTGCATTGTTGACATGAAGACGAAAATAAACTTCCAAAAACAAAAAAACAACATCTGCCGATAGATCTTGATCTAAGTTCGTGCCAATATGCATTGCAAAAGTAAAAGAACTGCCCGTTTAATGGAGCAGCGGCGAAGCATCCACGTTTTCAATCCATTTTAATGTATATATTAGAGAAAACTGCTATCTATGGTAACAGAGCGCGCTGGCCGAGCGGGTTAAGGCGCTGACTTTAGTTACATCACCTTTTGTACGCAAGAGATCGAATCCCATTTTTGGCAAAAGTTTTTTTATTTTTTATTTTTTAGTCTATTTTTTTTTGGCATATAAAAGTATTAATGACTGCTTTAATATTCGAGAAATAGTTGTTTTTATACGCTCTCGGGAAGGTTACAATTGGGCTATTGCCCTCGGCACGCCTCGGGTAATAGCACAATTCTAACCTTCCCTTGAGCGTATAAAAACAACTATTTCTCTCAAAGCAGTCATTAATACTATATTATGCCTCCCCTACAAAGTAGCCGGAGGCATTATGTTTTCTAGTTGTCCTTCCGTCCGTACGTCCCTTTCTCATGATCGCGTTATCTCCAGAACCGATCCATGGATTACCGCCAAACTTGAATCATTGATGTATCTTGCAGACCTAATGAAGTGATTAGATTTTGGGGTCACAAGGTTAAAGGTCGAAGGTCACAGGGCTCATTATGTATGCAAAAATACCTTGTGATCGCATTATCTCAAGAACCAATGGATGGATTCCTACTAAACTTGGGTCATGTATGTATCATACAGAGCCAATGTACTGATTAGATTTTGAGGTCACAAGGTCAAAGGTCACAGGGATCATTATGTATGCAAAAATAGCTTGTGATCGCGTTATCTCAAGAATCGATAGATGGATGACCGCCAAACCCAGGTCATGTATACATCTTGCATAGCCAATGAGCCGATTAGATTTTGGGGTTACAAGGTTGAAGGGTCAAAGGTCACATGGCTCATTATGTATGCAAAAATAGCTTATCGCATTATCATGAGAAACAAAATACAGATTACTATCAAACTCATTACATGTATATGTTTCTTGCAGAGCCAATGAACTGATAAGAATTTAGGGTCATCAGGTCAAAGGCCATGGGACTCATTAAGGATGCCTATAAATAGCTTGTGAATGCATTATTAACGACGACAGATGGATTACAATTCAATTATTAAAGCTGAAGAAAAAATAATTAGCCATATGAATGATGGATTATTGATATTTTTGACTGAAACAAATTTCTACCATCGGTTATTTGTAGGAAGATATGTTATATCATACAATACCAATGATCATACTCAAGAAGTATGTGAGACATGATAAAAAGCTTGAATGGTGTGGTGTCTGTCTGTACACCTTGTGAATGAAAAATCGCTTCATACATAGTTGTATCTTGGTTTTTTTTGGTTGCTATCACAGACCCCATCCCCAGCGATAGTGCACATTGATTTGTCAGACTCAGATAGTAGAGATACAACCAGCAAGGACTGTGAGGATGAAGCAACACTCAAATCATCAACAAGGTAAAGATTAGAATGAGCTCCTCCAATATGGTTTGCATAGTAATAGACCAGTTTACTAACATATTCAAATTTTATGCAGACTTTTTAAACAAAGGCTGGTTGTTCTAGACAACCCGAAAACTTGTCTGAGGCATGCCCAACATATCAACAAGTAATGTATGCAGACAGGATTCAGAGTATTGTAGTTCATTTATTAATTACAGGTTGATGGACCAACTTGTCACTAGGTCCCCAGGAAAGAAGCATCCATAAATTTGAATATGTTAGTAAACTGGTCTATTGCTGAGTGCACTGAGTACTGTAAGCATTCCTATTTAGTTAAATGGGAGTGCAGTTTGCCAATTATGGTAGAAAATAGATTTGAACATGAATCATCCATCCCCTCCTTTCTCTCCCCTCTCACTTCTCTCCTATATTTCACGTCTCTCTCCCATTGCTATTTTAATCGTCTCTCTCTTATGCCCATGACAGCCGCATTTTTGATGAGTTCCCTGAGCAGATAAAGAAGTGGAAACAGGACTCTAACTTTGCGCAGGAGAAAGGTATCGATTGGGAGAAGCTAGAAAGTAGCCTCGAGGAGATCAAATTGAACCTTGCCGACATAGACTCCGAGATGATGAAACTGAAAGAAGTTATTGCCAAGCCCAAGACACCAGCCAGTATTGATGCAAACAGACGGGTAAAGAGCTCTTTAAACGATCTTGAACATTTGATAGTGTCCTGTATTTTGTAAATCGTCAGATTATAGCAGAATTTTCTTTCGTGGACAACAGAATATGCACTACGTTGAAAACCAGGTTCCCTTTTTAGGATGCTTTTATTCTAGTCAAAGAATGTTTCATGAAATGTGATAAATGTTTCCTTTTGCAGGTAGAAGAATTGGTTGATGTGATTTGCAAAAATATTCATGATGATTAAGAAAAAGGGTTTCTCCACACATAAAATCCAACATTTGATATTAAAATTCATACCTTGAGTGCTAATAAGATTTAATTTATTTACATTTTCTAGATGAAAAAGCAGACATCTAAAAGCTGTATCAGAGGGCCTCAGATCGTGAGGTGAGTTTATATTTTTAATGTATTGATTCTTTCTCTTGCTTTCTGATCTTATGTGCTAAAACCAGGATATTACTAAAAATCCTATGTGCATTTCTAATGGAGGTATTGCTGCTCTAAAGCAATTGGATGAGCATAAAAGTGCATTTAGATTGCTATGCTTATATGTAAATGTTTAGATCTTTGATGTAGACAATTACAAAAAGTTAGCATTAAAAAACTTTTCCAGAAAAAAAGGGACAAAAGTATTCTACTGTTCTCTCGCGTACAATCCATTTTGAATGAATTTCTTTTAGAAGTTGTGATGACTGTTAGATTTTTGGTGTAGATAACTTTAAAATGTAATAACATAAATCTAGTAAAAGTGGCACAATTCATAACAGCAATCGTGATATATCATGAATATGCAGTCCCGCATCATATGTATCCATGTATTGAACAGAGAGGTCACTTACAAGTTGACATGATATACTTTTTTGTTTTGTTGCCTCTTGTTTTTTCTGTAGAGAGTCCAAATTGTGTGAGCATCTGGCTGCCCAGCAAAGCACATCTGTGATGAAACTGCGGATGATGTACCATGGAAGTAGTCAAGAACCAAAGGTAAGATGAAGTATATAATGTATCTTCCATGTTGGTTTCACTGCACACAATAGAAGAGGAGGATATGACCTGGAATTTGTGTCATCTGATTTGTGATACTTGATAACCCTTGTGTACAAGCTTCATAGAATTTGAACGAACACTTTTGAAATTATGCTAACAATTCAAAATCTTGATGTTGATGCCACAACAAAGTCTAAGTTTGCAGACGTGAAATTACATTTGACCTTAACTTTGTCCCATAAAAAACTAATCACATGATTGAAGATAGTTGATAGCCCCTACTGTATGTTCAAGTTTCATGGAATAGGAATATACACTTTCAAAATTATGATAAAAATAGATACCGGTATTGAATGGATGATAATAGTTGATGTTCACTGTTATCTGTGTAAACAAAACACTGCATGTGATTAAAGATGTTGATCTCTGAAATCTAAAATTTTGAAAAAATTGAGCTATAAAAGTATAAGCATGCATTTTAATTAATTGTTACAATTTGTTACACGTGTTACATCTGAATCAGTGAAGACGTAAAGAGGGTAAAGCGCTATATATATATATTCAGATTAGTATGATTCCTTTTTGACCTATTCCCCTTCAGAATTTAGCCAAATGAAACGACTATTTCAAACTAAGACTATCACTGGTATCTAAGCCTAGGCGTTGTGGCGTGCGCCTGTAATCCAGCGAAAATTGGAAGTTACAAACTGATTCAGCCGAGGACGAAGGTTCGAAGCTGAATCACGTCTTTCGGATGATGACATTTAAAGGTCGGTCCCCAGACGTAAATAATCATATCTGATTGATACACGTCTTTAAAAACCCAATACACACACACACACACACACACGCCTCCAGTAATTCAATTTAAATAGTTTTGTTACTCTATCTAGATCGGACAAAATTAGGGAATGTCATTTCAGACAGTCAAACCTCATTTAAAGAATTTAGATTGATGGAGTACAAACATTGAGTGATCAAAACACTGAAACCAAATTCTTGTTGTATTCCCTTCCAAAGGTCACAATGAGAGAAGTTTGTGGTTGCCCACTAGTGCCTGACATCCTAACGGACACGAACAAGTACTGCCCTCTATATAAAATGAATTGTGAGACACATTATAACTGGGAGAAACTGAGACAAGCAGAACTTGATCTGGAGAGAGTAATATGGGTGAGTATTTGCTTTACAAACATCTACAGTATTTGCCTGTACAGAGTCTTAAAATAAGGGCTTTTATTTGTGTTTAGAAAACATAACATATGGTATGGTAATACCAAAATTTGGTTATGTGTTATCTAAGGATGTAACAGTCAAGATACAGCATTGGGCCAGTGTATGGAGTGTTATATCATGAAAATAAACAAGTAGTTTTAAGAGTGGAGACTATGACCATATAATGAGAATTAGCAGCATGTTGTGCCTGTTCATAATAATAATAATAATATTATTGCTTATATAGCGCTTAATACGTCAGGAATATCCGAGTTTCTAAGCGCTTTACATTATTACCCCCGGTCATCGGATTCTGGCTTGCCCGCACACAATGTATGCACTTTCTCCACTCCCTGGGGAGCATTCCAACAAGAGCTACTAGGCTCAAATTGCTAAGCATACCACTTTGGCTTTCGCATCCTACCGGGTACCCATTTAACACCTGTTCATGATAGAAATGTGATGAAAATAAGGTGATCCTTTCTGCTGGTTGGATGGAAAACGCAAATAAACATATTTTGCACGTTATTAGGAATAGATGACAAGTTTACGGTTATTTGTGAATCTAATTATATTTGAAGAATGTATATTTTAAAAATATGTTGTTAAACAATGAAGCTAACTTATTTCTCTGTTGGAATTCTTATATGGTATTTTTTCAGTTGTTCAAACTGGATGAATTGCTGGATGTGGGGAAGGGCACTCAATAAGTCATGACAACTAGCGATGCTTCTGCAACAGCCACAAGCTAATGTGCAGGCACCCCCGACACAAGCTGATGTGCAGACACCCCCGACACAAGCTGATGTGTAGCTGGAGGGACATGCAGGCATGATAACCTTCAAGCTACATAGATTGTTAAACTTCCACCTAAAATCTGCAAGAACAGATCCCTTAAGAATGATCTTCAAGACCACAGCAATGATATGAAAATGAAATGTGCAGTGGCAAGTTCAGATGAACATGGAATCCGGGAGCAGAATTCTTTTTCTTGACCATCTGAAGTCAGCGAGACATGCAGTGAACTTCCGAAAATATTTATCAATCAAGTCATCACACTCGCTAATGAATGATTGCTGTACTCTGTGTGGGACCAGTCGTTATTGTGTAAGGACGTACACTGTAGGTTCAAGCTTCTGCATTGGACACTTGCCACTCCATATCTAGAAGAGAAATAGGGATGTGGTAGCTAGGATGCCGAAAGCTTTATGGATGAAATAGCCACATGACTCATGGTGGCTATATACCTCCAATACTTCCCTTGAGCATAGACATTACACACTACGTTTGTGTGCATGAATCTGATGACTGGATAATATTATACAAATAATACACAGCAAAGATGATGTTTTATTTGTTTTATAAAATGATGTTTTATAACATGATTTTACTAATGACCGGTCATTAGTAAAATTATGTGTTTGGTTGAAAGAGTTGATTAGGATCCGCTTTATCATCTTATAATAAGTGTTAAGCATGTACAGACATTTGTATGAAGTGCCATATGAATCAAGATCATTATGCACTGGTAAATCTCCACACCATTATATTTTGTTGATGTGTTGATAGGTACAACAAAATACAAAACATTGTCTGATTAAAAACCTGCAACAGTATATACCTTGGCAGATAACCACCGCATTTGTGAACAAGCCTTTTAGTTTAGTGACTCACTGGCCTCTTTAATACTGATGGAGGTACCACACTCGTATTACATGGCATTGACCATTTAAAACATCTAGGTCTCTTGTGAACTTGCGTCATGATTTTTTGATTAATCACAAGGTAAAGTAAATATGTTGTATGGTACGCATTCAAAAATATTGCCCTTTTTGAAGAAAATTCACCGTTACTCAGCTCAAGTGTGTTATTAGCATGAATAGAAATTTGCAGTAGCACTTTACATGCAGCATGTATAACCATTGAAATATGTTAAACATGTTTAAAATCATGTATTGCCAAATGAGATGCACAACATCTACACATTATTTTTTTCAAAGATCTTCCTCTATTAAGATCTCAGATTTTGTCAAGATGTTGTGACGATGCAAAAGTTTGTCACAAACATTACATTTATGTGAGGTTACAGTAAATCCAGTGTTTGTTTGTTTGTTTACTCTTTCTGAAAGCACCATCTGAAGTACAATGTTGGCTAGAATAACACGAGAGCTCTCATGTGCTGCCAAGAGGAGGACTCTTGTTAGTCTCGTGTTAGTCTCGTGTTATTCTAGCTAGCATTGCTCTAGCCTGTTTTCATAGAACAGATGGTATTATGTGTACCTTCCGGTAGCCAATCACAGCCTGTTACCGGTACTTGTTCATGCCCTTTGTTTATTGAGCTTCCACTTATATTGTCTGATTCAGCATTCTGTTCATCCTTGCCATTTACTATGATGAGTGCAAGACGAAATGCTTTAGTATGTCTGTTCTCGTTGCTGTTCTTTTATAATATTGCATTTTAATCCATTTTCTTGGACTGTCCACAGAATGAAAGGACATGAAATTTGGGTCGATATTTGAAAGGCTGTCTGATGAGTTTAACATTCATAAAGTTTAAAGAAATAAGTAATTTTTATTAATAATTGCCCGGCGAAAATATACTTTTATTCTTAATCATACTCATGTATTTTTTTGGAAAAACAATTTTTATTTATTTAAAGGATGATGTTCGCCAGTTTCCATGTGCAGTAGGTCATAATTCCCGACACCAGACTGGGTTGAAATACCATTAATGGGTGTACAAGTCTCACACAGCAAACCTGTGGTCACATCAAAAAATATACCTTCATTCCTTCAGAGAGTCTTTGGTTGAGGGCAGTGTAAGATAGTGACTTTCCATAGGGGTGGTTAATGGAAAATGCAGAGCATTACATAAAGCCTGTTGGTCGTAAAACTGAATGCTAATCCTGGTGGTTGACAACACCCGTTAGCGGGTGAACATCTAAATGATGTCAAATTCCCCATTACAGCCCACTACTATGTTTTGAGCAGCATGTCACACTTATTGTGATATTATAAGTTAGGTCTAAAAGTGTCTATTTGTTTCTTCCTTAAATAAATATGGGTACGTAAGATGTTCAAAGACAAATTTATCAAAAAATCAAAGAATGAAAACCCTAATTGTCACTCTTCTTGAAAAAAAAGGGGTTGAACTTGGTAGAAGTATACATACGTATATACAATCATGCATGGTGCTACATGAATCTTCATGTAGTTTAAATGATAGAGTTCAAAGATCATTAGTGGCAAACCTTGTATTGCTCTAGTTCCTTTGAGGATTATTAGATTCTGCTGAAAAGTATTATAACAATCAGACTTGCCTGTCTTGTGGAAAAAACAAGTTATATGTCTCATGTTTTTTTGTATATCATTGATGTCTATTTGACAACAGTTAATCAATGCATGTCTGTAATTTGAATAAAAAACTTTCTTGGAATGTAAAAATCATTGATCAATAAAATTTGAAAGAAATATATTCTTATTTTGAAACTGAGTGTGTCTTATTATTGAGATGATGGAGGGAAATATTGTTGTGTAATATGCTCATATTAGCAGAAAGGGAACCACGCAGGTGAACCAAACATTTGACCTGTTGGCTTAAAACCACTATTACATTATAATTCCTTGAATACTGTAGACCAAATATTTTAAAGGGATATGTGTTGTTTTCCTTATTTTAATAAAAGTCAGTATCTTGATCATCATTCTCTCTCCTCCCGGCCAAAGTCATCATGTATTTCTAATGATATGAAATGCCACTTCCTTGGCAACTGAAAGGCAATAAAAGTGGCATCTGGGAACAATGTTTGTTCACTCTTGCATCAATGTGCACTTAATCACCAACTTGTCAACCACTGACATTGATTATGTTCTTTAGAAAGTAATGAATACCTGGTAGTAATATGTGTGGCAAGTTTAGCTTGACCTGATAATCCTTTCAAATTGGTTTCTATTGAAGTCTAAATCAGCTGTCCTGCTTATAAAGAGATTAGCCAGCATACTGCATTGTTCCTAAGTTCAAAGCCTTTTTCTCTGAATAGACTTTCTTGATTGCTTAAACATATTAGATAAAAGTGGGTTCTGCTTAACTTTGAAAGGAGAATGGTATCTCATTGGATGCTGTGGAATATCTAGTGTAAGAAATGTATAGTCTGAATATGTTTTCCTTTCATTTAAAAAAGTGCTGGTTTTTCAGGTCATGGGTAACATGTGACAGCCGGGTAAAAGGTTACATTTCAACATGATGCTGTTAAAATGACAAATGATATATATATTCAACCAACGATAAGTTGATTTGAATGTTGTAGGAACGAACTGAATACCTAAAAAGAGGTAAACACCATGCTAACATATTGGAATTGTAAATTGATAGACTACGAGCTTGCATGTGAGAATGAATTAAAACACCTTTTTCGTGAATATGGCTGGTCAGAGAAATCCTATGTTGGAAAATGTTTTCTTTAATATATGGTATAAACACAATAACAAAGTAAGATAGTTTTTGAACTACTATCTGTTTCTTTATTTTTAAAACTGTCTCAACCAATATCAGCAATTTAATATGGATAATCAAAACAAATAAACCAGGTTCTACAACCTAAAAAAGATACTTTGTATACAGCTAAAATGTATAACATCAACCTAAAAAAATATTCATTTTATACAGCTAGATAATAATTACAATATTTATAAAGCGCAACATATCCATCTCTAGAGATACTCAACCTAAAAAAACAGTTACCCCCATTCTATGGGCTAGTCAGTTGAAATTGAGTACATGTATAAATAAAAATAGAAAATAATGAATGATATAAAGCTGTGAACACAGAACCGAAGTATGGTAGGCCCGATTTCATGCAAGCATCTTTGGATGCTTCAGATTATTCTGCAAGCCCAGACTCTAAATGGACTCTTTACCACAATTGATAAAGCCTTGAGCAAAACTAGTATATGACAGTTTGTGGCTGTGTCAAAGTAAATTAGAGCCTACTTGTAGTCTCATAGTGCAGACACTGTTATGTTCAATGGTTGACAAGGGTTTGTGCCTGCAATCTAGCATAAGGTAGTCTATTGCCAATGTATGGCAACTGCCCTTTAACGAAAGTAAATGTAAAGTACTTCATTATTGAAGAAAGAACCAAGGTTTTGACTACACACTGGCTGCTGGTACAAATATATTTTCAGTTCCATCTGGTAATGAGGAAAGAGATTTGGGAGTGCTGTTTCAACAGGACCTGTCTTTCAGCACCCATGCAGCAGATGCTGCCAAGAGAGCCAACATTAAGTTAGGAATGATAAGAAGGTCGTTTTCAGCCTTGCAAAAGAAGGGGTTCCTTAGTCTCTACAAAACTATTATTCGGCCAACACTAGAATACTGCAACTCTGTATGGTGCCCAATACTCAAGAGAGATGAAGACATACTAGAAAAAGTCCAGCAGAGGGCCACCAGACTTCTTCCTGAGCTGAGACAAAAAGCATACCCAGACAGACTAAGAGAACTACAACTTCCTACTTTGGCTTACAGGAGACAAAGAGCAGATCAGATACAGATATTCAAAATCCTGAGAGGCTTTGACAGAGTGAATCCTTCAAAATTCTTCCAACTAGCCACTGGCTCAACCACAAGAGGCCATGATTTCAACATTGTCAAACAACGTTTCAACACAAGACTTAGGCAGTATAGTTTCTCAATAAGGGAGTGTAAATAATTGGAATGCTCTGCCTAAGGAAGTAGTCAATGCTAGTATACCACCATTAACCAATAGGTATTGGAGAAACAATCCAATTAAGTTTGAACCATACTTGAGACGGGATGCATCAGTAAAGAGGGACAAATAAGCTAAGCTTCCAGTCTCTACACCCAAGTATACCCAAGTAAGTAAGTAAGTGTATTTAAACTTGCAAAACCTTTTTACAAAAGTTATGTGAAGCGTCATAATTTGACTATATAGTATTACGACATGGAACCTCTAACAAGTAAGATAAAATATTTGTTTGTGCTTATTATACTTGAAAGGCGGTAAGAGGACATATATTTTTTTTGTGTCCCAAAATTTGAAAATTTGGCCGATCGGCCTTGGAGGAGGGGGGGGGGGGGTACTGTCGGGTTTTTGGGGCCACCCAATATCACTTTTTTTTTTTTTTTTTTTTCTTTTTTTTTCTTTTACCAAAAAAAAAGGGGGGGGGGGTTCCCTCCAAAACATACAAATAACAAAGTTCAAGAGGGGGGTTAACCCCCCCCCCCCCCCCCCCTGCGTACGCTCCTGATCGACACCAGAAAAAGGAATTACAAAAGAAAGGAAGAGAAAAAAGAAAAAGATAGCCACCCATCGTCCTACGGAAAGAATCACGACCATCAGCCGGTATAGAAATCACGTTGGTAAAGCAGGACTTATTTTAATACTGTACGGTAATTTTCCATGAATGACGTTCCAGTGACGTTTAGAGAAGCAGTCGTGTAAAAAGCCAGGAACAGAGACATTTATTTTTACTTCGTTCTGACCATACAATTTATCTTTCAATTACGTGCATGGATGTACAAGATCAGAAAACTTTCCACGATTCTACTAGGCTCCATTTTGCACGGTACTAATAGGTAAGTCAAACATGAAATAAATAGTCTCAGAATGAAGACATGTCGCTTTATTGAGTCGAACGCCGGGCTGCTGAGCTGCCGTCTGGAACGGCCTGGCGCTGCCTTGCAGGTGCCTGTACCTTACCTAAGCTAGCTGCATACTACCAAAAACAAAACTCAAAAGCTAAGCCCTTTGTTCAAAGACTGAAATATCACAAATTCAGCACATCTGGCATTTTGTTGTTGTTGATCTGGTCCTTAATATTCTGTACATCTTATGGAATTGTTGAGAGAATCAAGAAGGACAAATCAAGTCAAAATGTATGCCTGCGATGTGTGATTTTTGTTCAATGATCGATGATGATGTGATCTATTGTGTAGTGGGAAAACAGTACCAGAAGCTGTGCTTATGTTCGCATTCATTATTTAAAGTACATTTTGCAAATCTATTACTATTGTCTTCAGGAGTTCAGTAATTCTAGATAGTGTTGACTTCTCGCTAAAACTAATTTGAATTGAGAATGCAAGTTACAGGTAAATATTGGGGCATTGGAGTTAAGTACAACTACAAGTTTACTGACATTCCATTAAAATGAGTGTAAGTCGAACATGTCAGTGGGATGTCATCAAGCTTTTAATTAAAACTAACAATTTTGTGAAGCGATGCCCAGAGCTTTAGGTATTTAGAACTACAACTAATATTCATAAAATATTTTACTCGATATTGATCTTGATGGTAATTTTGTTTGTGCTGTAAAAAAAGTTTTTATCAACATTTTTCTTCAAATTGTATTGGTCATTAATTATAAAGCTGTCTACTATATTGAATAAATGCTAACTTTAAATTTGTGTTTGATTACTGTAAATTTTACCATGTTTTTAAATTTTAAATTCATTTTTTAAACAATCATAATTAAGCAATCGTGTATGATAATCGTTTATCAATCCTTTTGAACAATCCAAGTAGATTTGTTTGTTTTCATTTTTTCTCTTAAGTTTCGCTTATTGTACATGTTGCATAGGCTGCATTGCAAAAAGACTTATTTGTATTAAAACGCTTAGTTTAATAGCCTGCCTTCCTGGATTAAGTAAATGCTAGTGCAAGTACATGTACTGTATGTTTAAGACGAATTTCGAAGTTTGCTCCGATGTCCAATTTAAAGAAAATAGTTGAAAACTTCAAAATTTGGGATGTAATGTAGCCACCTGAAATAACTTAAACTGATTTACAGTTTACTGAAGTTTGCTCCGATGTCCAATTTAAAGAAAATAGTTGAAAACTTCAAAATTTGGGATGTAATGTAGCCACCTGAAATAACTTAAACTGATTTACAACATCTGAAATGTGTACCCTGTTAATTTAAGAACAACAAAAAATGTGAACCCTTAGTAATTCTCTTTCATAACAAAGATAGAAGGAATCAATTTTTTAATGCTAATATTGAAATTGGACTATCCATCATTGTAAGATGTAAACTTTTCTTCTGAATTTCGTCTGAACATTTGAGGCCATCATAGACATAGCCCCACATACTTTTGGGTGATTCCATGCAATGTGTCTTATACATGTACATGTACATCATATGATATTTATCTTATTTATTTCATTAAAATATTAGAATGGCTTGATAAGACCATTGACTAATGGTTCTTTTATTATTATTATTATTTATTCAGCAAAACAAAGTGTATACAAAAGAATTACATAGAACAACCAATCATACAAAACAAAGATAGAAATCATTAAAAAGAAAGCGTTATCGTGATTCCCATGAGCATTTATAAGTTGCCAGGAATGGGGCAGGCAAACTAAATCACAGAAACCGTGAAGGTCCCCCATTCCGATTTGTCTGTTATATTTCAATTTCCTAACCGTGCATGGTTAATAAAATTTCACATCATATGTAAAATATTTTACTCACCGATCCAAACTTGGCTGTTAGAAACAAGATAGAACAATATAGACAGAGAGAGAGAGAGAGAGAGCAAGACAGGTGACATGAGAAATTTTAGATTAAGATACTTCTATTTTCTCATCACTGTGCATGTAACGTTGGTCACTCTTTATTCATGTCTATAAAGCTGAAAAGTCCAAGACTATGGCGACCGGCCCAACCACATCCACCTTCCCAGAATCTAACCCACCCTTCAACCAAGGCCTGCAGGGAGGAGATAGGAAACGGACTTGGCAAGAACTGCATAGCAATGTCAAGTCCATGAGAAGAATCCACATGTTCCTGGCTAACCGGGTATCTCTGGAGTTTACTTTCAGGGTCGTTGAAACAGAGAATGGACCTCGGACAAGGCTCTACTTCCTTGGAGTACCACCAGGTAATACCTCTCACTACAGTGTCCAAGATAGCATACAGATCTGCAAATGAAATGAAAACCTGTCAGAAAAAAACATATCAAAGAGAGAAATGATTTAATCCATTACTCTAGGATGCAAAATGAAATGGAAATTCCTACTAAATCCACCAAATGTTTCATTGATGAATTTACAAATGAGAATCTCTTGCACAGTAATAATGTGAAGAAAAATATACAAATGCTAACATTCAGCAGGGAAAGATTAGACAGTCTACCTGGACTGTTCTATAAATCTTTTCATTTCAATATTTTGTTATTTCTTAATAACTAATTCTGATTTATATTTACTAACTCAATCATTTTATTCAAATGCAACTTTCAGACTATCTCTCCCCTAATGCAGTACTATGTTCTAACAAACATGTAAGTAGCCAATATTGAGTATTGACCATCCCTATTCATTCATTTCAAAATATAATTCATTCTTATACTGTAATACAGGTAATAGAGAAAACACGCTACTCTATGCTGACATGCCTTCAGAGGGCGAGGATGGAAGCGGAGAATCCGCGTCACAGTGGAAACCCTTACTCATCCCTTTCCGAGGTCTGATGCAAACTGGCAACTTCTCCAAGGAGGAGCAGCTGCTGAGAGAGAGGAAACGTATGGGCACGTTTGGGATAACCACGTATGATTGTGATGTAGAGAGTGGAAGGTTTCTCTTTCCAGCCAGCGGGAGTCTCTTTACGTGTGTGGATCCAGATCTCATTGTGAGTATAAACACTGGTCTATTACCCTCATTTTAAAAGGAAAGTGTAAATTTTAAGATTATATTTATACAATTTTTAAAAAAACTTTCAACTCAAGAAAGGTCAAGGCTAGGAAATTTTATTTGTTTAGAGTATATTCTTTTCTTAGCAATGACTGAAGGATTGAGATAAGCCTTTACCTGGCTCTTTTGTATGTTTGGATATTCTAATGCACAGTGTACAGTTTTTCAGAGTAAATGAGATAGTTCTTAAAATTATTAAAACATTAATTATTTAACAGGATGTAGCTTCAAATGGTTACATGTCAGGCTACTTGAATAACATTAGACATAATGAAATATGTTAATATGATTCACATTTGTAAATCTTAACTTGAAACTGTTGATGTGGATACCTCAAGTTGGGATCTATGGTACATTTCTATGGCCATTGTGTGACAAACTAACATAGTCAATACAATAATCTTGATTTAAAAAAATGCACTCCTATTGCCTATTCTAAGTACAAATATATCTTGGTTTTGTTGTATTTTGTCCTTGACCAGTCTTACCCAGTCTACCCGACGGAGGTACCCACCCAGTGTCAAGGAGTGAGAATGGATGCCAAGCTCTGCCCTACCAACAGCAATCTACTAGCATTCATCACAGAGAATGATCTATGGGTCTCCAATGCTATCACTGGAGAAGAGAGGCGATTAACGTTTGCCAATAAAGGTAAGGAGGTTTTAATCTGAATTTATTGATTGATTTGTCTGAAAACAAATATTTCTCTTCTCTTGGTTTCTGCTTTAAAAAAACATTTCATAACATGGTCGCATATGGGTTGAAATACCATAAAGGAAACCTCATATTGATACTCAATCATTGAGGTGTAGATAAAGTGTAAATCTCTTTGAAGTTTTTGCCCTTGGAACAATTGTCATTTAGATAATGAAAGGCTCTTGCATTTGGTTTTCAGGAACCTTATATTGTGTAAGCATGACAGATGTATGGATATTAATAGTAAGGCTGTTACATTTGTTGTATTTCATGAACCACTTTTTTTTTTGTATAATGGTTATCAAGATGTTTTATTGACACTGATCTATTTGAACATTAATTTATACTGAATCCTTCCATTCCCTTGAAGGTCTGTCCAACATAGCCAATGATCCTTGCAGTGCAGGGGTGACCAGTTACATCATCCAGGAGGAGTTTGATCGCTACACTGGTTACTGGTGGCAGCCGGATATCCCTGAAGAGCAGAAAACAGAGAGGGCGGTATATAGGATACTGTATGAGGAGGTAGACGAGAGCGAGGTGGAGATACTCAACATCGTAGCACCAGGCCATGGGGATGGAGGAGTGGACAGATATCGGTATCCAAAAGCAGGTATGTTCATAGTTATATCCAGCGATGGAAGACAATTAGGGATTAATATTTCAGTCACATCAACGAGACTGGCATCGGTCCAAGAACAGACCGAACAAAAAGTTACATTACCCCGAATGGCCAGAGTCAGTTGATATGGAGTCGGTGTGGAGTCAGTTTTGCAATGTTGTTTACCTCTAAAAGTTTGCCATTTCGAAGTTGACAAATCAACCCAGGGGGTGTTTCACAAAGACTAAGATTGACTTTAAGTTGGACTTAAATATGGCAGGCCGTTTAAGCCACTGGTTGCTCTCACCATTTGTCTCTCAAAGGACGTCATAAATCTACAGAATTTACATTTTTGCTAGTTCTTTGTTGAAGAGAAAAATTATGTAGATTTGTGACCACGATTTGTACGTCCCTTGAGAAATCAATGCCATGAATGGTTAGAGGAACTAGTAGCATGAACGGCCTGTCATAGTTAAGTCCAACTTACAGTCGATCTTAGTCTTTGTGAAACACCCCCCTGGTTTGATTCCACCCAAAAGCACTTTAGTAAGCTGCTTCCTCCAGAGATATGATCTTCACATCACATTGATAAAGGCATTGATCAGCATAGACAGTGGATGACTATTCGACACATCGCTGTTTTCATTGATATGATGAAATTTAGGAATAGTAATGTAAATAAGAAGGTACATGTATCATATTGTTAAGATTGAATTATTGAAAGATGGAAATAACATTCCCCTTAGTTATCTAATGGAAAGATTTTTTGTTGGGGTAGTTATGTCATATTGTAGTTTGAACATGACTGGTCTCATTATATGCTGTTTTGCTTTGATGTGCAGGTACTACCAATGCAAAGAATGTCCTGAAGATGGTAGAATTCACACAAAATGAAGAAGGAAAGGTATGGTATATTATCTCTTGTTCTATTCTCTTTGTTAATCGAGTAAGCTTGCTATGTGTTTCTAATTACTTTGAAATGTCACTTGTGCATATTATGGGAACGAAATTCTGATAATTTATCTCATGAAAGTGAAAACTTCCAAACTCAGTGTAGAATGATGTATTTCTTTCTGACTAAATGCATGATTATGGTGATTCAGGATTCAGACTGAAATATTATATCATTTTATAGATTGAAGAAACATGTATTCACAAGGAGCTGAGGGAGCCTCTGAAGACTCTGTTTCCCTGGATGGAATACATCATCAGACTAGGCTGGACACCAAATGGCAGATAGTAAGTTCTGTGTTTCATAAAGCTGTTCGTAAAGTTACGCATGACTTTACGAATGACTTGAACATAAAGTGCCAGATAGGATGCCCAAAGCTCTTCCTGATGTTTTCACAAAGTGTGACTATATTTCCAATAACCTCAATTAAATTATGGCAAAAATATACTTTGTATTAAAAATGTTTGTATAAGAATGTAAATCTACATCTGCACAGTTCAACTTTAGTTGATGCAGTTAAAAAATGATTGAGCATCCCATTGGCTTTTCATATATAATTAATTCGTAAAGTCATGCGTAACTTTACAAACAGCTTTATGAAACACCCCCTGGCTCTAGTAGTGTTCAGGGAAAGGGGAGGTGGGGGGGGGGGGGGAGGAATATACCCTGTAAGACTATTAAGACTTATCCATGATCTTTCAATACCATATTTTGGTCATTAGAATAACCATTGATGTAGTGAAGACCTGTTTTGCTAGAACAAGGGAGGAAAACATTTATTCATATTCATTTGGCATTAGGTTTCAGGGGTCAAGAACAAGACAGAGATATAAAAATATTTAAAAAATTGAGGTAGATTTTGGTCTTGGCTACATCACTGGTAACTACATTTGGGCACATTTTGTATCCTGCCTATTTTCGTATATCCAAGGATTTAAGGAATATGTAATATTGTACAGTTATTGACTGGCAGGGGGTGTAATATAACATTATTTGGACCGCCGAAGCAGGGAGGTGAGACTTTAAATGGAGATTCCGTCTCGAAAGAATTTCCCCGAGGGAAAGATATTCAAGATTAACTTGGCTTAACAACAAGTAATTTAACCCTCTTCAGCCATCAAATCCATCAACAGCCGCCCTTATCAGACCACAGATGCCCTCTGGCGATCCAAATGTTACGAAGTGTTACGCAACGCGGCCTGCTTCTCTAAGCTCTCCAAACACTTGGTCGTAAAAAAAAGGCTTTGAAGCCATGCGAGTCACCGAGAAAATGACGTCATACTCATTGAAGATGTATATAGCTATAACAGACAAAAACACACATAGCTGCATTACTACCCTGGCCGTGTATTAAAAGTTGTGCTATTGATTCTCAACATTTCAAACACCACTGTACAAAACTCAACTGATTTCATTCAAAGGCAGTACTATAGTGACGATTGATGACACCTAAAGAGCATTAAAATACAATTTGTTCAACTTTCTGATGTTAGAAAGAATAATTTAAAAATTAAAATTGTGAGTCTACTGTCAAACTTGCCGATCAACCGCATCGGGATGATTATGTGCATTTGTACTGTATGTTGTGAGTGTATTGACTATTCATGTATTCAAATGCTGCCTATTTACATGGAGCGGCCTACGCATTCACGATGAAACCATTTAACCGTACATTCTGGTTCGCTGCAACGAATAAGATTTTCCGTTGATGGAATTTCACACGTGCATAACTTGTATTGGTCTCCAACTTCCCATACACCAGGCTCAAGAATCAAATCTTCCTCAAAATCAGTCAGAAAGTCTAAATCGTCGCCTACCAAATACTCTTCTCTACTGTACGCCGCCATTTTTGTCGATAGCAGCCGATGTGTATTTCCAACAATGCATTTCGCGAGCCCTATGTCACTCAGTTTCGGGAGTGAGATTTACGAGCTGTGCGGTCCGGGTGGGGGATTAAGGGGATTATGATAGGGGGAAAAAAGACTCTCGGTGCAACGGACTGCTTCAAAGGGCCCTCTTAGATGCGGAATCCATTTAACTCACATGCCCTGGCTGAAGGGAGTTATATTTCCCAAGTGGTTAATATGGTCACAAGGGAAAATATAACTCCCTCCAGGTCCAAAGAATGTTTTATACCCCCTGCCAGTCAACTGTTATATTAGATAGCCTTGGGTTTTTTTTGTGGGGGGGGGGGGGGGGGGGGGGGGGGGGGCTCCATATTTTTTTTTGCCCTTAATTTAAAAAAAAAAATCCGGGACAATCAAAATTTCGGAAAAATAATCTGTCGAGGTAGTTCAAGAAAAAAAAAACCTTAAAAACAAAAAAAAATTGGGAAAAAAAAAAAATTGAAAAAATTAATTCTTACCCAAAAAAGCTTTTTTCAAGAAAAAAAAAATTCAAAAAAAAAAAATTACCCAAAAAAGCATTTTTTTTGAAAAAAAGAAAATGTGGAAAAAATAATTTCACGGGAAAAAAAAAACATTGAAAAAATAAAATGACCCTCGGTTATGGTGTAATGTGTGTAATTGGTGACATACAGTCCTCAAGAGGGCGACATGCATTGATTAAAAATATATTCATTTCCCCGGCTGGTAAAATATAACCAACCAGGAAAATATAACAATTTGGATCCTCCCAATTGATATCACGTGACGAGCTCTAGACCAATCACATCTTGGTATCTGTCTAAGCTATCTAATATATTTCTTTATGCATCCTCATGAATCAATTTATAATTCCCTGTTGTGAGGAACCCGATTGTGACATCATATTTATTCTCAATCCTTTTCCCCTCTTGCCTTACAGTGTATGGGCCCAGCTGTTGAGTCGTAACCAGCAGAGCACTGTCCTAGTTCTCATCCCTCTGGATAGCTTTGTACCTGTAGGTCAAGAGAAGCCCATGACCCCTGAGGGTCAGGTCACCAAACCTGTCGTTCTGGTGCTTTACGAGGAACACTCGGATATATGGATCAATGTGAGTAGCATTGTAATGAATTGCAGACGTATCTGGTTAAGGTAGATGGTAGACCAGGGCCCCGTCTTACAAAGAGTTGATATCAATCGCAACTTATTTGTGATTGATATCAATCGCAAATATGTATATAAGAGATATTAGACTGCAAACTTGCGATTGATTGGAGGACTTGCGATTGATTTGGATAAATCGCATCTCTTTGTAAGACGGGGTCCAGGCATGTGATCAGAGTTTGCAGGCGCAAACCCTTGTCAGTTGTAATCCACATTAGAGGGTCTGAGCGTCTGAGCAAGGAGACTATACAGAGACTACAGTAAATAGGCCCTGTACTATGACACAACCAAAGACTGACAACATTTAGGCTCTGCTCGAGACTTCATGGAATTATGAGATTCTGTGCTTGCAGACTAATGTGATCACTTTTTCATGATCTCTTACCCCACTATAAACAAAGAGGAGAAGATAACATTTGTTGGGCATGATACAGTCATGGTCTTTGATTGTCAAGCTTTGTGTATATTAATTATGTGGTGATCAAAAATGATTACGATAAGCGTTATTTTGTAGCTTTGAATCGTAAACCTTAAAGGGACAAGCACACACTCCTATATTTAGAAAATGTTGTGAGTGCACATTGTACTTATAGATGTAAAACTAAAATTGAACATTTACCCCCTTTATTACACGATGTAGAACATAAAAAGAAAATGTGTGATTATTACTGCCAGCATACAGTACCTTCCATCACAAGTACACGCAGAGGATACATTCTAATTAGGATTTTAAAAAATTTCCACAAAGAAATGACCATTGGTCAAATATTATTACATCTCTCTTTTCCAGGCTCACAACACGATCCACTTCTTCCCGCAAACGAACCCTAATGAGATGAGTTTTATCTGGGCTAGTGAAGCAACAGGAACACGGCATCTCTATCACATCACGTCAGACTTGCATCCAAGAGAAGCTATGCCAGGTAAATTAACAAATTTTATGGCCCAAATTCACAAAGGAGGTTTACATTTAACCCACGGTTTAAAATAGCGCAAAATAAGCAGGACACAAGTCAGAGGTCCAATATTAGACGCGCGCAAGGCAAGGTACGTTTATTTTGCGCTAATTTTTAAACCATGGGTTATGAAATGAGTGTTTAAACCATGGGTTAAATCTGAACCTTCTTTGTGAATTCGGGCCTATATCTAGCATTTAGTCATAAGCGGAACTTGCGATGGATGAAAAAATTGGTGCAAAGACATGTGATTTGTTTTGAATGAACTTAGAAACAGGGTGTTGCTCAATATTTATTTATATGTATTTTTTACAAAAAAATTATTTTTATTTTATAATTCACATGCCAATATAATATGTAATGCTTGTATGATTAGATTGGACAATTTGGCAGAAGGATATTAGAGTAGGCATTATGGAATCTCTGCAAAGCCCTTCTGCTAGGTACTTGTGAATATCAGAGTGGACTGAAGTAATGCCTGTGCAGGCACTCAAACAGTAACCCAAGAGAGAAAAGAAGAGTGGTCTTTAAGTACAGGTGCCTATAGTACATGTTACAATGCAAAACCATTTTCAAGGGAAACAAAAAATATGGTCTTTGTAGAGAGATGGCCACTAAAGCAGGTTTGACTGTACTAATCCCTTTGTTTATCTTCCTTTGTCGTCATACAGGTAGTCTCAAGCCAGCCATCCTGAAGTTTGAGATGGTGACATCGGGTCATGGCGAAGTCTCTGTACATAACCTATGGGTAGATGAAGACAAGTCATTAGTATGCTACACAGCTCTACATGATAGCCCCATAGAAGAACACCTGTAAGTAGTAAATACTGCCTTTATAGACAAATTAAATCTGTCACCTAGTGGCCTTAGTAACATCCCAAAGTCATATACAGCTCTACATGGGAGTCTCAAAGATAAATACCAACCTGCACAAGAGTTATTTTTCTGAAGGAAGCAGCCTTTAATAAAATGTTGATTTTAAGTGGCTATTTAGTTGAGGTGTTTGTTAATTTGTATATAGCGCTTATTACAAATGTCTCTAAGCGCTTTACAAATATACTATTATCTCGTGTGTTTCATTATAAAGTGAGTCATGAAGTGAGTAGTTTTGAAGCACGGTGACAACTGAATATTTATTATAGAGGATTTTTAACGATAATGCTTATACTGCTTCCTTTCTGTCCATTTTCTCCCTGAACATTTTGAAAGACATAGAGATCTTTATAATGCATGCATATAAGAGATATGATTTAATGGAGGATTACATTTCCATTTTATTTCACAGATATGTAGTGTCATATGCAGATCGTCATCCACCAGTACGGATAACACAGCTTGGATACAGTGTACAGAGTGCCATGATCAGTCCAGTAAGAATCATTATCATCTTTCTCTCTAGCTTGGTGTATGAAAATATTGTCTGCAGACATTCAAACTAGGATTATACAGTCAAACCTGCTTTAGTGACCATCTGTCTATAAAGGGCCACATTTGTTGTTTCCCTTGAAAATGAATCATGTACTAAAGGAACCTGTCTACAAAGGCCACTTTTAGTGTTTCCCTTGGACGGTTGCTATAGACAGGTTTGACTGTATATTAATTTCCCAGTACTCATTTTTTTAATGAATATAAAGTAAAAAACATTGCATGTAGGATTTTGTTTATATGAAGTAAACTACATGCAGGTCAAAAACCGAGTCTGCATTATGTTGAGAGCCAATGTATACTAAAAAAATTACAAGTAGTCAATTACATTCTCTAGAGCATGTATTAACATTTCATGTTGCAATACATGTATGTCTTTGAGCAATATATGAGTTGTTGACACCATCTGTACTTTTGAAATCGAAGTTTTAAAATCCTGCATGAGACATTTTAGAATTGTGTAGTGAATAAAAGTAGTTTTATGAGGCACTTGATTAAATCTTGTTTGAATTGTCTGAGTGAGATTTCTTCTAGCTTATCTTTGCATGAACTTGTTTCTATTACAGGACTTCCAGTACTGTGTGTGTACAGTGAGCAACCTGACCACACCACCCTTCACTACTGTGACCAGATTGGAATGGACCCAGCAACCTCTCAATGTCACACAGAAAGAACTCTTCAAACTTATGCTGCCACAGAGTAGGTGGAATTCCGTCTTTTTTTAAAGAATTCTCAAATGTTATGATATTATTGTCAGAATAATAAAAAGTGGAAATTAACTTCATAGAGCTTCAAATAACCAGAGGTGATAGGATAGAAATTCTGAGCAAGCTCAAGTCATTTTGGCTCATTTAATACTACAATATGAATATTGAAAGTGTGTCTGTGTGTATTTTACTGAATATCTATTTTGTTCTTTATTGTGAAAAACATTTTCAAATGCATGAGGACAATTTGATTTTGGTAGTAGAAATGTCAAGTATGGAGGTACTTTATTATAATGTTTTTGACAGAATTATTCAGTACACAGATGTTAGTGAAAAAATAAAGTGAGAACATAGATATATTACCTCATATTTTATCGACATTTTAAGGAAAAATAAATGAGACAAATACACACTTAGCAGTTGATACTTTTATGTCCAAAATACAGATTAAAACTAGATGGAACTTTGACTGCGCGCAGTCAAAAATGATGCCTCCGCCATAGAGCAATTTTACAAACCAAAACAGAAACAATTTTTAAATTCAAGTTTGATTGTAATCCATCTGTGGGTTTTAATGATAATGCATGCACAAGCTATTTTTGGCATACATAATGAGCCATGTGACCTTTGACCTTCGACCTGGTGACCCCAAAATCTAATCAGTTCATTGGCTCTGCAAGATACATACATGACTTGAGTTTGATAGTAATCTGTCTATTTGATCTCATGATAATGCGATCACAAGCTATTGTTGGATACATAAAGACCCCTGTGACCTTTGACCTGGTGACCCCAAAATCGAATCATTTCATTGGCTCTGCAAGATACATACATGACCTGAGTTTGGCAGGAATCCATCAATCGGTTCTTGAGATAATGCGATCACAAGCTATTTTGCATACATAATGAGCCCTGTGACCTTTGACCTTCGACCTTGTGACCCCAAAATCTAATCAGTTCATTGGCTCTGCAAGATACATCCATGACTTAAGTTTGGCAGGAATCCATCAATCAGTTCTTGAGATAACGCGATCACGAGCCATTTTCGCATACATAATGAGCCCTGTGACCTTTGACCTTGGATCTCGTGACCCCAAAATCTAATCAGTTCATTGGCTCTGTGAGATACATACATGACTCAAGTTTGGCAGGAATCCATAAATCGGTTCTTGAGATAACGCGATCACGAGCCATTTTCGCATAAATAATGAGCCCTGTGACCTTTGACCTTGGATCTCGTGACCCCAAAATCTAATCAGTTCATTGGCTCTGTGAGATACATACATGACCCAAGTTTGGCGGGAATCAACCAATCGGTTCTTGAGATAACGCGATCACGAGAACGGGACGTACGGACGTACGGACGGACGTACGTACGGACGGACGTACGGACGGACGGACAACCCAAAAACATAATGCCTCCGGCTACTTTGTAGCGGAGGCATAAAAACTTTGGATATGAATGAACATGCACTGTTCATAGGTGTATCGAGTCAAAGCCATACCTATACCTTGTTCTGCTTCAATATATTCTGATATTGTGTTTATTATTCTATATTGCAGCTATGTCATTTCCATTTGTGCCTCCGGAACTGTTCATGTACAAGAACTCAACAACAGGAGATGATATGTATGGTCTTCTCTTCAAACCACACAACATAGAACCAGGCAAGCAATACCCAGCGGTGCAGTTTGTCTATGGTGGGCCACAGGTAAGAAACAGAAAAGTAAATCCTAATGCACATAGATAGATGCTACTGTTCTTTAAGCCACATAACATAGAACTTGGCAAGCAATACCCAGCGGTGCAGTTTGTCTATGGTGGTCCACAGGTAAGAAAGTAGTCCATGCTCACTTATGCACGATAAATCAATGTATATAATAAATTACTCCAGTCACATCGATGAGAAAGATCCCACATTGCTCTGAATTGCCCATATTTGTTGAGTATTGGTCAGTTTGAAGTCTGTTTGGTGATAAGAGCCAATGATTTCTTTGGTGTTTGAGCAACTACTCACATTTCTCCAACAACTAAACAGCAACTTAAATTTTGCAAGTATTCTGTGTTATATTTTTTAAATAAAGGGCAAAGTTTTTTCAATCTCGTAAATAAAATTCATAACTTACCAACCAAATTCTACTGGTAGATCTAGATTTAAGTTTTTGCTGTCGATTACCCGAGTTAAGCTATGGCGCAATACACAAGAGAGAGGCGCAATGTATACATCAGAGAAAACTGCAGGGTATGGGATCAGTGCGGGATGGCCGAGCAGTCTAAGGCGATGATTTTAGTCACATCAACATTTGTACGCAAAAAATTGAATCCCGTCTTCGACAAAAGTTTTTTTTTTTTTTTTTTTTTTAAATGTCAAAATCGGGCGTGCGGCCTATGCGGCGCTGCGGCCTTATCGCCGGCAAATACGGTACATACATTTTGTTACTCAAAGACTGATAATAGACGGTAATAGGTTGCATATTACTGAATGCAACTCTTTTACCATATCCAGTGTTTCTTCCATGATTTCTGGACAGTCCTCTCATTAGTCAATCATACTTTATTCCGAAGAAGCACTGCTATATTGACTAATACTATGTTTTTGTGGATTTACTCTTTCAGGTGCAGCTTGTGTCAAACTCGTTCAAAGGCGTTCGTTTCCTACGCCTCTACACTCTGGCTTCACTGGGCTATGCTGTGGTGATTGTGGATGGGAGAGGGTCATGTAGGAGAGGCCTCAGATTTGAAGGTGTTCTCAGGAACAGACTTGTGAGTAGACAATTTGGAGACTGTATTTTACAACATGGGCGAAGTGTTTAAGGTTGATTTTATTTTGCGACGACATAAAAGTGGAAAAGATTTTCTTCATGTGAAAATAGATGTCACTCAAACACAAGAACATCGATAACCGATTAACATGTCTCAGATTGAACTTCCCTTTAAGTTTTATGTGAATGTTTTAGATCTATGTGTTGTTATCTGGATAAATTCATAGCAGTCAATTTTGTTATTTATATTCTATTTGAAATATCAGCCTTTGCATCTGATTAAAATGCCAAACTCTTTGATAATGACGGCACCTTCCATCAGTATGGTACTATTTCTCATATTTGATTTTGAAATAGAGATATAAAGCTTGTCATAAAATCATTTTGAAGACATTTGATATATTGAAGATTTTTAATTTTGAGAAATAATTGTATTATGTTGACAGGGTCATGTAGAGCTAGATGACCAGGTGGAAGGACTACACTGGATTGCTGCTAAATCAGGATGTATCGATCTGAATAGAATAGCTATCCATGGATGGTCTTATGGTGGATATCTATCACTCATGGGACTAGCAAAGAGACCAGATACTTACAAGGTAGGAATAGACATTCCCTCACAAGTACTTACTTCACTACAAGCTTGATTTTGAAGAAATTGCAGTAGGATTAAAAGTACCCAGTTTCAGCAGTAATGCTTTGTGATTGAGGTCTAGAGTGGACATATGAATTAAAGCAAACCATAAATGTGTGTTATTGTAATTTTTCTAGTCAGAAAAAGGCCTGATAGGCTCCACATTGTAGCAACATTTTACCAGCTACATATTCACTATCAAAGATCTAACCCTGTATCTAACAGGGACCCCTTCCATTCTATCTCATCCTATTTCAAAGAAACAAGTATTGGCAAAGAAGAACTATGATGTCCATGTTACATCAGCACCGTTGTTATCCGAGGATGTTCTATAATGTAATCCTTTATATATGACATGGTTTCTGATTAACACCGTGTATCTCACTTCTGTCAGCTCCAATTTTTCATCTATGTCTATCCTCTTATATCTGAAACTCTTTTTAGGTGGCCATTGCCGGAGCCCCTGTCACATGTTGGACAGTGTACGACACAGGCTACACAGAGCGTTACCTAGACACACCAACCAACAACCCTACAGGATACGTCCAGAGCTCGGTGCTCAACTTGGCCAAGAACTTTCCAAATGAGTGAGTAAAGAGAAAGGGAGCTTTTCAGAGCTTTTTAGATGAAAGATATTCTGATCTCATAGTTATGAGATTGCTGAAATGATTAGTATAACTGTTGCATGTAAGCTTATTATGATAAATTGGTAATTAATAAGAGAGGTGAACTGTCAGGGCTCTGTTGGTTGAATCTATGTATCAATTTATTTGTGTATGGTCTTCAAGAGTATGAATTATATATGTGTGGGGTCTTCAAGAGTATAATTTAAATAAGTTGGACATATATTTCAAAGAATGTGAACAATTTGATTTGTATCTGTAAATAATGGTAAAACAGACCAGTTAAATTATGAACTATAAATACAAGAGATGGGGTATAACAGTAAGCCATCATTGCCTTTTCTTGTTCTCCTTTTAATATTTTTTTCTTCAGAGAGAATCGTCTTCTGATTGTCCATGGCTTGATTGATGAGAACGTCCATTTCCATCACACCAGTCTTCTCATTGATGAGCTCGTCAAACACTGTAAACCTTATCACTTACAGGTAAGAAAACCAGGGGGGCTTTTCACAAAACTTGTCATCAGTGACAAATGACAGTTGTTGTTATAAGCTACTGAAATCCTTGCTTCTGATTGGTTATCAACAGATTTGTCATTGATTTTTGTCATTTGTCATTGAATAGAGGCTTTGTGAAATGGGTCCCATGTTTACTCATGAGGAAAACTGTCTAATAAATATTTATGTCTTGTGTTGTTGTTTTAGAGGTGTTTTAGAATGTTTTGAGTATCACACTTATTGCTATTAGGTTCATGATGGGGTTGAGTTTTTCTGTTGAAAATTAAATATGATAAAATAATTGGTATTTGTAGTAGAATTTTTTAAATTTTTTATTTATAACCAGCTTTAGTTTAAATGAGATTTTACAATTATTGTTGGTTGCTAATGCCATTGACAATAAATTTCTGTGTCATTCCTATGTATAGTTTCTGTACGTGACAGGGACAAGAATTAAAGTGGGTTTTATGACAAAAATTTAAAAAAGCTAGTGAAATTTAATTTTGAGTCTGATCAACTAAACTTAAGAAATCCCGCAATTGATTTCTTATTACTGGTAATGTCTTGGTTTGTTATCAGATCTTTTCTTTTATGTCTCTTCACAGATCTATCCTCAAGAGAGACATGGGATCAGACGTCTGGAGACAAGTGAACATTACGAGACAAACATACTCAGCTGGCTTCAACAACACTTATGAAGACCATCACCATTTTTGTTCTTACATATGTTATCTTTGCAGCTGTGTTACTAATAAGAATAGCAAATGATTATTATGTAGAAGTCTGTACATCTCAATGCTGCTAGCATGACCAATACCAAGAGACAGCATCGCCCTGGTCATCTTGTTGCCATACCGATGACGACAACGGCGACAACAACGACGACTATGGTGATAATGATGATGATTGTCTGAAAAACATTTCTTCAGCAACTTGAATCTCTTATGTTCAAGTCCTGTAATTAGTAGTGCTACATATGTATTTACCATGCAGACTTACCTATATGGACTTGAATGTTATGTACATGTATGTAGAGGCAAATAGATATTCACCAATCATGAACTCTTGAACGATAAATCACATTAAACAAGCTTTCATGAGTGGTCAAAATGTAGTCCATGAAGAATCTTCTGTTGTAAATCTTTGATACATAAGAATAAGAAAATATCAAAAGCCCATGTGAGTATAGTGTAGACTCAAGTTGCCATCAAGATATATAGTATCAGTGAAACCTAGTCTCTGTCAGTATGATGAAATAAACTATAGATGCTAAATTTCATAGTACTAATGTTACTAAATATTCTTCATTTCATGTCATATATTTCTAGGGAAGCTGATTTTTTTATCAGCATCTAGATGGCAAGTTAGAAATGAACCCAATTATTATTACTCACAATTCTCACAATTGAATATTAACCATTAATTGAATATATACACTGAAGAGAGGTAAGACAGCATGTATATGCCGATGTAATTTGTCAGATATTTGAGTAAGCTTGTTATTGATATTCAAACTCAAATGGTACTATAACCACCATTAATCATGTAGCATTGACTATAATGTTCCGTACGCCAGTGCCGAGTTGTGTGTAGAAGGGTATAGTCTGTTGTATTCTTTCTCTAGAGGGGCTTTTAAGGAGAATGGAATGGACACATAGTCGGTAAGGGATGATCAGAAGAAAAGGACTTATTCAACACTAATTTGGATTAGTTGAATTAGAAGATGGTGTTTTGTTTTAGTAGCTCCTGATTTGAGGAGAGATATATGAGTAGACTATTCTTGAATTATCACTTATAATGCCAAAACTCTCAACTTGAACAAAAGTTCAGAAGAAATATTTGCTTATTTTTCTCACATTTGGAAAAAAACCTTGTATTAAAAGCATCTTTTCTTATTGTAATAGGACTACTTTTGTGCAATCTCTTCTTTTGCACTTTTGTGAAATTAGCTGGAACACACTTCATCTCTTTCTCCTTTTTTCATCTAGCTATATCGTAAACAAACAAAAAAGAAAGAAGAGAAATATTCATTTAAGAATGGTTTGTTTGATAGTGTATCAAAAGTTATATAAGATGGAAAATAATATAGCATTGTTGGCCAAAGAATGCAATCAAGTATCTTTTTTTGCCAAAAGAGTGCATATATTTGAAGAGTTTGCTTTTTACAAACATTTTTACCTGTAATATTATTGCTTACTTTTAAAGGCTTGTATGCTTTTATGATTTTAATTTACATTCTGCAAAATTGTTGAATATTCATGCCCTTTTTTCAGAGATATCTATCATAGAATCTGAAAGAGATTTTATTGTAAATTTGGAAAAAAGAAGTAACAAATGTTGTTTTATTGAAATATGTGGCAATTGTGGAAAAAAGAGTACACTGTACTTTATTTATTCTTTAGAATCAGCTAGATATGTCTGTATCTTAATTTCTTACTTTAACTGTTCGTCACAATTTTACCTAACCTCTCTTGTTTTTTATTAAAAACAGAAGCTTTCATGACATGAAACTACCACAATTTGTAAATGAGATCAATTTTCATGGCAAGAAACTTTTGTGATTTGCGAAAATTGAGCGTTGTTTCCATTGTGATTAAAGTATTTCATGGCATCAAACTTTCACGAATCTAGACCACTCATGATATTCATGAACATTTCATGCAAGGGAAAGTTTGTAACTTCTAAGTAACTCTGTTGTGTCAAACAATGCTCAGTAGTATAGAAGTGGTTTTACATTGGTTTTCAGAGGTACAATTCAATTTCTGAAACTTTTCATACTTAAAGTAAGACACTGTGTATATTGCGTTAGCTATGAAATGCTTATATTATGAAGAAAAAAAATGCAAGTTTGTAAAATAAATGAAAGTATGTCAAAGGTATAACATGTTGGTTTGTGGAGGAGTAACCAGAAAGATGAACAACTCTTGTACATTGATTGTTCTTATTCTAGATTTTAAAACACCTGTTTTCGTCTGGTATGTGTATATCAGTGATAAAATCTGTCAGAACATTTTTAAACTGCACTGTAGTGTGTAGAGTATGACTGTTGACCATCTTTTGTTCATTTTGCATTTATAATGTAAAAAAAACAGACATGAAATATACAGCTCTAATCTACACATGTGATTTTAGTGAAAAAATATATGTTTAGCTCTGTTTTGGTTTTTTTGTTTTCATTGCTGCATAATGCCTCAGTCACACCGATAACACCGACACCAGACCAACAACAAACTGAACAAATGATTACATTACCCCCAAATGGCTCCCAAATTGATTGGTGTTAAGTCAGTTGGGCGATGTGACAGGGGTAGCCATCATATTGGACTGACATTTCCTCATATAGGGTTAAATCAGCATTGAGACCAGTCTGTTTGTGTAATACATGTAGCAGGTGCTAAGTATGCTGTGTTGGTAAAAAAAAAAATAGGCAAGAATTATACTACATAACAATAATTAGATGCACAGTTTTATCATGGTGTCAATATGGCAGAAAATGGTATTTGAATGAACAATACAAACAGTACAGGAGTTTTAGAATAATTGTTTTATTATACAGAACATTTTCTCAAAAATACTGTATCCAAAAATGGTAATGCTTTTTATTCATCCTACATGTGAGCTCTTATAGGTATTGGATAAAATGAAGAAATGAAAACTATGAAATTGTTGTCCCAAATGCTTATATCATCTGCTGTGAACCATTCTACTTAAACAAACATCCTTGTGGCTGTCATCCAAGTTTTATAATCATGCATGAATGATAGCTGCTGTGTATAAAAGATACACAGTAAGGTTTGCCTGTCTATTGAAATAAAGAAATATACTGTGTAAAGTTCATGGCTTCAATGTTTGTGTCAATGTGTAATATTGCACAAATTGATTAAAATCAACTCGCACTCTTAAATTTTTTAAACTGAACATGTACCGCACAGTGTGAAATTTAGTTCATAGTAATAGTAGTTTTTCTTGTGAATGTTGATCGAAACTGCACATCACAAAGTCTGCATTAATCAAACGTGTGAAAAATTACAAGCATTCTTGAAAGGGGCAAACATCATTTTTAAAGTCTAATATTTTGTTGAGTTTGTTTTATTATTTGTATGTTTTGCAGTCTTCATATATGATACTTGTTAAGTATTTCTTAAATTGACAGTTTTAAAGTTTGGTTCTGTAAGATATACGTAGTATGATTCGCAATAAGACAAATATTGAATTGAAAAAGCATTCCCTGTATACTGGGAGCTCATTGCAAGAGATTAAATTCTGCATGTAGGCAAGCAAAGATCTTTACACATTGTTATTGACATTTAATTTCTAACTATTCTCATTTTAAAATATAAGTTAAAATGTATAGCCCTATTGATTTTACCATTATGTTTATTTTCATCTTTTTTGGTGTATTTTCATAAAATGGTGTATTATGGGTTGAAGTTATCAATGTATCTCCAATTCTCCATACAAAACAAATTGTTTGTGCATGATAAAGTATTTGTGATGTATTATTTGTACATATGAAAGCATAGATAGTCGTAAACAATGTGGTATTTATGTAATGCAATCAAATAACAAGTCATGCACATTTTATCTTTTAACTTGTGAACACAGTGTGAGGGTGAGAAACCCACTTGAAGTGCATTTGTATATCTTTGGAGAAATGAAAAAATTGAAAATGAACACATTTGTCTCGAGTCATTCTTGTGTGTTGATTTTTAGTATCTGCTCTTTTATGATATTTAACTTTTGAAAAATAGATACAAAAGGTGATTGGAACCAAAAGTACTATGAAATTCCTTTGAAATGACTTCTCTTGTTAGAATCTATTATGTTTGGGTAATTGGTCTCAGGATATAATTATAATTCTTACTGTTCTTCTTGAAGATGAAGATTATTTGCCTTGCTCAACATTCATCTCTTTTGTAACTCTCGGAGCTTTTTCTTATATTTTAAGAGTAATACTAATACACATTGTGTTAAACAATTCAACTGCATTTTTGACCATGCCAAAACATTACTGAATAACTAATTTGGCAATAAGCTTCTTGTAACCATCACATATTGAAAACACATAAAGTAGGGATTGTGAAAATTAGCATCCCATGCAAGTAAGTCTGGACAAGCAGACTATAATAACCAGCCTTTTGGGGGAAACCATAGATTTTGCCAGATTTGACCCATTCCAGGGGTCATCAGTGAGTCATAAGAGGTCATGATTGGGGGTGGATATGTGACTACTTCACACATGATTCATAGCTCTTCTTACCAGTAACTACCTATAAATGGATTAGAGTGGGCTTGGTATGAAATCACCCTATTAATCATGAAAATCTCTTTTGGGATATAATCCTGGTCAAGTTCATGCAACTCAAGCTGTTTTTACATCTCACATTGCCTCACCTATATCTGGCATGTGGTCTCTCACACTCTATGTCTCCCTGTCCCTCTGTATTTCCCTCTGTCTGTCTCTCTGCCTGTCTCTCTGTCTGTCTGTCTGTCTCTATGCCTGCCTCTCTGTCTGTCTTTCTGTCTGTCTGTCTCTATGCCTGCCTCCCTGTCTGTCTTTCTGACTGTCACTATACCTGCCTCTCTGTCTCTCGTAGGTCTATGGTCTCTCCGACTGTCACTGTGTTCCACTCTTTCTCTGTCTGCCATGTCTGTCTCTGTCTCTGTTTCTCTCCCTCTCTGTGTCTCTGTTTCTGTCTGTCTGTCTATCTCTCTCTCTCTCTCTCTCTCTCTCTCTCTCTCTCTCTCTCTCTCTCTCTCTCAATCTCTCTCTCTCTCCCTCCCTCCCACTCTTTCTCACTTTCTTTCTCACTCCTCCCATCCCTCTTGCTTCTTGATATCTGAAATTTGTTTTCATATAAGCCTACCAATACCATTAACAATCAATTTCCACAGTTTTATTTCTCTCTTTGTTAACACAGTTAGCCAGGAGGTCTATGCACTGCAACTTTGTCTGCCTCTTTGTAATTGGAGATGAAACACACCTTAATATAACAATAAATAAAAGAGGCCTCTCTCATCTACAAAGGGTATTCCAGGCTCAAGTTACAAACATATAGACAAAACTGAGAATATGCTATGTATACCCAGTAGGTCCATGGTAGACCTAAATGAAGAAAATTGGACTTCAAACTCTTATAGAATAAAGGAATGCATTGAGGTATCTGCTTCATAGCATTGAAACAAAATCTTTACAAAGAGTGCAGAGAAGGCGTTGGTGTGGTTAAATAAATGGAAGGATAGAGATTCAGAAGGCACGTAGGCAATGCGCTGGGATCCTATATTAAATTATGATATGACTTTCAAACAAAAGACACTAAATCAAAATTACTGTGCAAGTACATCTAAATGAGACATGGAAAAAAAGAAAAGAATGAATAAGGTACATGATATAATTATGATAGATGACTTGTATTACGCAGGGACTCATATTGCTTATATATTTCAAACTTTTGCCATTCTGTTTCTGTGATTTTTTTTGTTTTACCTTTATACAAATTAGCTTATTACACGGGTTGAATTGCCGTTTAAAAAATTATTGTCTAGTGCAAGATGAAGAATTTGGGAGATTGGACTACTCTGTTAATACAGAGGCATGGAAATCCACTCCAAAAGATAATGGAAATCATTCCAAAGTCACTGTTCAATAACTCCTTGAGGGTGGATTCCACTCCAAACAAAATGATCCTTAGACCAGGGCCTCCCACCTCCCTGCTCAGACCATGGACCTACGTAACTATGGCTTCCTGGCCCAAAAGTGAATTTCCACTCCTGTACAATTAGAGAGTAGGAATTGCACTCTATGTGGTTGGGTAGAAGTCGAAACTGTCAACAATATTCAATAGTTTCATGAGAACAGTAGACTTCTCTCTGACATCATGTCAGCTTCCTCCGATATGCTTTTTGATAACTTTGCCAGATTTTTGAGAGACAAGTGTATTTTGTATGCTGAACAGATGGAATGCCCATAGTTAGAGGCTTGAAAACAACCAGACACAGACTAACATTCAGGCCCACATTCCACAAAGTACAATTCACATTATCGACCCTAGTTTTTATTTGTGTAATGTGTACAATATTCAGAGTTATATCCAACACCAAAATAGAGTGTCGTGTGAAAACTGGTAAATATTAAAATTCTCACAAATAATTTAAAAACTTTCTTTCTACAGAATTTAAGCTACTCGAAAAGTTTATCAAGAAAAAGACAGATGGACATATGAGTAAATAGATGAAATGGAAAATAACAGATTGATGGAATAGAAATAGATACTTGGTAGATAGAATGACATACTATGCAAAGATGAATAAATCAAAGGACAGATAGATTATAGAAAGAATAACAGACAAGAATAAATGGAATGACAGACATAGAAGGATTGATATAAATAGACAGTTAGTATGAATCAGACATAGGTTAAAGGTAAAAGACCAGTATTGGAAACGCCCCAATTTCAAAAAATGAAATGGAAGCTCTCATTACCAATCATGTGAAAGAATATGTTTTGACTAATACATGATGATAAAAAATTTGCCGGGAAACCGCCTACTAATTCATATATTTGGTAAATTTGTTTCTCTCATGGTCTGTGAGAGATATAGGGTAGTCCCATGTACATCTTTCTGTGTATAGTGCTTGTAACTTTACGAAGAATGGGCCAAATTTCTTATCATTTTGATGATTCCAGAACCTTGCAGATGCTAGATGCTAGATGATCAACCTTTTCTGATCGATTCCACAACGTTTCTTTCACAATGCAACCGCATGACCATAACTGGTCTTTACCTTTAAAGAAACTGCAGATTGGAGGAATGACAGATTTCCTTCTTTAATATATGTCTGTCATTCTTTCAATCAATGTCTTTAATTCCATTTGTCGTTCATATAGAAAAATAGAAGGAATGACAGATGGATAGAAGAAATGATAGACAAATATAAAAAGATTGACAGACAGATAGGTAGACAGAATGACAGGAATAGATAGAAGGAATGACAAGCATAGATAGAAAGAAGGACAGATAGAAGGAATGACAGAGATCGATTGAATGACAGAAAGATGGAAGGAGTGTATAACAGAGAGATAAGAGGAATTACAGATATAAAGAGGAATAACAAATGAAATTAAAGACATTGATTGAACGAATGACAGACATAATATGAAAAAATATGGAATGACAGACTTACAGATAAGTAGAATGACAGACATAAATAAAAAGAGAAACATCTATCACCACGTCTAGCAAAGCATGATCACCAAAACACCCTCACCACAACTATAGAAAAACAGAAATTATAATAATTACTGCTCAAATGAATGAAATGAACCCTGAGGTTACATTGTGATTGATATATCAGCAAGTGGGTGGCATGTGCAGCAGAATTCAAGATTCAGAAGAAAAAAAATCTTGCAGAAAAATAAAGAAAATGGCAAAACCTGTCCAAGTCATTTACCTGTATGAAAGCTTATGTCAATCATCCATGTATCCGATTTTCTTCTTTCTTTCATGCAAGTAGATTTAGATTTTAGACTTACTTGTGACAACTTTGAAGCAAAGAGAGACTTTCTTTAAAGAAAGTTTTGAAGAAACAAAATAATTTCAGTGAGTTTGTTAAATATATAAATGTAGAATATATTTTTTTGTACTATGGACTACTGCAAAACAAGGAAGGCTCATCAACACTTTGTATGTTTTGCATTTCTAATCAATAGCCTATACATAAACATCAGTAAAATATGAGTTTGAAGTATATTTATTTTAAAGAGCGATAATAACTTAAATGAAAGAACAGTGTGTCAAAGTAGAATACTCATAAATTGTGGGGATTGTCCTTATAACAAATGATGTAAACATACAAAATGTGATTTTCTTTTAATATGACATTTATTGATCTTGATACTTTTCAAGACATGAGTTGTATGGTAATCACAAAAAATTCATGAAAGCAATTGTAAAGAAATCTAGTTTAAAAAGCTACAAAACTTTAGTTTAATAACAATGTGTACATGCTCCATATGTACTGGTGTACAGTTATATATCAAATTCAAATATACAAAGTGTAAATAAATATACAGACTTACAGAGAAAAAACACAAATCAATCACTCGACTTCTTAAAAATGTGTAACTTATTGAGTACATAAAGAAATAAAGAAAGGTTCCTTGACTACTTTCTAATCTAGCTAGAAGTGTGTACATGTAACATTAAAACATACATAAATATATATGTAAAAACAAAACATGTATCAATGATATCTGCATATTTTAAAGGGAAATATTACATGAACATCATTAATATACTTTCTTTGGCTTTGGAAGATATCAACAACTTCAGGTGTTCTTTGACAGTTATAAAGTACAAACACAAATTGTATTAAAACAAAATTCTACCTTTCAAAATGCTATTATTATTTGAGCTTTGAAATTATACAAAAACTTGAAAAGAAACTAAAATCGGACATGGTTCTGTTCCCTACAACAATTATCATGGAGCTTTCCAAAACAACGAAGATGTGTTTCTGGGTTAAATGAGAAATAACTACATTCATAATTATTTTGGAACACTTGAAACTAAAACATGACTATCTACAGAACATATATTACATGATAAATACCAAATAACACCATAAATGCTCACTTCTATTACATGGAAAATTTGAGAAGACAAAATTCATGATATAATATAAATCAAGTGAAAATGATTTTTTGTTTACATAATCTCTCTGTTACCTATCTTCACTCCAAATTCTCATCCTCATAATGTTCCAGAAACATTGTTTTTCACACTACCTGGGGGTGTTTCATAAAGCTGTTCGTAAGTTATGCACGACTTTACGCACGACTGGAACATGTTCTTGGGTGCTAATCAGATTCTCAATCATTTACATGTAGCACAAGAACATATCACCAGTCGTGCGTAAAGTCGTGCATAACTTACTAACAGATTTATGAAACACCCCTCTGGTGTGGTTGTCTTTCAAGCAGATGATATTACAAAACAAATATTTCTCTACCAATCCTTATCTTTCTTGAGTTTCTTCTCACTTCCACAATTACGATTACAATTACGAAAATTGTCAACAAACAAAATGAATTTGAACAAAATATTGATTCAATAGCACATGCTCATGTGAGGAAAAAAAGGACTGAGAGATATCTTATTTCCTAACAAACCATCAAAGCAATGTAACATTATCAAACAAAACATCCACTTCTAAAATCAATATCACAAATAAACATAATAAATAAACGATGTATTTACCTCTGAATAAATAACTATTTTACAAATCATCTGTTTGAAGCCAGGTGGGAATTGATACCATTTTACACAGAAAGAACACCCTTCTGGCTCCAAACAGACAAAATAACCCCTCTTGATATCTTATGATCATAACAAAATGCTCAAAAAACAAATTGTAACAAAAAGCTAGTTTATGAACACAAAATAATCTCCCAAAAATCTTTCATCTGAAGTATTAACACACCAAGAATATTCAAAACAAAAAATGACATACCTGAATATCTAATATCTATAAACTTGTGCATCACAACTTCAACATTATTTGTAGTTAAACGTGAAGTAAAAAAAAGTAACAAAACATATTGCACTATTCTAACGGAAACAAAACGTCAAGAAAGTTCCCACAACAAAAATAATAAAGACAATAGCTTTATCATAAGACATAACTTCATGGAAAAACTTAACTTTTCTTGCAAAATATATACATACATGTAGAACAGTATAAAAATCACACTGTTGGCATCAAGTTCATACAAAAATTGGTCCCATAGTATTTTACTAAATACATGCACTTTTGCCCACTCATCACTTAAAAATGAATGGATGAACAGAATATTCTTTCATATTCGCCCAATGTTAATATAATTAATCGCAAGAAACCAGCAATTCTATATACTGCCATACTATAAATGTGGAAGAGTTATCTCATTATGAGGCACTGAGTGGGGGATTACATCAATTGAATAAATACTTGCATTATTCAAACAAATACTAATCAAAATATAACATGATTATATTTCATCAAATCGAATGTCGCTAGGTGAAATTAATTCTTTTGTCCTCTCTGTCAATGTAATCTACTTCTCAATGGGGAAACTGCTTCCACTTTGCATGTATTTCATGCTTTATTTCCATTCACCTGATATGTATTGATTGCCGTTATCTGTGTATATTGTAATCATAATTATTAATCATGCAAACATTTCACGACCTTGAAATACACATACAGTCTATTACACTTCTCAAAATGTCCATTCTTTTTTCGCTAACGCTTGTCCAAATGGCTGGTAAACCATGATGGATAAGTTTTTCAAAGAAATATCAAACCATAACTTTAAGCTGATTATATAATGAACACCCTACATATCTATGACAGTACTTGAACCTGTTTGCACTGTGAAAAATATATACAACAGTAAAGAAAAATTGTATAAAGAATCGTCATATATTGCAAAACAGGTGTGCATGAGTGAACAAAAAATATTGTACAAGATATACTACACAAAGAGACAGGTTTTGAAAATGTCTGTTGAAAACATATTTAAGCTCAGTATTAGATGACGGCTAACCAATCATCGGTTAGCACTCGCGATAAGCCCCACCCAGCTACACTATATGCTTTTTGTACGATACGACATTCACTTTGAAAGTGCACCTTGATTCTTTGAGTTTTCGTTCAAACAGCTGCTGAAGTATACAATAATTTGTAATGAGATGTTCAGGCTAGAAAAAGGTATCTACTTATTGTTTAGCTACAAAATTCTTGTATGTACAGTTCCCAACTGAATTATTCATATCCCTTGTAAATTTGGAGGTTTTTTTAATGAAAGGTAGACTGGTTGAATTAGGGCCTTTGTTGAATACAAAGATGTAAGCTGTAATATGTCACACTCTCAAGAAACAGAAATCAGGACAGATCAATATTTCACATTCTTAAAAATTAAAAAATCTTGGTATGAATAATTTAATTGTTAACTGTAGCAGCTACATGTACATGTATACATGGATAATGTACTATACAGAGATTTTTTAGAGTCTGAACGGGGTGTTTTCATGTACAGAGTAAACAGCCTTCCATATGGATAATAGCAGAACCACAAGTCACCGTCATCAATCCATGAAATCTATCCCACAATCTTCCTGTAACTGATCCTCAACGTCATGTATGTTCCAGGGAGGAAGTTCAAGATCTCATTATTTGTGATCAAACCACATGATACATGCCACATTTTTTTGACAATTTTGTTTGTGTGTTGCCACCTTATGAAAGTTGAAAACAGTGGTGAAAGAATATTGACTGGTTTATGAGTAACCAGACAGCTGTAAAACACACAATTTTAAGGCAAAATAGAAATCATGAAGTAAAGTAGGCAAGAGTCTCTACTGCAGCATCACATAACAGATAAGGGGCCCAAGACTTTGATTGATGAAAGAATATGGAAGTTAAGATTCATTACACACTAGTTCTTAGCTTGGATAACGACATGACGTAATCCTAATCTTTTAGCCCTGCTAAAGATATACCTTCTCATACACAAAATTGTAGTAGAGATACTTTGAAACTTGTGACGTCATGTAACAATGCATCATGAGATAGGTGAACAATTTTGTTTGAAGTAAATTGTCCATTACAAGAGTAACAGTAATACAAAAAGAATCTTCACTTTAAAGAAACATCAACACTTGGTCTTGGTACTTTTTTTTACTCCAAATTATAGTAGATGAATGATGAACTTTCTTTTGAGTATATCATCCTGTACCAGGTTTAGGTTCTCTCTTTGGACTCGTCCTGTTATAGATCATCATGGTAGACATATAATGTACTTTCCCTTTAAGATCTCATCCTGTACATCATCACTGGATGTTGCGATCTCTGCCTGGACGGACAGCACAGCCGAGAGAAAAGTAGCCACGGTGGAGCCCACAGCAACAAAGAAAGACCAGCCTATGGCACAGGTCCCTGGCTGGAAGGGGGCAGCATCAGGTCCGCACAGGTCCTGGACCCGCTCTGCACCCCATCCTGCCGGGTAGAAGACTAAGGATATCAGGATCAACAGACCTGCAAGGATGATACAGAAGAAAAATTAGTTCGGATGATTAGGAATGTTAGAATGGAAATCATTGTTCAATAACTCTCATAATCATAGCTGATTAGGTCCATTGTCTGACTTAACAATTAAAAACAAACATGAGACAGGTCACGTCTGGCCTAAAAAGTGCAATTACCTCTTCCCCCATCTCTCATATGAATGGTAAACACTCTGTAGTCCCCACAGTAACCAAACTTCACTGTTGGCAACAATTAGGACAGCTTTCCCCTCTGGTGCGCTTTCAACCGCATTCCCCGTACCCTGGGGACCTTCCCTTCCATTAATTCCCAACAATGACAACCCAATCAGGAGATAAATGGTTTTCAGAAAGCCAACTAAGCCGTAAAGATCAGCTTCCTTTTAGATCAACAATGAGAGAAGTGTTCGTTTGAAAACTGTGATATTAGTGAAACAAATTGCTGTATTGGTATGGAAGTAGACATCACAATAGCCTGCCATCTTAATTGCATCGTCAAACTGATGAGTAAGAGGGAAAACATCAATAATGGTATTAAATGAGCCTTGTTGTTTGTTCATAGCATGGTTTTCTTTCAAAAATTGTATGAGTAAGAAAGTTCTCAAATAATATTTGCTTCCAACCATTCTCTCTCCTTATAAGGCAAATTGAAAAAGTACTCTATGCCTGGAATAGAGAGGAAAAATGCTATGAATATCATTATAAACCTGTTTATTAAACTAAATAGAGTAAGTAATTTCTGTATGTTAATTGGTAGACTGACACATACATTTTTGCATGGCTACAAAACAAGATCTAGTATGATCTTGATGAATGAACAATTGATATTCATATTTCTCCTTTTGGTTCATCATTCAGTATTTTTATTAAATTATCATGGTTCTCACTAGACAAAAAAGGGGTATGAAAATCATAGTCATTAAATATAGTCTGTGCTCTGATGGTAAGAGTTGGTTATTGGCTATAATGTTGGTCACTTTGCATGCATGTATTCATGATTTGTGAGATCCTAAGCTGTAATGTCCTTGCAAGGATTAAACCTTATTTAAGTTTGAGAATTGTGTAATTAATACTGCTTCCGTTATAATATGGTACAGTGTTTACTGAATCAGGGGGATTGAGGGAAGGGGAAGGGGCAGTTGTCTCTCCAATGATTTTAGATTGAATATACGAGGAGTGAAACCGTAAATTCTTTCATGCCTTTGTCACCCGTCAGCTTCAAGCTTATATTCTTGTAATGAGAAAGAAGCTTTATACAAATTTGAATGGTTTATCATACAGTAGATAGATGGTTTGGACTAGCAAAGTTTTAAATTAAGAACCAGCATAAACTTGCTTTTTGCAGTAAATCAAATTGACTGAAAAACATGCGAGGACCTGATGCTCAATTTGTAATCAACCTGGAGTATCAGGATACATCAATTTCCTTGTTTTCCTTTTCGCATTAATCAGCAGATACGGTAATCATTTTTTGTTGAATTCAACTGGCAGATATATTATTCTGTTTGAAGTACTTGACAAGTCACAAGAGTGCAAATTTAATTTTAGTAGTTTATTTCATCTTTATCACAAATTGAAATTAGAATATTTATAACTTTGGCTTTTTCATCTTTACCTTGGACCTTATGTCAATATAATCCAAGACTTCTAAATAAAAATTGTAGTCTAGGATTTTCTCATTTCAACACTCTAATGTGTAATGCATACATGTACTTCAAAAAACTGCCCTTACCCAGGCTTGAACATTTCACAATTCTCAGACATGCAATAGAGAAACTTTCAAGCACTAGTTAACCATATCACAAGCTCTTTGCATTTGTCAAGAACCCTAATCTACCCCAAGGCATAACCACAGACAGACTTTTAGCTCCTACAAACACACCTTCCTACTGGAGCAGTATTTCCAGGGCACCAATTTACTCTCTGACTAACGAACATGCTTCACATTCGGCCGCTCAGAAATCAATCCAAAATCAGATTTCCCTTCATTAGTTCACCGGGGGCTGCCATTAATTGAATATCACCAGGAGCTTAGAGGCGTAATTTCCTGAAAGGCAGACTTTTTTTTCATTTGTGCAAACCTATTCATTTGCACTCCTTGGGTAGAATGAAGAACTTGAGCCTTGAGGTATGGCTGAGTGTTAAAAATGCTGAAGGCTTTAAAGTTTGAAAGATGACTAAACTAAAGACAAATTCGAATTTCGAACAAGAAAATTCCCATTCACAAAACTTCTCGCACAGCAACCATCATCTCCAACATGATTTTATCTTCATTTGAAAACACAGTATACTCCCTGTACAGAAAAAAATCTCCTGTCACATATACCTGTGTATCTAGTCTGAATATATTAAGTTCATATTCCATTTTGTAATTTGTTTCATCCCTGAGCGGAAGCACATAGCTTTATTGCATATATCCATTGCAATACCATCGGATCCATTCATCCATAAATTTCATCTCATTTACACAACGCCTGAATAATTCTGAATCAAAGAGCATTCAATGTCAGTCTCCAAATAAAAACCCCAGTTCAAGTCATAACATACACCTGTAATGTAAAGTAAAGTAAAATGGTGAGGAATGCAAGTACACTAAAGTAAACTCTCTTTTTCCCTCTCAAATATTCATGTCTTTTTATAAACAGAGCTACATACCCTGTAGGAACCTTTTGAATTTAATGGAGCTCATTGGTATTCATTAAATGTCATCTAAAAGTTCCTCTGGAAACAAAAATATAATAACAGGTCTCTATGAGCAGACTACAAGCATAAAGGGGGAAAAATCTTGGAAATGATAGACAGTTGAAGAAAAGACCGTTGAAGAAAAGATAATTTGAATGAAATGGACTGGAATGTAACCATTCTGATTACTTTTGCCCAAAAAGATGATATGGGAGAATCTAAGAAGTCAATAAACGATTCCTGAGAGCATTTGAGATGAAGTGTCAAATAAATTGGTTTGGATCATTACTTCTCACTCCCCTGGGAACAAGAGCCATTACCCAATCATCCAGTTAGCATCCCTCATACTCACTCGACCTCACACACACATATGGTGGCCCTGAAGGGACATCGCGAATAGACTAAATCGTGAAAAATATGCGATAAAATTCACGATATCGTCAATTTTATCGCATATTTTTCACGAAGAAATTCACGAAATTGACGATATCGTGAACTTTATCGTGAACTTTTCACGATGAAATTGACGATATCGTGAATTTTATCGTGAAAAGTTCACGATATAAAGTTCACGATATCGTCAATTTTATCGTGTACTCTATCGTGTACTCTATCGTGTACTCTCCTGACGGGCGCTTCGTAAACAAAACCAGCCCTAGCTGGGGGAGACAGAGAGAAGGAAAAAAGGGAAAGGGAAAGAGAAGATAAAAGGAAAGAAAGAATAATAAGAAGAAAAGAGGGAAACGGGGGGGGGGGGGGGGGGGGGGGGGAAGGGCTCTTGCCTCCTCCTCACCCCCCCCCCCCCCCCCCCGCCAAAAAATAAATAAGGAGAGAGAGAAGGGAAAGGAAATGGGAAAGAAAATATAAAAGGAAAAAAAGAAGAGGAAGAAGGAAAGAGGGAAACGGGGGAAGGGCGAAAGGCTCTTACCTCCCCCCCCCCCCCCCCCCCGCCAAAAAAATAAATAAGAGAGAGAGAGAGAGAGAGAAGGGAAAGGGAAAGAAAGAAGAGGAATAAGAGGGAAACAGGGGAAGGGCGAAGGGCTCTTGCCTCCTCCCTCCCCACCCCCGCCAAAAAAATAAATAAGAGATAGAGAGAGAAGGGAAAGGGAAAGGGAAAGAGAAGATAAAAGGAAAGAAAGAAGAGGAAGAAGAAGAAGAAAAGAGGGAAACGGGGGCGAAGGGCTCTTGCATCCCCCCGCCCAAAAAATAAATAAGAGAGAGAGAGAGAAGGGAAAGGGAAAGAGAATAAAAAAGGAAAGGAAGAAGAATAAGAAGAAAAGAGGGGCTCTTGCCTCCTCCCCCCCTCCCGCGCCAACAAATAAATAGGAGAGAGAGAGAGAGATAGAGTGAAGGGAAAGGGAAAGGGAAAGAAAATATAAAAGGAAAGAAAGAAGAAGAAGACGGAAAGAGGGAAACGGGGGAAGGGCGAAAGGCTCTTACCTCCCCCTCCCCCCTCCCGCCATAAAGGGAAAGAGAAGGGAGAGGGAAAGAAAATATAAAAGGCAAGAAAGAAGAGGAAAAAGAATAAGAAAAGAGGGAAACAGGGGCGAAGGGCTCTTGCCTCCTTTCTTTTCCTTTCTTTCCTATTCTCCCTCTTTTTCGTTTTTCTCTTTCTTTCTTCTCTTTCCCTTTCCTTCTCTCTCTCTTTCTCTTATTTATTTTTTGGCGGGGGGCGGGGGGACGAGGCAAAAGCCCTTTGCCCCCGTTTCCCTCTTTTCTTCTTCTTCCTCTTCTTTCTTTCCTTTTATCTTCTCTTTCCCTTTCCCTTTCCCTTCTCTCTCTCTCTCTGATTTATTTTTTGGCGGGGAAGGGGGGGAGTGAGGAGGAGGCAAGAGCCCTTCGCCCCCCCCCCCCCCCCCCCCCCCCCCCCCCCCGTTTCCCTCTTTTCTTCTTATTATTCTTTCTTTCCTTTTATCTTCTCTTTCCCTTTCCCTTTTTTCCTTCTCTCTGTCTCCCCCAGCTATGGCTGGTTTTGTTTACGAAGCGCCCGTCAGGAGAGTACACGATAGAGTACACGATAGAGTACACGATAGAGTACACGATAAAATTGACGATATCGTGAACTTTATATTGTGAACTTTTCACGATAAAATTCACGATATCGTCAATTTCATCGTGAAAAGTTCACGATAAAGTTCACGATATCGTCAATTTCGTGAATTTCTTCGTGAAAAATATGCGATAAAATTGACGATATCGTGAATTTTATCGCATATTTTTCACGATTTAGTCTATTCGCGATGTCCCTTCAGGGCCACCATACACACACACACACCCACCGTCCTTGCCTACCCACACACCCTCCAGTGA